TTTTCTCTCCCCCTTGCATTACATCTCTATCTTTCTCTTTCTGTCGGTATGTCTCTCTCTCTCTCTCTCTCTCTCTCTCTTCCTCTCCTTGTCTCTCATTGCCTCTCTGTGTCTATCCTTCCGTGTGTCTATCTCTCTCTCTCTCTCTCTCTCTCTTCCTCTCTATGTTTTCCTGTCTCTCCCTCTCTCTCTATCATTTAAGTCATTAATATATCTCAATATCCCGTGCAAAATATGAATACTTAAATATGCCATAAAATATGCCATAGCCTTTCAGTCAAGAAAAGATACAGGCAGGCTTCAACTTTGGAATAGTCTTGCAACTGGTTTGGCATCACTCCAATTCTCAGCCACTGTCCCTTTCTCTGAATTAAGGCCCATGATAACATTTCAATTAAAATGTTACAATTATTATTGTAATGTATTAAGAGCCTCATTAAGAAAGTTTGACCTTTTAATGATCTAGTGATGAGCGATTTTTCTTCTTCTTTAAAATCAGATGGCCATCAAATTTATGGTTGGTTTGTATCAGGGTTTTCTTCTGTCTTCTGTTCTAATGGTATCTGATGGTACACCTAGTGTACTTCAGCATATACTGCTGGAGGCGTATAAGACGGGGGAGAAAGAGGATACGTGTGTTTCCGGTGATGTTCGTTTGCGCTACTTCCTTCACTGAGTAGCCCAGGGCAGTGGACAGTTTGTTTATCATGTGGGTGTCGATTGAGTTAGGTAGGCCTGGTATAGCGGTTCCAGTACATCAACTTAAAGGGATAATCAACTTAATAAAACCATAAAGTCGCACACCATCCCGATGCTTGGTCTGCCTCTTCCACATTTACTATCCAATACTTTTTCTTGTGTTTATTGACTTTAAACCATGTTTTGTGACCCTATCATTCCAACTAATTCAATCCAATAATACAATCCAAATATACCGGTGTATAAAATAATATATGTATATAGATATATGTGGTAGTTGTGGTAGCCACATTTTGTGCACTTTGTTTTCACTTTTTCCTGATTATATTATATTGTTCCATGTATTTATTCATTGTGGTATAAAAAAAACATTGTTCATGGCAGCCTTTTGGCTGAATTGAGTGCAATTTACATAAGCAATAACACAAGGATACTTCACAAAATACAATGGTATTAAAAAGTCATTAAAAATAGTACATTCATAACAAAAAATTATAGGTACACCTTAGATCAAAGAATATTGATGGTGAGATAACTGAAGTGGGTAATGGATGTGGAAAAATAAAGGTTTTATGATATGTCTTAAGCAAATTCATAGAAAGAATATAACAGTTGAATAAATTATGATCAGTGCTAAGAAACATAATATGTTTTTGCATGCTTCAAAGTATGCCTATTGTCATATGGGTGCAAGGTACATGTACCCATATGACAATATGCCTACTTTAAATATTTGATTACTTCACATGATCAATGTTAAAGAGTATATTTTTTTAGTAACCATTTTAGTGCCTTAAATCCCACATATTCTGATATTTTAGCTCACATTTGTGAGATTCAGCTTGTCGTTTAATTCCTGGCAAAATGAGATAAGGGCTCGTCATTCTAATTAGTTGGAAGTTGGAAGCATTGTTCTTAAATGGAACAATGCTTCTATCAATTCAAAGGAAAAGGCATTATTTTGTCAAAACTCACAGAGTTTGATACATATTTCACAAGTCGGTCGTGAAGGAATAGTGAAGCCCCACCCAATGTTTTTCTTGCTGTTTTAGGTTTATTAATTGCGTGGTGTAAAGGAAGTGAATTTGAGGTCAAGTTAGTCATTAATTTGTGATGGTCCAAGGCTGATCAGTGTATCAGCTTACCAAGGTGAGGTCCGCTAGCTCTGCTCGATGACGCACTCTGCCGTTATCGCTCAAGACTATCACTCACACTGGGAGTTCCCTCCCAAGCCGCACGCATGGGCTTCGGCACGTAGGGAAGTGATACGTATGCATGTGGCCCTCACATGATGCAACGCTGGTTATTTGTAGAGGTTATAGTCATGTGAATAGAAATGATGGAAATAATGATCAGGAAATGGGCTTACGATGCACTTTACAGGGGCTACGGAACTCGGGAGGGGGAGGGGGGAGGGGCTGCAGCTCCCAGCTTTTTTAAGTAGATTTGTACAGTCATGTGAATATAAATGATCTAAATAATTAATTAAGAAGGGAAATATACTTCAACAGGGTCTATATATATAACAGGGGTGATTTTTTAATGTGTTTCCTGGGTGCATAAAGTAGACATGATGGAGATCGAGGAAAGAATGATTCACAGACTTTTCTGTCAATACTTGATGGGGAATCAAGTTTGGTTATGCTATCTCTTGCCTTTGTATAGATTTGATTTCAATCGAGTCATAAATTGATTTATTCAGCACGATAAAGCTTCTTTTGGTGTACTTTTCACTTTTCTAAGACTTCTTTTCTCTAAATGGAGCACATTTTGGTCTTTGATTTGTTAACTGTTTTTCCCACTCCTAGGATCATTTGTAACAATGTATCCATTGAAGTGCACACCCATACACATAGTTTTCTCCACAATTATTTATGTGTTTTACAATACCCCATTCTTTCCATTAATATCTTAATAACCATCTACATTATTCTGTTTCAATTGACATTCCTTAATTTTCTCAAGTAAATGAACATTTGAAAACTAATTTGAAGTGTAGCAATTTGAAACTATGATTACATTCATTAAAGGTTAATGAGTGAGGCTTTGAATTCTGATATCCTGAGCTGTATACTTTCACATGCCATACACCCACACAAAGGTGTAACCATGGCGATTGGAGGCGTAGCTATGGGGGTGGGGGTAATGGGATCGTGCACAGGAACAATAACATCCCCACCCACTTTCATAAACCATATTAACCACATATACCTACCACTTCCTTTCTTAGCACCCCTGTACAGAGTGCATATCACAGATTATAACCTCATAATTTTCATTGTGAACTTCCTAAACATATATGCATAATATTGTCTGTAGAGGGCGAGGAGGGCCATTAACTGTGCATGTATGTAAGCATATATCGAGGGTTCAGTGACACAAAGACGTAACTCCATATATTGCCAAAATGAGAACCGGTATAGGCGGTATTTGATATCAAAATGTTCAGAAAAATGTGGGCTTTCCACCAAGAGTGAACTCCACCGAACACCCCATTGAAGTCAATGGCTAGTGAAACATAGACTTAAACTCCTTAAGGCCCAAGTGCTCAGTGACACATAAACCACTTTTTCTCAAAATGGCCAAAATGGAGTTACGTCTTTGTGTCACTGACCCCTCGATATAGTATCCAACCAATGTGAATACATCCTGAACAAACAGTTGAATACTTTAATGTAACTATTTACAAAGTTTTATTAAAAACACAAGCCTTGAAGCAATGCCAGTTTTGGCATTCTGTGATATTTTATAAATAAATAAATTCCATTAAAGAGTGTAAACAGTCAGGAGTTGAAGAGGAATGTTTGATGTCTTTCAAAATAGTTTTTCTTATTTTTGTTGGATACTGTAAGAGTTCATGCCCTTCTGGTGCTCAGCAGACGACATAGTTTGTTTAATATGCACCTGCGTATCTCACTAGGAGTATTTATATATTACATTGACACCATGTGTTTCATTAACAGGTGGGCGAAAGATCTCCTGTTCTTGTCGCTTTTAGCTTCACCCTTGTTTTTACAAGCCAAAGAATGTCACGCAATATCATGATTATTATCTCATGAACTTTCCTTTTTGGGAAGAGGTACTGTCACCAGGTGGTGATAAGTGTATTTAACAAACAATATTAGAATCATTAGGTAGTATAGTCTCATAATCAGTAGGCTGGTGATAGCCGAATCTTTTCCAGTCCAGTTGATTTTGTTTGATCATAAAATGGGTGCTTCATGTTCAAAGAAAAGCAAACGACAGGTAAGCCTCGGGTCATCTTTGCGATTGCACTTCTGAACAATTATTGAAGGATTTAATCACGCTTGTATCAAGAATATATTTTCTCAATATTGCACATCGTTGTTATAATCCAGGTTGAATGGAATAGTATGTAAGGTTGTATCAGATTGTTCATATCAATTGTGTCACTTTTATGTGATTTTATTGCACTACGCTTTTTTTTGTCCAGTTGGATTGAATTTATAATTTTTCTGTGCCGTCAGTCTTAAATGTACATATTGATATACATGATGTATATATATTTTTTCCATTTATATATTGATAGTCTCTCTTTCTCTTGTGTCCAATATTTATCCTGTTCTTCCTCAGTTTTTTAGCGTCTTTCATAAAACATTCAAATTGTTTAGAGGCACCAGAAGCGATACTTATTTTATCCAAGGAAATAGGTGTCACACACATTCATTCTATAATGTAGCATACATCAAGCCTTTTGTCCCATTCTTGAATTGTGACTAAGAACAGAAACTCAAGGCGTTGCTTCAGTAGGTCAGTGCATATAAAAAAAAGTATACCAAAGGTCCCACAGGTTATAACTTTTATATGGTAATTGACCAAAGTTGAGTATACGTTATTCATACGCTCTGTATATAACGGAACTAGAAATTTACAAACTTCCTCTTAAATGATTTTGTGTAATATATACAGTAATGAATAGCAAATTGAACTTGTTTCTTCTCAGTTTGCACCCTTAGTGGAACGTATACCAACACTCCAAAAGGATGCACCTTCAAGGGTTCATCTCTTTTGTATCACAAACTGCTCCTTTGGGGGTTCAGTTTTGCACCCTTTAAAGTTAAGCTACTCTTGGTACCGGTATGTAAATTTGCACATCTCTCAGTGTGATGTGTGATGATTGAATCCTTGAAGGTCCAAATTTACACCTCATTTTAGGAATGCCGAACATTTTAACTGTAATTTCTCAGTGTGTATGGCAGGAGCATCAACATTTTTGTGTATATTGATATTTAACCTCCTTTTCCTTTTTCTCTTTCTGCCATTTCTTTCCCACAATGCAGTTCCAGCATGCGCTGAATGACCATGACGAGGCTCGTAACGTGGAGCAGATGTTTCTGGATGTAGCTGAGAGCGAAGAATCAAGGATGAGGTGAGAATAAAAAGGATCATCTACTGAAAACTCCTCCCCCCCCCAAAAAAAAAAAAACCCCAAAAAACAAACAATAATAATAATAATAATAATAATAATTATAATTAATAAATAAATAAATAAATTTAAAAAAAAAATAGTAATAATAAAACTGATAATGATAATAATCATAACAAAAATGATTTTCAAAATGTCATTTGATTTAAAGATAATGATAATAATAATAATGATATCTAATAAATGTAATTTAATTTAAAAACCCTCAAATTTATGAGAAAAAAAATCAAAATATGGGGAACATTTCACTTCAATAAAAAATGATAGCATGGAGTCTTGCTTTAGGACCATGGAATGTGAAACCTGCTTTAACGACCACCTGTACAGAAAGACCCTCAGTTTTTTAAATATCAACTTGTTTTACCTTCTCTTAAAACAATTTGTTTTGCTTGGAATCTTGAGTGGAAAAAAAAAGCATATGTTTAAAGCCCATCTGCCCATAAAGACCACTTTTCTTGTCTCCCTAGAAGGGTCTTTATATACAGGATTAACTGCAAGATGAATTCTGACAAAGTAATGTTGAAGAGATTGCTGAATTCTTGTAGATGGGATGGAATTTGTTAGGACATCCTTCACTTTGGTCCCGGTTCATTTTATAAAAAGAAAAGCAATTGAACCCAACCTAATGTTTTGTTTCTTTCTGTGACGACAAAAGACTAGGTCATTCTAGTTTAGAACCTTTAGTTTGTACGTGTATCCACCGCTAATTAGCAGCCATTATTATTCTTTCCTCTACGGATTTACCCTAATTACTTTCTAATAGCTATGAACCCCCATGACCTTCCGCAACACTGTTGGATTTCATTTCCCACCTCAGTTTGTTGTCCTGCGAGCCTCAAGTTCTGACACATTGTCTGCCTATAATGAAAGGTCAATCATATTGTAACAAAGTGTCACATTAAGATCATTTGTTGTAAATCATGGTAGCTTCCACTTTGTTTTAAGTTAGATTAGGTCCATATGGTTAAAACTAAATCATACAGGCTTGTTATTTTTATAGCTTTATGTTGTCCACTGGCCAAATCTTATCCCCCCATTGTCATTGATTAAAGTAAATTCTGTAGCTTGTATTCATGTTTTACAAACAGTCATATCGCATTAAAAATATTTGAAGTTGTGTTAGCTACAATTTTGACTTTTTTTAAATTAGTGGTAACGTCCATTCAAGGTTCACTCATTATAAATTCATATTTGTAGATGACTTACAGTTAACAACTAAATTATTCATATGCCTTATAAATTTGATGTTTTTAATAACTTAAAGATAAACTCCAGTTCTGGTAAAAAAAAAAGAAAATTAATTTTCACAGAATCAAACGAAATTTACACTGAATGTTCAAGATTACAAATAAATGACATGTGCCAAACAATTTTGGAAGAAAATGTATACTTGCTGAGTAATGAACATAGAAAGACAAGGAAATCAAGGTAGTACTAGCCCCGACACCATGTGTGTTGTCCCATATATAGCTTTCTGTGTACAGTGCTTGTTACTTTACCAAGACTCTGTCAAATTTATTATGATTTTGATGACTCCAGAACCTTGCAGTGCACACCAGTACATACATGCTACATGATCAACTGTTTCTGATCCTTTCCACACCTTTTCTTTCACAATGCAATCGCATTACCAGTACTAAAGTTTATCTTTAACAGTGAAGGGTAGACTAGTTGAATTAGGACCCTCGATGAATACTTTTATGTAAGCTCTAATTATACACATTCTCAAGAAACATGAAATTGGTAAATTCAATTTTTCACATACTCACATACAAGGATATGAATAATTTAGTTTTTAACTGTATTGGGTCTTTTTGTATCTCAGTCATATTAAGTCAACTGGTTTGAAATTTTAAACCCAGAACTTATGTCATAATTCCTACAAGTTATTGCATGATTCAATCTTGAAATATGATCAGTGTAAATACATACATTTGTACATTTTACTTTTTCAGAGCCAAGCCAAGCCCAAGCTAACTTGCCTTGTAGTTTACCATCTTATCTTATCATTGTATTAAGATAACATCACTCCTTCAAACTCGGATAAGACCAATTATGAAGTGAAATGACACGTCTGATGTCAACTTATCTTCAGAATTTATTGATAGATCATAATGTGTACTGGGCGCCAAAAATAAATTGGACTTGCCCATTTATTTCCAATTCTAATTGCATTGCAGCATTCATATACACACTTTATATTACATATATACTATATATCTTGACTAGAAGATCTTGGGAGTGAAAAGGGCATCTCAGATCCAGGAAACGCTGTCCATAAATCAATCAGATGGGACGGCATCCGAGTGTAAATGTCACTTTTCTAGATTTCAGAACTTCCCTAGCATCTCTTCCTCTACGTTGTCTATTAATAACTTTGAGAAGTTGGAGTCCTTCATTGAGTTTCGTATGACTAAGTAACATGCATTGACGGAGCGTGTTAGAGCGTATACCCCGATGCATGCAGGGAAGGAAATGATGGGGGAAATGAAATGTTTTGCCTGGTTCTGGAGAAAGGTTATTCAGGGTATACACGTAGCAGGAGTGTTAATGCTTTTAACTGATGATGAGCCAATATTTAGGAGAGTGAGATGGTGTATTTAATTTCTCTTTAGTTAGACTTGAAATATTGTGTGGTAGTCTGTTCCTTACTTAATGATTTGTATTTCTAGTCTTGCAATCTCTCTCTCTCTCACTCTCACTCTCACTCTGTCTGTCTCTCTCTCTCTCACTCTGTTTGTCTTTTTGTCTCTCACACTTACACACACCCTCACTCACACCTACACCCATGCACACACACTATATCTCTTGTCTTTCAATGTTCGATCTCTCCATAAGTACTTCTTACCCTACATTTCTATATCATTTTTATCTCTCTCTCTCTCTCTCTCTCTCTCAACTTCTCTCTCTCCATATCTCATCTATCTCTGTCTACATCTATCTTTCTCTATCTTTATCACTGTTATCTCCTTTTCTCTCTCTCTCTCTCTCTCTCTCTTCCATCCCTCTCTTCTCTCCCTCTCTCTCTCTCTCCCTCTCCCCCTCTCTCCCTCTCCCCTCTCTCTCTCTCTCTACCTGTCTATCCATCCATCTATCAGTCCATTCACCGATCCATCTATCTATCTATCTATCTATCTATCATGTTTATCATGCCCTGCTTAGCATGTATCTTCAGGATACATCTTGTTTAGTCATCTGCCCTTCTATGCTGATGAATTGCACATCAATTAGGAAAGCTATAATCAGTCATTTATAATTCACATAATGATGTAATTGATTTGATGGTTTAGCAATACATCACATACAGGAAGTCATATCTCTGCACACAGTAGTTACTCACATTATCTATGGCTAACAGACAGATTTGTAAATGTGATACACACTACAATCATTATTCAATGTTTGATTCAGAGTCTCTTCCCAACTGTAGCTACATTTCTTGGCTGTATATCGAGCCAAAAATCATATACATTTTCCAAAGATATAACTTTTCTTCGGTGGTTAAAAAAATATTCTGTTCACTGGTCTTGGTGAAATATATTTCTCTCTCTGCTGAGAGCAACATACACAAATATTCCTTCCTAAAATCTTAAAGCCATTATCCTGTTTTAAAAAATTGTTTTCACAATGTCTACATGTAGCCCGCAATTAAGCATCATCTGGTTGTGCCATTGGTCTACTACATTTTTGTGTATCACCATTATAAGAAAACCATCTCATTCACGCTTCTTTTTCTCTGTTTTCTTGCAGTGCGATTCCGAATGTGCCTCCCCCTCCACCGCTAACCAATGGGGTCTACAAGTCGGAGTCTGCGCTGACTCTGCCTATGACACGAGCCAGCCCCCTAGTCCAGGAAAAATCAGCACCTCCACAGAGGACGATGTCTTCCACGAAGGTGAAATCGGTGCCTCTTTCATCCCTCCTCCGCTACCCTTTGTCAACGGAAACACGGTGAGGAAAGAGGCAGAGGATGAGTTGGCGGACTGTGGGTATGTCAGCATGAAAGATGCTCCTCCGGCTCTGAAACATTCCCTGAAGCTAGATAACAACGAGAACGAGATGGGGGTGCAGAAGAAAGACAAGGGTAAGAAGGTGGAACCAAGTGCGGATGAGATGGATTTGTTACCCCCTCCTCCTCCTATGGATCACCAAGAGATGCCAAGCTGTCCAGGTCAGGAGGTAGAGTTTCCTCCCCCGCCTCCTATGGCAGAGATAGCTGGTGATACGAAGGAGAACATTGCTGCCATCATGGCACGCTTCAAGCAGCAGGAGGATAAGCCTGATGAAGAACCACGTCGTGCTGCTTCACCACCAAGAAAAAAGATCATATCATTGCCACCGGCCATTGCTGATGGAGCAAAAAGCGAGAGTCGACCTGAGAATACCTCCCCGTCAAAATCGAGGATTGCGGAGCGTATAGCACAGCTGAAAGAACAGGAAGTAATGAGTGAGAGAGAGTCCAGTGGAGCAGCTGGCGTAGCGATGGCGAGAGAGAGTGAGTATGCTAATACACCTGGCAATGATCAGGCGGTCAAACGCAGACCGCCTGCTCCAGTCAGAGACCCAAACACTAGACTGACCATGATTGAGAACACATCGGTGCAGAGAATGTCCTATGGGAATGGAGTGGATGTACGTATGGTGCGAACGCGAAGTGAAGAGTACAGAATACAGAGCCAATTTGGTGGATCGGTTTATGATGATACTGTTGTTGGAAGCACTTATATTGACAATGTTGCATATCGAAATCCCATGGAGCACACGTATGGAGTTATACCCGATGTACCTCCACCACCTTTTCAAGCACCCCCACCTCCTCCACCGATGTCACACCTACCCCATCATGGAGCTGTGAGACCGATGAGTGTGGCTGCTGTACCCCCACCACCTACACATGCACCCCCTCCAGTACCCCCTCCAATGCCATCAGGCAACACCAACAATACCAACAACATCTTCATGCAGATTCCAGGTGCCACGTCGAGACCACGGAGCCAGATACTGTTCCCGGATGATGTCCCACCGCCCCCTTCAGTTGCCCCTCCAGCACCCCCGCAGCCCCCGCCCGTACCAAGTGGTCCCAAGCCAGCACACTTGATGTCCATTCCTGTCACAACATCATTTGCACCACCACCAGCACCCCCTCCCGCCGTGGCCAGTTTCGCCCCTCCACCTCCGCCCCCACCTGTTATGGGGGGTGGAAGACCCCAGCACATTCCTGCACCTCCACCAATGGGTGGAATGGTACCCCCTCCTCCACCAGCACCCAACGCCCCGCCCCCACCTCCACCACCTGCAGTAAACAAATTCACAGGAGGAGGAGGAGGAGGAGGAGGAGGAGGAGGAGGACTACTGGATGGCCTCTCAGCTGTACAACTCAAGACAGTTTCAAGAGGTAAGTCAATCAAATCTATCATCTACAAAAATGCTTGAACTTTTCTTTTAGCATAACCCTTTTCTAATATGTAGCTTAGATAAACGTATTGTGCATTTATAATATTAACAACAATTCACTATTCACATGTACTTACACAGTTATACTTAGATTGTAGACAAACATGTAGATTGTAGATTATAGAGGCTTGGTTTTTAAGTTCTGTCTATTTCACCTTTCAATTCTCTCTAGAATACTTATTATTTAGTTATGTTGATTAACAATATCTGTCATCACAATATGTGAGCCTAATCACTTAACTTTTCTAAGTTCGCAAAATGTTAAACTTTTTTTTCTTCAAAACTTCAGCATTTTTAATCTGCATCTTGTGGTAAAATTTGGCAACCTTATTATTTCACACGATTTTAAGTCCTGTACTCCTTCATTCCCCAAAAAATTAATCGTAGCAATTAAGTCTGATATCTTGTATCTTGTAAGGTGAAATTCAACATAAACCTGTGGAAATTAAGATAGAGTTCATGTACAGTTTTTGGATATCATTGATAAAGATTGATTGCCTTGGTATGAGCAATTGAAACTGATAAGTATTCATTCACTGTTCATTCAGGTATGATGGATTATTGTAATAAAAATGGTTGTGTGGGCAACTTAATGTTGTAAATCAATCAAGAGTAAAAATATTCTACTCAAAAGATATGCTCTACAAAAAAATGTAGGAGTGGTATTGCCTCTGCCGCATATCATAAAGAGTTATGATTAATCAATACACAATGATCCATAGACTTATGCTCAATATTAACCTTACGAACAATCAAAAGGCTTTATAATAAATTGCCTAGGAGTGGTTGAGAGCCTGGGGAGAACTCATTGTTTTCCTAATTTTGGATCTCAGCCATTGTTTATGTGTCAACCAAATGTACCACAAATGTGTGTGACAACTAAAGTTAGCTCTAATCTAAACATATACATTGTTGGTAATTAAATTTAGGTTTCTCTTTTCTGTTTACACTATGTTGTGATGGATTACACGGTTTATTTCATTTTCACTTTGTAGAGGACACACTGTTATAATTACACAAGGTGTCTTTTTTATGTGCAATAAATGTGCTACAGAGAACACATAGAAATTTGCTTCTAGAATTAGAACATTCAGATAGAAACAAAAGGATAACATTTTCAACTAGTGCAAGCCCTTCCCTTTATGCACATAATTTCATGTTTCATAACATCCTATTATCAAAACAATGAAAACTTATTATCATGCATTAGAAACTCATGTTTCCTTTTCACCAACCCTTTTTCACCCTTCTATGGAATTTAAATTAACAGCAAAGATATCCACATTTGCAAGGAAGAAAAAGTTTTTGGCAAGATGCATTGTTATTGTATACTTCTAGTCATTGGCATGGCTTCAAGAGTATTCACATTATTCAAAATTAGTAGCGCAATATCAACTCCAAAATCAGAGATAAATGCCACAGTTTTTATAAAGGAACTACCATGATAAAGTTTGTAGATAATAGTGGGAAGAAGAAAGGGTTCTACTAGACTTATATGTACACTATTAAAAGAGCATTCATTAATTCTGCCTCATGAAAAAGAAAATGGTTGTACCAGAATTATGCCATTTACACTAATAAACTTTTATTTTGCAGCATATGTTGGGCACAAAACTGCATCTAAATTTGAATCTGATGTAGACATTTTTAGACAAGTCAGGCAATGCTGGGAAACTGTATCATATTCTTGAAGGTAGATAGGATACGCTAGAATCCGTTTGCCTTTGTCTGCATTGTTTTTATGTTCCAGCTGGCTTTTAATTTTAATGCAATCCTTCCTTCCTTCCCAACTGTACCTCACAGACGATTCGACTAGAATACGGCAAACATATCCTGACTCATTTATTTTAAAATAAAACTCTAAGAAGGTGAACCGGCTCTAGCCTATGTTTGCAAGTCATGCTTTCTTAAAGGGATATTTCGTTGTCAGATATGATCTCGACCCTTGTGTACACACATTTTATATTATCCATGCAGTTGCCTTGACAACCTAGAATTGTTGTTAGAGGTGTGTCTGATCTATCAACAAGGGATACATGCAAAATATCAAAGGAAAATAGATCTAAATTTGGTCCCACTCCTCTAATGGAGAAGTGTCTATTATTTCAATGCATTACAAAAATGAACATTATTCTTTCTATGGCTTTTTGAAATACATTAAGTAGATTTAAAGCTGTGAAACCTTTCTGTAAAATTAATTGGTCACGTTTTTATTTCTATTCATTTCGGGTTTTTTAAAAGTGTAATATACATATCTTCTTAATGAACAATATTTTGGACTTTTCATCAGTTTTTTATCTTCAACCGAGTCGAAAACTTTTCAACAAAATGAATTGCAGTAAAACTTAATAATAAAATCAAGTTGTTCATTATACATTAGTGAACATGGAAAGAACATGTAACCTACGTAAAGCTCACTTACAGGTACATGCATTACAATGTTCCTTAAAAGTATGTTCTGTTAAATGCTTCACTCCTTTTTTGTCCTCACTAACACACATGCATACACCGCACTTTTGTCAGTTGCCTTGTAACAGCAGCATGTTTCTATATATATATGTTTGTCTACCAATCTATTTCCAGCACTGGGTGCATGTTTGATGTGATAAAGGTGTTACTCATGTTCTAGCTGGCAACCATCCCAACTGTGCTCTAACTACTGCTATGAATTTTTTTAAAACCCTCAAGCCTTACTCCCACTTGACTAGGTAAAAAAGAAAAGACCCCCCCCCCCCCCCCACAACAACAAAATAATAATAAAGAAATTTAAAAAATAATAAATACATATAATAATATTTTTTTAATATGTAAAAATATGTAAAAATATGTAAAAATAAAAATAAATAATCAAAAACTTACCCGGTACCAAATAACAACAGCAACAACAAAAACCCACTCTGACAAAAAAAGGACCATGTTAATGAATAAAAGTTGGAGGTGGGTCATATAACACCTGCGACAGTTACCCTGTGATAATTTCCTACTTTAACCGAATTCCGAACTCCAAGCCTGGACCCAACATTACATCTAACCCTAACCCTTAACCTGATATAAAATTGAAGTGAAGCCTAAGTCTAACCCTAAACACTGTACTATTGACGTAATAAAGCCGGGAGCGATTGTCGGATCACCTTGAGGTTAAAAAGCAGCTTCATGCAACAATAAGGCCCCAATTCGATTTTCTTGTGTTGGAAGAGATGACAATGAAGTGAACCTTGCTTATTCATAGGTAATAATTCTGTTTTGTTGTGATGGTCTTTCGAGGCATTGTAATGTGTCATGTGTGAAGGGTCTATCTATGAACATTTTGTTAAACTAGAATTGTACGAAAAGTTTCCAGTAATGGTTCCATTTTTTTTCTCCATCTTTAGATACATTGTTCTATGATATCAAACATAAATATTCTGTGAATTTGGAGAAGAAAGAAAGCTCTTCACAGTCCACAATTAAGGATAAATTAATCAAGATTTTTGTGTTTTTTATTAGATAATATGCTCATTGCGTTTCTTTTTCTTTTCATCGTACAGAAGGTATGAATGTCTAATGAGGCATCCTGTATTTTCATTTTTGTTTTCTGTCTGTTCTGATCCACAGAAAAGAAGAAATCGCTGTCCACCGAAGCTCCCATGACTAACTTGATGGCTGAGCTGCAGAATTTCACTGGAAGGCTGCGTCCCACCCCAAAGCAGAGCAAGCCACCTTCACCAGAGCTCAAAGGTCAGCTAAGTTCATAATGATTCATCTCTTCATCACTATTGCCCTTCATTGCATTTAAAAACATGCCGCTGTTACAGAGCAAGCCATCTAAAAGGGATCCGGTAACTTTATCTTAGATCCTTAAAAAAATCCTTGATTTCGCTCATGCTGCAATGATAATTATAAACCTTTAGGTCAGTCAGGAACCCCATGACTTTTACAAGCCGATCACCTGTCTGATTATCAAGATATTTATGATTGAATATCAAAATAAAATTTTGCATTGCCAAACGGTTTTCATAACACTACAGTCTATTGGGGGAAAGGAGTATGGTAAGACCGGTCACTCAAAGGTTATTACTTTTTTGAGGCACTTCTTGATCATTTTGATGCACAATTTTTTTAGGGCTTCAATATAACACCATATCAGAGACACTTAACAGTGTTAAACACGTAGGGCCGTGCATCTCAGATTTAACATTGTTAAACGATCCCTTTAAAGCAAGTTGCTTTGAAGAAGAGTTCGAAATATTGTGAGATTGGTGATAGTTGACAAGTCAGACATTATGAATATAGAAGATATAGTAAATTTAGTTAAGAATTCAACATGCCCAGTTTGCAAGACTTGTGGTAATGTTAGTGATGATGGTGATGATGATTATGATGATAGTGCGTTCTTTTATACAACACATGTTTGTCATGCATTATTGTAGCAACAGAAGCTGTGATCCTTAACGGTTAACATTTAACTTTGTCTTGTGGTTACAGATGAGACTGACAATGGAGTCAATCAATTCCAGCTGAAGCAAACCAAGACGAATGGTACCAGATCAGACACACCCTCGCCCCCTCAAGCTCCGTCACCGCCACAGCACCAGAACGGCAACAACTCCACCCAGTCTAATGCCTACCGTCTCTCACCGAACGGCAACGGAGGACCACCCGTGACACCCAAGTCGACCAAACCTACACCAATGGTGATGCCTAAACCTGGGAAGGTACCGGCATCACCTTCCACAGCACCTCCTGCGCCGCCGGCACCGCAGAAAGCCTTTACGCCACCATCGCCACCACAGAAGGCGCCTATTGCACCGCCATTGGCGCAGAAAGGCCCTCCACCTCAGACATCACCTAAGAGAGCTGACTACAGTAAGAGAATCTCCATGCCTCCAGAAACAAGACCGCTCTCACCAACGGTGATGGCAGAGAGGACTCGGAAGGTATCAGCGCCGGCACTACCGGTGCAGCCACCAGAGGGCTATGATAACTTGCCAGCTTGGAAGAAAGCCATGGTGGATAAAAAACTCAAGGATGCCATGGTGAGTAGTAGGATGAAGACTGGGAGTTGGAGAAAATCTTTTCAATCTAAGATTAAGCTCCTTTACTAGGATGTTAAAGGCACACTGTCCTACTTGTAGCTACTTGCTCCCTCTATATAGAAAACTTCCCCAATCGGTGCCTGTTGGTCCCCATGATCCTCTCTTTCTTATATTAAATGAGAGCTGAGTTATTGAGATAGCCACCTGTCACAGTGACCTCGCTGGCTCGCTGGGTGGTCTAATCCCTTCTAGCTGAAGTAGTAAAGCCTGCCTTTAAAGTTTATAAAGAGCAGTAGATTCTTGTTAACTAAATTGCATGTGAGAATACAAATAGTTGTGTTAAGAGCATACATAGCATGCTAATTTTAACAAAGTTTGTCAAAAAGATGGCTGTTATGGCTGTGCTATAAGAATTTAAAGGGAGTGTAGCCTGACTAGACTGTGTCTTTCCCGTGGCCGGACTCGGGGCCAATCGGGTATAATACGACTACGGATGACTCGACCGCAGCAATGAGGAGAACTTAAGGAGAACAAAGTCAACTACATTATATGTCAAATTTTTGAGATAAAATTTCAAATGATTCAACAGCGCCCAGTTGTTGTCTTTTGTTATATCAGATAATGGTTCACATCAACTCGGGTACATGTACACGCATCTCAAATTCAGAATACTGGTCAGTTTTCTGTATTTTGTAGAGCTATATATCTATCCAAGTATTGTACATTTATAATACATCAGCTATTGTAGAGGTGTTTTGGTCGAGTGGATATGTCGCAGGACTGCCGATCACAAGGTCCGTGGTTCGAGTCCCGCCGCCGCACTAATGTCCTTTGGCAAGACATTGATCTACATTTGCCACACTCCACCCAGGTGAAGTAAATGGGTACCTGGTAGGAATTTATTCCTTGAAATGCTAGAGCGCCGTATGGCAGCCGTGCTAAAGCCAGGGTAATAATCGGGAGCGCCAGGATGGTCAAATCTGACTGACATGAGCGCTATACAAGAACCCACTATTATTATTATTATTTATCCACCTTCGTCAATTGTTCTTCTTTGATGTTTATTTACAGGCTAAGGAGGAAGAGGAGAGAAGAAAACAAGAGGAGGAGTCGTCCAAGTGGCAGGGGGTGCCGGAGTGGAAGCGTAAACTCATGATGGAGAAGGAGAAGAAGAAAGTTGATGAGACCGAGGCTTCTGTGGATAAGACACAGGTCGAACGAGAGGCCAAGCTACGCTCCATGCCCACGTGGAAGCGGAACATTGTCAAGAAAAAGCTGGGTGGGGATGGTGACGATAGCGGTAGCGCATCGAAAGGTGCGTCTGGTTTTGAAGAGACGTCGACAGCTCTGTAGAGTATAACAATAGCATGTTGTCGAAACTAATGACTTTGATGAGCTACAAATGGAGAGTTGGTGCTAGAAGCTTGTTTAGTTACGGGACATACTAAGAGATCTGATGCAACCATGCACTGACCGTTGGATGACTGCAGATGTTATCATCCATGCAGTCGTCCACATCTCCTCGTCTATGTAGAACAACTCCTGAATAAGCGTTGGGTGAATTGGCTGGGCAACATATATGAGCCAAGCTGATCTAAAAGTGACATGGTGCTTGGAATTCCAGATGTACACATACGTTGGTCTTTGATGTTGTTTTTCTGTGTGCAGGTCTTATGGTGGTTCAAAGGGAAGGAAAGCTGGACAGTTGAAGATCAGTATGAACAGTTGAAGCTGATCGTAGATTGACATGGTGCTTTGAATTCAAGGTTAACTCTGGACTTTGTTGAGTGTTCTTCAGACTGAGCAACAGTAGTCCATGTCATATCCTGATGGTGTCAGTGAACAGTATGAACTTGTTCTAGTTAAAAGAGTTAAGATCTTCTTAGGATTTTGTTCTTCTTCAAAATAAGCAGCAATTGATCCTGGCACAAGGATAGAGCACAGATCATGACATCGTCAGTGACCTGTATGAACTGTTTCTATCAAGACACTCCTACATGTACATGTAGATCTTCTCTATATAGTAGTTTTGATGCATGTACGCTGTACTGTCAACTTGATAGCACTTATCCCAATACATCACAGTGATGAACGAAGCACAAGAATATTTACATACATTTAGTAGTACTTCACAGAGTTGATTCTGCTCCGTTTAATTGAATATAAAGGTTGGAAGATAACAGATGTGGAAAGTAAATGTAGATGGATTGCACCAAGCACAAGGGTGATTGAAATTCTGTTTCTAATGCCAGGCACACTCCAGCTGGACATGGGGGCGGGGGAAGAGGCAAGGAAATCTGTTTTGTCTAGCTTGAAAGCTTTAAATACAGAAATCTTACCGCACTTTCTTACCTCACATCTGTAGTTCACAAATATGCATCATATATCTATTTTTATCACATCACTATTGAGTCACAGTCACCCTTGTGCAAATATACATGTACCTATAAACGAAAATGCAATTATGCAATCTGAATGTGTTGGAAATTATTCCATCATTGAACAAACATGTTAAAGACAAGATGTTATTTTCAAGGTATTGTTTGAATGTGACAGAGACGATCGAATCGGCGCATCTCAAACAGTCTTTATCTAAAACTTGAATGCAATTTATCTGATGGTGCATATTGAAAGCATAATGGATCAAACGATGGTGTCTGAACAAGCTGTGATATTGGTGTACATGTATATACAGAGCAATTTATATTTGTAAATATCGTAAACGAAACACACTACTGTTGATGCGGACACATCTTTTTCTTGTTGCATTCTGAAATCTTCGAAAAAATTGGTGTGTTTAATCGTCAGATATCACTGGTTTGAAAGACCGATATCACAATTGGTTTTCGATAATGAATTTCACACAATCACACCCAATGCACTAAATCGTACGACATATTGAACAACTTAATTCTGATATTGGTGTTCTGGAAGGAGACAATGGATAATCGACATACATTTTCACATATGATTTTTTATCTTAGCTATAGTACAGACCCATGAGTTAATTTTGTTTCCAGTTAACTAAAGCATAGTTTTGCACTTGTTTTAACGCATTGCCTAGGAAAATTATATTTTTTCTCTTAGGGCAAGGTGAATCGAATGATGTAATGGAATTTTAATTATTTTTCCATCTTTGTGGAACATTCCAACATTTTAATCTATTTCCAAAAGAACATAAAAATATGAGCATGCATTTATTTGCCAGAAGTTGTCATATTTATTGGGCATTCCAGAAAGATCTTTCAATTTAAAAATGGATACCTCAAAATGATCTTGTTAAAATGTTGAGGATAAAAAAATTCATAATTAACATTATTTCTATCTATAGGTACACATACCCATATAATTTATCATATTTGAGATCGATTAGAGGGCTATACACTGTAGATAATGCATTAGAGCAGGTTAGAAATGAACAGTATATGCATATAACAAATTAATTTATTCATATTTATAAGAGGTAGCTTTCTCCTTGAACTATGTTTATTCTCTGATTTTAATGTTGCAGTGTCGGGCAAGCTTTTGTGACGAGGAAGGCAGGTGACTTGCAATTGCCTTTTTATGTTTTTGTTTTTTTAGCGAATGAAAAAGGTGCTAGTCGTAGTTATGCAATGGATATACACGGCCATGCATTGTAGTATGGTGGTTTCAATACAGAGCCTGAGATCAAGATAAATTTGGATTAAACCTTTTGGAAATGTTTCATTTAGTGAAAGTAGAAATATTTCTGAAAGGATTATTCTCTTGTTATTCTAAATATATACTTGTTAGGAAAGGAAAAAAGAAGAGATGTACAAGATTTTCATTCCACCAGAATATCTTTATTTCATATTACCCTTTGAATTGTACTTATAGTTAGATGGCTTTACAATAGCCTGTGACACAAAAATATGTATACTACCTTGCTTTGATAGACGTAATATAACTTAAAAATGTCATTTATATTATTTCAATTACAAATTTTCTTTCAATGTTGGGCATTTTGCGTTCCGGATACATCTTTTTGTGCTATTACATCTCACTACTACCTAAGACATGTAACAGTAATTTTATTTATTTCATTCCATGATGGCATTTTGGGTTTAGCAAGTGTAAAATTTATAAGTTAACGATTTCAATCAATAGTCATTTAGATTTTGTTTCTTCGAGTTTTAATCATAAAGTGAATAGATGAGTGAATAAACAGATGTAGATATGACAGTGGGTTACTTTTCTTTAGCAAGATACCACGTCATATCGAGACGAGCCTTTACGCTTTTTAACTGTCATGTTTACAATACCTGCGTGTATTTCTATATTTGTTTTGTTTTTGTAGGACTGTGATCAGTTTAGTTTTGTTTATATTATGGACAGGGGGCTGGATACCCACTGACAGTATAAAAACTTTTTACTTTTTCAGTATTATATTGATATGTGATGTAGTACCATAGAAGTTATAATTTTTTTTCTAAATAGATTACACTATGCACTGTAAAATAACATCACAAATCACTATCCGAACAAAAAGTAATTGGCTATATTAGTATCCACCAGCCTATTTTTTGGTTTATCTTTCAGGGGATGTGGCTATAGAAATATATCTTATTCTCTTGTTTTAGTAGCTTATTCTTATTTCTTTGCACATTTCAAATTGATTTAGTAAAATTAAGAGTTTAACAAATTGAAAATGTATTATTTCACATTGTTGTGTAGTTTAGTGCAACTTTACATTATGAATACAAAATGGTATATTTAATGTATTGCCTTACTTAACATGACATGGAACAATTTGTTACTGATTATGCAACAACGCACTGCAACCAACTATGGAAACACTCCGTCAAAACAATCTGCAATGACATTGAAGTTGATGTAATACAGGGTAGACATTTTTAATTATTTTGTTTTTACATTTATGCACTGCAAGCTATGTAAACACTATGTTATGCAACATTGAATGGAATTAGACATACAATGTAGAATGTTTCACTTATTTTGTTTTTGTAATACCTCTCTAAGTACACATACATGTAGATAGATGTAGTTTAGTATCGTAATCTACTGGTGTTGTAGTTTTCATGTGTTCTATCTCTTTTTATTATTTATATCATTCAGGCTGGTCCTATATATCTTTGGCGATTTTAGAATGTAATAATCTGGGGTATTGTTAATCTGCCCATGCTGTCCATTCATCTACAATCCTGCCATAATAGAAGTATTATCGTGCTATTTGTTCTTCATTCAATTTAGTTTTTAGTGATTTTTAAAAGAAATTATTATTTAGTTACGATACATGGAATGTACAGAACATGAACCAATTTCTCTGGATTCCACAATGCCCAAATTGAGTAGGATTCAAGAACATTTCATTGCCTTGTCATTTTTCTTATACTAATATGCTCTTAATAGATGGTTAGTTGGCTCTTTTAATGACCCTTTTAATTACCAAATTGACGACAAAGGTGAAATATTGATATTAGGAAATGTATTAATTCACTCAAATAAGTTTAGTAGAATATATATGTAGAACACTTGGGTGGTCGAGTTGAATTGAGGTAAATGTGACATAATAACAGCTCATATCGTAGTGTGTGGAATATCACAAAACTAATGAAATAACTCTTCATAATACGGTATTGAAACTTTATATTTTAACTAAAAAGAAATTAAGTTATGAATTGTATAATGTTATATTAAATATGTATGATTGGTTGTGATGTATATGTATCATGCTCATATCTTGTCACAAGCAAAGAGTGTATGTACACAATGTAATCTTTTGGTGAAATAAAGACACTAAAAATCAAATATCTACATTTTGTAAATCTGTTACTCATTTTATTTACATAGCACAAATTTCTGTGATGAAGCAGGCAAAAATAAACAGACAGAGGGGGAGAGAGGAAGAGGGGGGTGGGGAGAGGAAGAGGGGGGAGAGGAAGAGGGGGGAGAGGAAGAGGGGGGGAGAGGAAGAGGGGAGAGGAAGAGGGGGGGAGAGGAAAGGGGGGAGAGGAGAGGGGGGGGGGAGAGGAAGAGGGGGGGGGGGGGGAGAGGAAGAGGGGGGGGGGGGGGAGAGGAAGAGGGGGAGAGGAAGAGGGGGAGAGAGAGGTTAACACCTCATATTTATAAAGTCCACTGATGGGGGGGGGGGGGCTGGCAGGGTGGGATACATTGATACAAATGACAAATCATGAGGGGGGGGGGGGAGAGCTGTCACCCTTTCATCTTAAAGAGAAGGTTGAGTTCTGGGAAGAGGTGAAAAATAAGTTGTGAGCATTACTCATTCTTATTGTGCAAGTGTCGAAGAACATCAGTTAAGACATGTTCCCTGAAAAGCATGGCTCTTCAAATGCCTTCATATTCTAAATATGCATGTAACATCGTAAAAATCGGGGGCCGGCTTTTTACGCCACGTGTTCGTGTAGTCCCATATACATCTTTCTGTGCAAGTGTTCTGTAACTTTACCAAGACTTGGCCAAATTTCTTATCATTTTGATGATTCCAGAACCTTGCAATACACACACATTCTTATATGCTAGATGATCAACCTTTTCTGGTCGGTTCCACACCGTTTCTTTCATAATGCAATCGCATGACCACAACTCAACTTCATCTTTAATGCTAGGGTAGGGCTGTATGCTCAAATGGAACTTGAAATACTTCTCAATCTCATGAGGGTGGGTGGGGTAACAGCCATCATCTTCATAAAGCCCACTGGCAGAGAAAGGACAGGGCAGTCATCTCATATCAAGTTTAAGTCCTATGAAAGAGGGAGGGGTAGGAGCGATCATCTTCTCATCTTCATGAAGTCGTCCGGAAGGGCAGGATTGGTCATCTCTTCAAGAACCTCCAACATGGCTTTCCCCTACAAATAAAAAGAGGAAGGAAATGAAATTGTAAATACATAAAGACATACAGGTACCTTCCAGGAGCCATTCAATACAAGAACTATTGTAACATAGAATTTAGTGTCCCATTCATGCTCCCCTGAAATGTTTTTGTACGTAAGTTTTACCCCCTCCCCCCCCCAAAAAAAAAAAAATGCCCGAGACAAACTAAGTTGTTAACCCACTGACTACTGAATTATCTAATTCTCATAGGCTTAACACAGGGACCACCAGGTTCCAGTAAGCAATGGGTTAAAATAATGAAGAAGAAGAAAAATGTTGGGGTGGTATGCTGTAGATTTGTGTACCTGTCATTCTGAAGACAGCTGCCTCTGTTGACCAGTTCCAACAATTTATGAAGTCTTATCTATTTTGTAAGAAAGTATAAATTATTTTGTCTTAAAATGTCTCTTGGAGTGATCTAGTGATTGCTTTTGTGGCCAAAACATGTGGAGAAAAATATAAAGTGCTTTGCAGCATTACATCAAATAACCCCAAGATTGGTTAATGCAGATAGACTTATACATCGTAACTTTGTTATCATCATAAATGAGAAAATAATAATAATTACCATTTTGAGAGCTGCTTTCTGTCTGTGTTTCCTGACCAGTTTGATGAGGGGATGGTACAGTCCTTTGTGCTTGCTCAGCTTGGTGTTAAAAGCTTTCAGTCCAATCCTGATAATAAAAATTTCAATAAAATACATTAATAATAATAATAATAGGCATTTCTATAGTGCCATCTATCTAGATAATTCTATTCCGAGGCACATTTATTATTACCCCGGCTTTAGCCTAGCAGCCATTTATACAGCGCTCCAGCATTTCAAGGAATTAATTCCTGCCAGGTACTCATTTACATCACCTGGGTTGAGTGTGGCAAATGTAGATCAATGTCTTGCCAAAGGAAATTAGTGCCGCGGCGGGACTCGAACCGCGGACCTTGCGATCAACAGTCTGGCAACGTATCCACTCAACCACGACACCTCTACATTGCATGTATGTGTACGTAATGAGAGGGATGTTCTATTTGAATATATAAGTGGTACATAACATCATCCTCCCAGCAGCGAAGCAATTCAATTGGCCTATTTGGAACTCCCCATACAGTGACTGCAGGTGTGACAAGCTGCCAACAATCATCTGTTGATACCTGATGTGTTTAGTGCTCACAATTGCAAAATATACTGCTTGCCAATTGAAGCTAATGAGCCCCCAGCCCTGATTTTCTTGCATATACACAGACCAATTTTATCATTATCAAATTTTCAATATGTTACCAGCCCTTCACAAACTAAATATGATAATGAAGAGTATATCCTACCAGTTGACAGTATTGACCGTGAGAGGGAAGGTAGTCTCCCTCTCACCCTGGTCATCTTTGCGCAGCTTGGAGACGGTACACGCATGGAATATCCTTACACAAGATGCCCAGATATCTGAAAATGACAGGAAATCAGGATGTCACCCCAAAAAAGAGAATTAGAAAAATATAGATCCAACCGCTGCCACCAAAGATAACAATCCAACCACAACAGTTGTTTTGGTTACCTGTCCCTTTATTGCGGTTAAGCTGTGAACAAGTGCGGCTCTGAATAGGAACAGAGGTCAAAGCACTTTCGCTTATCATAATAATAAAACAATGCCCACGTAGATGGCAGCTTTACACACTAGCATGAAGATGGTATACTGCGGTTTATGGAAAATCCCCTCACACAGAGCTCAGATAACTGAAAAGTCATAAAATACATTTGGCACCTATTTTGACCTTTTATCCCATTCCACAGGGTTACTTTAAAGGTACTATGTCCCTTTTGCAGGCCCCAAAAATGAAAAGGTTAAATTCCAACGGCATTTGAAAGATAATACTAATATAGAACTTCCCTAAAACAGGTGGGGCTTGAAAATGTCTTCAAGTGGGAAAATAACTAATATTAGTTGTCAAATCGACTTAGGAGCTATAGAGCCAATAAGTAATAGTCTTGATTTTTAGACCATTGTATCGAATGGTCATACGTTTTATGCTGCACAAAAATTCAATCAGTTTAATTTTGGCCATAACAAGAAGGGGGTTATTGATGTAGACAAATGCTCATGTACCCTTTTCAGCTCATTTTATGTATGTTATATGTTATTACCAAAGAAGAAAAAAAGCCAGTCAGTCACTCAATGGTGTCTGACAGTGAAGTCTAGCAAGTAAACGGGTTTCCTTGCATAATTTGAATATTAGGATGCTGCTAACGTTTAAATTTCACAGATAGGACATACATGACATATTCATAATTCCTGCAAAGTTCTATAGAATTTGACGTTGGCTGCAAAAGGGACATAGTACCTTTAATGACAAAACACATTTAAATACATACAAAAGTGATCTATACAAAACAATTTTAAACATGCATAACAAGTAATTATAACCTTATATCCCGGCCCCCCCCCCACTCTGCCATTTAGGTAAACGCGTATGCATGTTCCCTCCTTTTGAAAACACCCCCTTAAGTCCGGTGTGTAAAGTCAATATGGGCCGATTTGTTGTGTATTACGAGCCGGACTTTGTTGCGTGAAAAGTACCCCTTTACCAGAGATTTTGGGAACAAGAATGCGGTCCCTCCGATTCGGGAGTGGGGGGGGGGGGCCGGGTCTTATATACATACAGCATAATGGTACATGTACAACACAGAGAAAATTGTCTTACTGTAGAACTGTAGAGGGGGTGTGTTCTGTTTGATGTAGCTAGCAAGGCAGTAGTAGTAGGAGTGGAAACGATGCGCTAGCAGTAGAAGGAGATGGTACACATTGATGACAATTGTCAGAAATGAGTTGATCTAAAAAATAATGGATTAATACAACCATAAGTACACATGCACATTGATCTGATATATACTAGATAGCAATAAGGCCTAAAAAAACTAGATGGAACTTCAACTGCGCGCAGTCGAAATGATGCCTCCGTCATAGAGCAATTTTACAAACAAAAACAGAAGAAATTTTTCAAATTCAAGTTCAATTGTAATCCATTAACAGTTTCTCAGAATATCGTGATTACAAGCAATTTCTCATATACATATATGACCCTTTGATCTTTGACCTCATGACCCTAACATCTACTCAGTTCATTGGCTCTACAAGATGTCCCGAGTTAAATAGTAATCCATTTGTCAGTTCTAATGAGAATGCGTTCACGAGCTATTTTTGCATACATAATGAGCCGCATGACCTTTGACCTTGACCTTATGACCCCAAAATCTAATCAGTTCATCGGCTCTGCAAGTAACATACATGACCTAATTTTGGCAGGAATCCATCAATCGGTTCTTCAGATAACGCGATCACGAGCTGTTTTTGCATACATAATGAGCCCTGTGACCTTTGACCTTTAAACTCGTGACCCCAAAATCTAATCAGTTCATCAGCTCTGCAAGATACATACATGACCAAAGTTTGGCAGGAATCCATCAATCGGTTCTTCAGATAACGCGATCACGAGCTGTTTTTGCATACATAATGAGCCCTGTGACCTTTGACCTTTGAACTCGTGACCCCAAAATCTAATCAGTTCATCGGCTCTGCAAGATACATACATGACCAAAGTTTGGCAGGAATCCATCAATCGGTTCTTCAGATAACGCGATCACGAGAACGGGACGTACGGACGGACGGACGTACGGACGTACGGACGTACGGACGTACGGACGGACGGACGGACAACCCGAAAACATAATGCCTCCGGCTACTTCGTAACGGAGGCATAAAAATGTATCTCCCTTTGCGACCGATCCGAAAAATCTTGAAATCTACTGTCAGGTTTTTATTTTATGAACGTAATTTTTTTTTTTAAATGGATTAATTTTTATATTTTTTTAAAATAAAAATTTCTGACTGACAGACCCATGTTTTGGCACCTAAAGGGCAATACAACACCTTTTTTTTAGGCCGTATAAAAACTACACATGTATAGAAAACATTGACTATCTAGTATCCAAAAGGATATTTGCCTGTAGATACATGTATATTTGAAATTGACACATTTTCGTAGGATTCAATTCATTTAATGCAATATTCAAGAAAAAAAACGAATGTACATAGCTAAAGGTATATTATTTCATTTTTTAAACACATAAGTCATGCTAAGAATGATAGCCATTCCCAAATATCTTTTTGAAAATAAATATTTCAATTCTTATCTTTTAAAACTTTCTTTACGATAAGGAGTGACATGAATACTTACTAGTGGGTCCATGAATATGCTGACATTCTTGGCTTTCAGAGACCTTTAAAAAATAAATCAAAGAAATTGCTTTGAAACACAAATAACTAGATGGAACTTCAACTGCGCGCAGTCGAAATGATGCCTCCGTCATAGAGCAATTTTACAAACAAAAACAGAAGAAATTTTTCAAATTCAAGTTCAATTGTAATCCATTAACAGTTTCTCAGAATATCGTGATTACAAGCAATTTCTCATATACATATATGACCCTTTGATCTTTGACCTCATGACCCTAACATCTACTCAGTTCATTGGCTCTACAAGATGTCCCGAGTTAAATAGTAATCCATTTGTCAGTTCTAATGAGAATGCGTTCACGAGCTATTTTTGCATACATAATGAGCCGCATGACCTTTGACCTTGACCTTATGACCCCAAAATCTAATCAGTTCATCGGCTCTGCAAGTAACATACATGACCTAATTTTGGCAGGAATCCATCAATCGGTTCTTCAGATAACGCGATCACGAGCTGTTTTTGCATACATAATGAGCCCTGTGACCTTTGACCTTTAAACTTGTGACCCCAAAATCTAATCAGTTCATCAGCTCTGCAAGATACATACATGACCAAAGTTTGGCAGGAATCCATCAATCGGTTCTTCAGATAACGCGATCACGAGCTGTTTTTGCATACATAATGAGCCCTGTGACCTTTGACCTTTGAACTCGTGACCCCAAAATCTAATCAGTTCATCGGCTCTGCAAGATACATACATGACCAAAGTTTGGCAGGAATCCATCAATCGGTTCTTCAGATAACGCGATCACGAGAACGGGACGTACGGACGGACGGACGGACGTACGGACGTACGGACGTACGGACGGACGGACGGACAACCCGAAAACATAATGCCTCCGGCTACTTCGTAACGGAGGCATAAAAATATTATCTTTTGATTATATTTCAAAATAAATGGCATTAAAAATCTTCTCTCACATTTCCATGGAATGACAGTTTTCACTCACAAATATCTTATAAGGTTTTTAAAAAATTAATACTTTACACAGAGGGCATTTTATCATGGATTGCTTAGTTAAAAAGATACAGGTTTTGTTTGTCCATTTCAATAATTACAACAATGAACTCAAGAATAATTGACCTGCAATACAATATTAGAGGAACATTAAGACATGGAATGTAATGACCGACGCTAAAAGATTCCAGACTAAGATGGCAGAAAACAGAGATGGGCGGGAAAAAGGTGTAATTGATCTCAGAACCTGGGGAAGATCCCTTGATAGATAGATATCATGAGTAATAAACAAGGTATCAGTTCAGTTCAGTTTATTAAAAAATACCAGACATAGCAATCATGACAAACAAACATGATCCAAATTGGGACTCCAAAAAGCTATGCTTGTGACTGGGGCCCCTGGGAAGGATGGACCTCTCGATCCCGGTGGATTGGCAAAGAGACCAACGTGTTTCAAGGATTTGCGCAATTCAAAACATGAAAGATAGTAGGATACGATCACAGATACAATACAGTCTCACACATGCAGAGCCCCAAAAACAAGCAGGTCCAAGAGTCTGCCAACCAAGATCGAGAAGTTCATTTCCCAAAAAACATGATAATGTACAAAACTGATTAAAAGGAAATGGCAAGGTTATAACAATAATAATAATAATATTTAATTTTTATATAGCGCTTAATACAAATTTCAAAGCGCTTTACTTTACTTTAAGAACGCATTTACAAGGGAAAAAGCATGACTTACCAGGTGAGTTTGATTCTCATAAGATGTAGAGATGTATCTCTGTCTGTACAGATGGTAAGAGTGTAGCGGATACCTGACAGAAAAGAGAGAAGATCTTTCATTAAGACGTTTTAGACAGCACAGCAAATTCCACCCCAAAAGTACCTAAAATAGTACATAGCCAGTAAACAGACAAAATGTGGGTACCTGAAGGCTCAGGAGAAAAGGACTCCTTATTTCCCCCCCCCCTCTCACCACGCCCTCTCCCTTATTTTTATCCTCTCTCACCACCCTCCAATACCCCTATGGGTTTTGTTACTACATAATTTCACATAGTGGTTGATTAATGGACTGATTGATAATTGAATGCCTTCATGAAGTGTATCCCGATGTCTGTTATGTCACAAGCACACATGCTAGTGTGTAATTTTTTCTCGGTAACATTGCCTCAGATTCTGAAACAAAATCCTAGATTTAGCTCATGCTGCAATCATAATTATAAACCTTTAGTTCAGTCAGGAATCCCATCACTTTTACAAGCCGATCGCCTGACTGATTATCAATATAATTATTGGAAATCAAAATTTTATTTTTCGCTTTCCTAACGGTTTTTATAACACTACAGTCTATTGTGGAAAATGAGTATGGTAAAACCGGTTACTCAAAGATTTTTACTTTTTGGCGGCACTTCATGATAATTTTGAAGCGCAATTTTTTAGGGCTTCAATATTACACCATATCACAGACACTGATAACATGTAGGGCCATGTATCTCAGATTTAACATTGTTATGCCTTTAAGGTGGATTATGAGTGATGCTACAATGCAAATAAAATGTGCATTAAAAATATAAGTAACTAAGGCAATGACTTGATGAGCTACATGTATCTCCTGGGATGTACTTACTGACATTGTTGTATTTTGTGTAATCATTGCTGATGTTCAGGGTCTGCGTCTTGAAGACTATACCACACCAGGGAAACAGTTCTAAACAGGAAAAAAGAAGATGACTCACAACAATGAAATATGAAGTTTTTTCCACAATTTGGGGCTTTGATTTATCATAAAACCCTTCTTTCTGTTTATAAAACTTGAATTCATAGTGCAATGCAGATTCACAGTGTGCTTTGGGTTTTGCACAATAAAAATAAAGACAAGAAATAATGCACTTCAGGTTGCTGTAAATGTATTTTAAATGGGCCATGTTTTATAAAACAATATAATATATATTTTAGAAACTTTTAGCTGTCATATATTTGATACAGGGGATACAAAATTGTTGTTTTAATAGTAGATATGTACATGTATGTTTCAGAATCTGGTGTGCATTTTATACTGACCTTTTGACCTGGGTACTAACTGACCATCATGCATGAAATCAAAGTTAGCCAATGTCTTGCTGGGATTGGCACTGCATCCGTACTGCTTCACACCTTCATTTCATGCATACAAGATAAGTAAAAATACACGTAGATGCATTCCGCCACAAAATATGTACATATAAACACTCCTCAGTTAAATATACCGAAACGTATTAAATTAATCAAATCCCATTCAATAATGGTTGAACTTTGACAATACCTTCATAAGGAAAATCATTAACTTACTACACTTTGGCGAGACATTAATCTCCTTTTGCCACACTTGACCCAGGTGATGTAAATGGGTACTTGGCAGGAATGAATTCCTTGAAGTGCTGGAGCACCGTAATGGCAGCTAGGCTCTCCCCTGGGGCTTACCAGTAACTTTAGAAAACCCCACGAATATGGCTAACGTACATAAACGTCAAAGACCTAGGGTTAGGGTTAGGGTTAGGATTAGGTTTAGTGTTACTTAAAAAGCTTAAGTCTCGAGATTTAGCTTTATTGGAGAAGCATTTGGTACCCTATGAACGTTTGGTCAATTTTAGTTGTGGGGTATTCTAAAGTTGCTCCAAACCTGGTTTATAATTGTGGAAAGCCAGGAATGTGAAGTCTGTCAAACATGAGTGCTATACAAGAACCCACTACTGCTAATGGCGGACATTATACCAACCTGAAAGAAGTAGCTGGAGGAATCGTTGAGCTTTGTCATGATGAGGGGTGATGAGCAGGAAATCATCAATCAATCTCATCATCAGCTAGAGAAACACAGAAATATAGAGAGAAAGATATGATACACACTGGAACATATTTTTATTGAAAGCAGGAGTACAATATTAAAGCCTTTATACCACCAAGACCAAGCCCATACCTACAGTGTAAGGCACACATAGGAGCATCACTATCCTGGCTGTGTAGTAAAAGCTGTGCTTTTGATTCTCAACATTTCAAACACCACTGTACAAAACTCAACTGATTTCACTCAAAATCGGTACTTTAGTGACAATTGATGACACCTAAATAGCAGTAAAATACATTTTTTCAACTTACTGATGTTAAAAAGAATAAATTAAAAATTAAAATTGTAAGTCTAGTGTCAAACTTTGCTTACAGCTGCATTGACATGATTGTGTAGAGTCTATGCGATATTGTGTGGTGTGTATATTTGTGTATAGACTTCTAGGTCCCTGCCTCACAGCATGTATGCAGTGCTAGAGGTCAATACGCATTAGCATTGACTCTCTATGCTTTGCTGGAGTGGTGTAAGGCACCCGCAAAAACTGTTGGCCTTTCATGGGCAATATGCTGGAGAATTCATTTATTTACCACCTCCCCGTACCCCCCCCCCCCAAAAAAAAAACTCTTAGAGGCAGTGTTGGCATTCGTGTACTGAATTCCTAACATAAAAGATAGGCTCACCAGTATCTTGATGAAAGACACTCCATGCGAACTGCTAGGAAAGTGTCAGATGTGGGAATCCAATAAAATAACTCATCTGGAGCCCGGAGGCATGATGTCCATATAATTATCATGCATTAAATATATACACAAAAATTTCCTTTGATAAGTGTCAAAACGCTTGAAGGAAATGAAGCGACCGCGCCCGCGAGGCCTCGACGAAACGCATTAAAACAGAAATGCTCTTGAAATTAAAACTCCTCCTCGGATAGCACAAATGATGAATATTTTACAATGCAAGATGATATCCATAGATTAAATCTTTATGAGAAATCTTCTTGCTGATAATTGCAGCTGATAAAACTTTATGTAGTGCAGATGAGTAATATACAATTGCATGTGATTAGCAGAAAAATCTAGTTTCCAGGGTTAAGTCCTTCTATTAAAGGTGAAATTCAAAGAAAATCACAAATATGTCAACTATTGTATCACTAGAAACTGGTAAGCTAACAGATGGCCATCGTACAAGTTTGAGGTCAGCTACATATCGGGTGATTTATAAAAATACAAATACAACCACCTCCATAGCAGCTGGGATATACGAGAGATTCGCCAGAAAAATAACGATGTTTTAATGACGTCACAACAGGGACCAATACTGCCCAAGCAGATGACACCCCATAAAGAATGAACATAATTGCAAAGCTATTATTTGTCAAATTATAATGAGTTTAGTGTATATAAATGTAATGGCTTGTCAAACCGATCAAAAGGGGATATGACCCGATTCCGATAACTAAAATCTTTTGCTTGTAAATACACAGGATAGGGGTTAATTAACAATCAAAGAAACCAGACTTTCAAATTGAAAAGCCCCCGGATTGATATTTAGGACGGCATTTGTTCCCTCTTGAAACGCCGAACATACCGCGGTGTGTGCAGCTGAATATACAATGGCGTCTTATTTTGTTTACAAGCGACAGATTCCTTTATTTTTGTATCGCTGCATTTGTCATCAAAATAAAACCATGCGCGGGGTTTAGAGTAAGGCAATAGATTATACATTTAGCCTGACGGTAGTGAAGTAAGAGAAAGAACTCAAGAGAAGATGAAAACACAGGCACTGAAAATGTATGAGATGTCATGGGACATCGTCTGCTTGTGCAAATCATGTCCCTGCTGTGATCTCACACATCTCAGCAGCGTTCGGAGAGCTATTCAGGTGCTATGCCGGGGCTGTATTTAAGCGTTTTGTAATTTATAATAATCTTTACTTCGAATGTTTCCAAGCATTGAATTTTGATAACCTTGTCGAATCAAAGTTTTAACTTTGCAATAATGAAAATAAAGCTAGATTTAAAATCAATGAATATCTATTTTAAGATGGTGCACAGGGAATGAATCTAGAAAATTATGTCATGTCCTTTTTTCCAGACTGTCTCTTGATAGGCCATTTGTTGCCATGATACAAAAACATCTACTAGGGTACAGTAGTGAAGGTATTTCAACAACAGGTGAGCTTGCCTGATTTATATTCTATTGAGTCACAATGTTGAATAGGCTGACCAGCAGTGATCAAAAGAGATGATTTTAAAAGGAATTGCTGGTCTGTTGATTATGAAAGGCAATTGATGGTTGTGTAGTAAAATCAGCTGAAAATTATAAACAAACTGTGATGAATGCAAATGTTTTTAGAACTGATGATAACATTTAGCTACAGTAGCATTTCCCTAGGTGAGCAAAGAATAAACTACAGAAAAGGTGTAACAATCTGACTAAAGAGTGGTAACATACCCCTTTTTGGTCTATATCTGACAAGTACCTTCTTTCAATGTGAGCATAGAAGAAGCTACAGAGAAGGGGTAACAGTCTAACTAAAGAGTGGTAACATACCCCTTCTTGGTCAATATCTGAGAGGTAGCTTCTGTCCAGGTGGGCATAGAAGAAACTGCAGAGAAGGGGTAACAGTCTGAATAAAGAGTGGTTTCATACCCCTCTTTGGTCTATATATGACAAGTAGCTTCTTTCTAGATGATCATAGAAGAAGCTACATAGAATGGATAACAATCTGACTAAAGAGTGGTAACATATTTGGGTCTATATCTGGGAAGTAGCCTCTTTCTAGGTGAGCATAGAAGAAGCGACATAAAATGGATAACAGTCTGAATAAAGAGTGGTATCATACCCCTTCTTGGTCTATATCTGACAAGTAGCATCTCTCCAGGTGAGCATAGAAGAAACTACAGAGAAGGGATGAGAGAATGGAGCCCTGGCTGATGCCATCCTGACGCCAGTAGTACTTCCTACCACTCTGAAAACAATGACAGATTATATGTTCATAATAGTTACACGGCAAGACAAATGTCATCAAATCGTAAAAAATGCTCTTTTTTCTTTCTCTCACACATACACACTCCATCTTTCTCTCTATCTATCTCTCTCTGTTTCTCTCTCTCTCTCTCTCTCTCTGTTTCTCTCTCTCTCTCTCTTTTTTTCTCTCTCTATCTCCCCCTCTCTCTCTCTTTCTCTCTTTCTCTCTGTCACACATTCTCTCTCTCTCTCTCTCTCTCTCTCTCTCTCTCTCGCTGTCACACATTCTTTCTCTATTTTCTCTCCCTTACTCTCTGTTTTTTTCCTTCTATCACAATTAACATGCCGGTTTCTACATTTAGATCATATTTATCCATTCATCATACATCACTCTTTTTACTACGTATATCAAACTCTTTCCATTAACCAGCTCTTAATCTATCATATCGTCCGATGAGGGCTAGAAGGGCATTATTGTGTTAGAGGGCACATGTATGGGTAAACACCCTTCTGGCTCTCAGCAGACTATATTAGATTCCTTCTGGCTATTTTTACAGTAAATTGCTTAATCATACCTTCACTATGTCAGCCATGACATGTTGTTTCAGTCTCTGCAACAAGTCCTTTGGTGTCACCTTTACTGTGTGAACCTGATAAGAGAGAATATACAAAATATTTCATGGCTGTGAATGAGATTATGAACGAAAGGTTTAGTCTCTGCAACAAAGTCATGGGTGCTTCCTTTACTGTGTGAACCTGATAAGATAAAATATATAAATATTTCATGGTTGTGAGTGAGATATTAAAACCCTGAACCAGAGGTTTCAGTCTCTGCAGCAAAGCAGTGGGAGTTACGTGTATTTTCACTATGTTAACCTGATAAGATATAATATACAGAATATTTGATGGTTGGCGATAAGATAGTAAAACGATTTAATGATGTGAAAAATGTGGGATTCTAATCAGCCAGGCTACAGCTACAGGGTATGCAAGATTAGAACTTCCAGGGAAATTTATTATTCTAATATGAATTTATGAATATTATGAGGTTTTGAAATCAATCAAATTTTACTGAATTGACTACATCTTGCTGAAATGCATCGGGCACAGATATGGGTACATAGGACTACACAAACAAGTAACATCAAATATTTCTATTTAAGACCGTCAATACTACTGGGCAAGAAGGGATTAGACCACACAGCGAGGTCACTGACAGGTGGCTATTTCATTAACTCAGCTCTCAACTAACATAAGAAAAAGAGGATCATGGGGGATCAACAGGCACCAATTGGGGAAGTTTTCTATATAGTTTTCTTAATATCATATATTTTAAATACGAGCGCACTGCAATGGCAATACATTTCATGAAACATTGCTACTTTGATACTCATACCCATGGGAATAAAAAGAATCTAAATTGTGTATAGTCTATTTCTTTTAACTTTATTAGAACTCAACATTCTCTCTAACTGATAAAGTTGTAAAATATTGGCAGCAATTGTTATACCTGATTGATGATGATCGCATTCTTGATCTTTCCATGCTGTGCCATCTGAATCAACTGACGATGAAAACTGCTCAGCTCCGTAGTCACATGACGATGGCTTCTCTTCTGCAGACCAGTCGATGCCGATGCTGCTCTCGTCACGGTAACATAACGCTGGAGCTGATACTCATCCGGTTTGTCCTGGTACGAAAGCAGGGAATAGGAGTGTAATGATTTCTTTGTCTACAGTATAAATTCTTACTCAATATTGTGTGCTGATTGTGGTAGGTGTCAGTGTTGTAGTCAAGGCCCAAAGTCTCAAGGCCACAGCATACAAGACCAAGACAAAGGCATGGAAGAAATGGGACTTAATGAGAGAACATAAAGAAAAGAAGGAAAAAGAGAAGAATAAAACAGAGAAAGAAAGAAAGAGAGAAAGAGAGAAAAAAAGATGGAGAAAGAGAAGAGAAGAAAAATCATGATAAGGGGAAGGGGGAAGGAGATGGAGAAGGAAAAAGACAAAGACAAAGAGAAAAAAAAAAAAGAGAAAGTGAGAGAGAAAGAGAGAGAGAAAAGGAAGAGAGTGGGAAAAATTAGAAAAAGAGAGAAATAGAAATAAGCAGATGAAGAGAATTAAAATGAGAAGTGAAAGAGGAGAATGAAGTGGACATGAAGAAGTACAGGAGAAGGAGGAAGAATAATCAAAAGTAAAGATGGAAGAAAGGAATAATTTTTAAAAAAAATACAACATAGATGCACAAATGTTCCCTATACCTTTACCCTATGATGAATGTAACTTGAGCGTAGGGTTTACTTGGGGCTTGATGAGAGTGAGTGTTTTATAGAAATCAAGACTTAATCAGGAAACACGGCTTGGTTTGCTTGTTAGGTTGCAGTATTGAATGCTACGCTGGATTAAAAGTCAAAATTCAGTTGAGATAGATTGTTCCAAAATGAGTGAAATGAATACTACTCACATGCCCTTGGAGAAGCATTGAGATAATCTGTAGCAGCTTTGAATGCTTGATGGAGTCATAACACTTCTCAATGTCTATCTTCACAAAGTACAGCGGTCTGAAAAGATATAGACAAACCAAAATAGTAAATGTCTGTATCAAAGTATAGACAAATCAGAAGATGTCAAGGAAATGTTAATCTGTGGCCATAGCAAGAGACAATTCTACATAACTTGTCTAAACACCAAATTACATGGAGGCAAGCTCCTAATATGAAAACAAAATAATTTTTCTCACCCCCTTTGCCATGCTAAAGTCAAAATTTAGTAATTGGAAACTTGAATACAGTATAGACAATAATTTTTCTGGAAAGCTATGCCAAAAGATATGAAGATCAGCACTGCATTATAAATAAACATTTACATAGTAAATGATTAATGACCTGTATAGCAACTCATATTGAGAATTTTAATAAATCAACAATTTTACAAAATTACAACAATCCTGTAGAACAGCTGGTCAGTAATGACTAGAGTTTATTATCACTTGACAGCGAGAGAGAGAGAGAGAGAGAGAGAGAGAGAGAGAGAGAGAGAGAAAGAGAGAGAGAGAGAGAGAGAAAGAGAGGGGGAGAGAGAGAGAAAGAGAGAGAAATAGAAAGAGAGAGAGAGAGAGAGAGAGAGAGAGAGAGAGAGAAAGAGAGAGAAAGAGATTAAAGAGGCTCCATTTTCTTTTAATAGCATGAAAAATGTTCTTTAGCTTACCTGGTATCCTTTCTCTCTTTCCTATCCTTAATGAACTTCAATACCTTGTGATAAATACCATCTATTCCAAGCAATGAAGAGCCCATCACAGATGGCTGGTTGATCTGAGGAAATACAACAGCAAAAACAGAAGATGGAAATTGAAAACTAGCCCCATTTAAAGCCCATATCAGAAACTTATCTCAAAACTTGTTCATAGCAGCAGGACGAGTTAAAGAAAGCATGTGCAAAATTTCAGATCAAAAGACTGAAGCCTTCATTTTGTACACAAAATATGGGGTGAATAAAACACTGCCACTTGCACAATTCAAATTTGAAAAGAAAAATGACTGTAATTTTGCTTATAATTAATATTTTGCCACCATACTATAGGAATGTTTTCAATTGCAATTTTTTTCCCCCAATATTTTGGCTCTTTTACAAATTTTGAGATTTTCACCGTGCAAATCCTGGCAACACACTTCAAATTATGATGATACATAAAGGACATAAAATTGTCAACCAAAAGTGTAAGGATACCACAATCAACTGTGAAAGCCCAAATAAATGAAAACACAACACAACCATGTAGTATAACAAATCTATTGAACATCACATGATCACAATTCAACCAATAGGATAGTATGCATTTTCAAACACAAATACCCTAGTTTTTATACTTTGGAATAGTGCATAAATGCATTCATTTCATCCTGATTCCAATTGTAATTCTGATCATGATTGTAATCAGACATTTACATGACTTACTTTGTGGTATGTCAACACATCAAACAGATCCTGAAGAAGAAGTCTCACACTCAGGCCCTAGGAGGCATAAATGGAACAAAAAAATATCTTGCTTTTTTTTCTATAATGGTTAGATTGTGAAATACAAGCATGCTTTCCTTTTACTATTTGTTTATTACTGTCCATCATCATCATACATAATTTCTTCTGGTAAAATTGCTAATTTTTTCAATATACATCCTGGTAAGTACAACAAGGATTTTACTAAGATGGTGGAACCTGGACAGAAAGACAAAGGAGACAAGGAGACTTGTATGTACAGGAACTTCAAAACAGGTTTTAGTGGGAGACCCTCGGTAGTCAATAATACAAATATTCCCCAAAATGTGGTCTTTTTATAAAGGTGGTCCTTAAAAACAGGTTTGAATGGATTATTCTGACTTTGACTGACCTTCTTCTCCTCAATGACAGACTTGCCCATCCTTGTAATGGGTCTAAGACCTTTAGTCTTAGGAACAAAGCGCAGTCTAGAGAAGCCAAGAGTTAGACCGGCCGATACAAGCTTCTTCACATCATTCTGAAACAAGATGATGGACAAGATTGATGAGCACATTGTCTATTAACTGTGGTGTAACTAGGGGGCACAAGGGCACCCCCCCCCCTCAACAGTACAAAATCACCCCCACTTTTAATGTCCCCCTCCCAAAGAAAACAAACAAGAGAGAGAGAGAGAGAGAGAGAGAGAATGGGAGAGTATTATTATTGGGTACTTCAAAATCATGTAAATACCTTTTCAGGAAATTTGGCAATAAAACACATTAACCATTGAATCTTTATATCTTAATCATTAGTCATTAACATCAGTATTGAATATCATTTTAAATCACATATTAATATCAACATATTATTAAAAGTACAAAATATGAGAGAAGTTCTTTGAGACGACAGAAAACAAAACAATGACATAATACCTCTTTCATAGGCTTCATGACTCCATGAGACACATAATCTGCGAAGAAAAAGCAGAAGAATTCTAGTGAAATGAAATAATTATTTGTAGTCTGGCTCAAATAAATAAACCACAAACAAAATCAAAAGGAAGAAATGTATAATCAGCTCTTGCCACATTGAGTTTAAATGCATTACATTTTCTAAAGCCGAAAATGTTTAAGACTTCTAGATGCATTACATTTGTTAAATTGGAAGCACATCAACAAATAAGAACTTATCATTTTTCCCACATAAATTACCACCTCTTCCATTTAATTTCATCTCAAATTTCTTTAAGGAATAATGCAGCCCTAAGACAGAAGAATAAGTTTTGAAAATTTAAAGGCATCGTTTCACAATGTTAAATCTGAGATGCATAGCCCTACGTGTTATCAGTGTCTGTGATATGGTGTAATATTGAAGCCCTAAAAAAATTGCGCTTCAAAATATTGTGATAATCAGACAGGCGATCGGCTTGTAAAAGTCATGGGATTCCTGACTGACCTAAAGGTTTGAAATTACGATTGCATCATAAGCTAAATCCAGGATTTTGTTTCAGAGTCTGAGGCAATGTTACTGAGTCACTTTAAGGTAATTTTTTTTCTTTTTTCCTTACACTGAATGCCTATCTTCTCCAGCAGGAGCCAGACAGGCTTCCGGTAGAATACGAGCTGGTTCCTGGAACTAGAATTCTCTGTCACATAGAAGCACATCTAACAGAGAAGTGAGATGAATAGGTTTATAAGGAAAGAACAATGAATGATGATAATAAACAATGCAAAACCTTTTTTGCTTCCTCTCTTTTATTTGTCAAAGAAAAAGGAATGGGAAAGGTTGGCATTATAACTTGGATAATAATCGAGCCAAAAACTTTCATACATTTACTCATATTCCTACTCATGCCATTTATCGTAATCTAGGGTCCTCTTGCATAATAAGTTGGATTAGTAATAATAATAATAATAATATGTCTTGTTTACCCAGGGTAGCCTCGTTGGTATTATATTCTCCCTATGGGCCCTGCAATCCTATTTCTACCCTGGCTTTATTAAAATGCAAATTCTAAAAATATTAAACACAACTTAAGGTTCAACCAATCAGGAAGGTATTTGATATTCTGAGTTGCATTTAAAACGTAATTATTCATAACAGATGCCCTTTATATAGAGTATCTTTATATGCAGAACAATTTCACATAAGTACAAGAAAAGCACAACATGTAAGCCCTGAAAGACCCGAGTTACTACCTCCAGATTCTCATAAATTTATCCAAATTGAATAATTTCCTAAAAAAAGATTCTTGGCTTTGCTCATACTTTTAATAAGTGATTTTTTTTCCCTCATTTTTCAACTCTCATAAAACACAAAGATATAAGTTTCCTTTCAAGTAGTCACCATGATAAGAGGAACGGTGTAACCAATCATCAGCCAGTGAAAGAAGTCTGTCACTAGCTGGCGCTGTTTGACCACGGATGTGAAGGGTGGATCGCGACCTCTGAACTTTTCAAGCTGGCACCAATCGCAATCTTCCGCCTGCAACACAGAGGAAAATTAGCATATCAAGGATGTTAAGCTTCTGTATTATCTTCTATAGAGACACATGACTTTGAATACTCAAACTCTCATAATTCCTGCCTGAAAAACCGAACCTAATAAATTGCCTTTCAAACTCTCAGAAAGAATCAAAATGTGTTATGAATCAAATTATTTGCAGGTCTGATCAAGATTATAATGTGGCAACCAATCTTTATTGAGGAGAGAAAAAAAATTTGGAGGCCCGCAAGAATTGATATAATGTCAGACTGCATATAAATGAAATGTATGTTATTGGTACCGCAGACCTTTAGAACTGGCTAAAGTTTGAAGTCTAACATGAATTAAGTAAATACAAGTTTTTAAAGTACTAACAATTTGTGCCTACATACCCTGATTTCTTCAGTGAGTTCCCTGAGAGACAGTCTTTCAAAACGACCAAGTTGTACAAACTTCTTCACACCTACATGGAATATAATCATCATTAACAAATAACAGTATTAATCAAACAATCATTCAGAAAATATCAACACCATTTGGAATTCAGGGTTTGACAATATAAGGTTAGAGTGCAGTGACTGCAATTTACAAAGAATCTACACTCCTAAATTATCAGCAATAATTGAAAATTGTTTATCTGATACACGATTGAAAAGATGATTAGTACTACAAAATCGGAGAATAGCGTTGAAGAGAGCCATAACTTAAGCTTTTTGACTTGCACTCATCAGAGTAAAATGCAAGAATGAAACAGAAAGCCGAAATCGATCAATATAAACGGAAACTAAAAAGAACAAGGCGCAAATATAACGAGCGCTGATTGGCTGTCAAAGGTAACGGTAACGATATACGATTCCATTATATGCAAAAAATATCATTAACAACAGAGGAATACAATTTCAAACTAAGGGCTAAACAAGTTAACTACTGTGTTTTAAGGGTATATGTACATAATCACCCTGCTGCAGTTTGTTGATACGTTTTACATAATGATCACTTGGAGTTTGAATAAAATGTTTTCCTGTTTTAAACTATATACAAACATACAATGAAATGACAGCTGTCATAGAAAAGGAAAAGAAGGGGGGAAAAAGAAAAGCAACCAAGCAGTTTTAGAAACCTTTGAGGAAGACATTCCTGTTGTGCACACTTCCCCAAAGCTCATCTGGGACAACCTTGAGAAGAACCTGCCGCAGAAAAAGACAGACCTGCCATGGATCTGTCTTCATCTTGATCAGAGTTGCTGCATCGTTAGGCAATCGCATCCTTGGCTTGTCCTTGGTATCAGTCGTCTTTTTCATCTTCCTCTTCAGTTGGAATTGCATGCTATCTGGAGTCTCATTCCTCTTGGGATGGTCACTTGGAGCAGCTGTATCGCTAGGCAACTGCCTCCCTGTTTTAGTTTTAGACTTGCGTTGTATCTTCCTGTCACGTTGGGATTCTCTCTGGACACCATCACCAATCAGCAGTGTATTTCTCTTAGCCCTCATGTTGGTCTTTCCTCTTAACCTCTTATCAGGTTGAGACAGGATTTTGCCTGAAACGGTCAAGGTATCATCATCATCATTGTCTACAGTGACTTCGCCACTAGGCAACCCCACCCCTGTCTCAGTCTCTGTATTAGTTTCCCTTCTTAACCTCATGTGAGGTTGAGATGGAATACTGTCTGTCTCTTGGAGGACATCACCTGCAGTGGAGCTGGTAGCATTTTCATCCATCTCCATCCTAACACTTCGAGACTGGGACACATCAAAGTCCTTTGTGGAACCTGGATGGCTTTTGGAGTGCCCATTCTTCTCATCAAATTTTCTCTCATCAGTGGTGGACTGGGCCTTGGTAGACTTTACCATTTCTCCTTTCTTCTTTCTTCTGACATTACCTACCCTCTCCTCAGTTCCACCAAGGCCTACTCTGTCCCTCAGCCCCTCTCTGATACTCTCTCCTACCTTCTTTGTTGATCCTTTTCTACCATCATCTTTTCTCCTCTGTTCTATTCCTCCTCTTCCATCATCTACTTGTATCACGCTCTCCTCCATCCTTGTTCCATCAAACTGCTTTACCGATGATACCTGTGTGTTGTTTAGAACGCTCTGTTTGGGCCTCTTCCGGTGAAACACCTTCGGTGAATAACCCTCAAGCATACTTTCTTCCCGTAGCTCTGCCAGGCTTTTCTCACAAGACGCACATTCACCAGAAGATGGTGGAGGTAGTGATGTCTTCTTGGTGTGTGACCTTTGACCCAGTGTTCCTGTGGAGCACTCCTGATGACTGGTGTTGGTATGGTCTGAGGGTGGGCTGTCTTGAGGCAGATTCAGAGGGCACTGGTGGTTTAGGATGCTGTTGAGCTTGAGTTTCCTGAAGAAAAAAATATTGTTTTCTTTAAAGCCTGTCTGCACTAGTATGGCCAGGATGGATTAGACCACCCTGCCATGGTCACTGACAGGTGGTTATCGCATCAAATCAGCTCTTAATTAACATAAGAAAAAGGGGATCATGGGGGACCAACGGCACCGCTTAGGCATTGTTTGCTATATATATATATTTGTTTACGCTGAGGAAAGCACAGAACTCTTCCTTTTTTTCAATTGTTTACGATATGTATAGTAAAATGTGTCACTTAAAGATAACCCTTGTGTAATCATATGCTTTTGTAAATCAAATACCCTTATTTATACACAAACCTATGAACCGGGACCTACATAATACAAGCTTTGCTTTTTAGTAGATACCCCACTTTACTAATTGATTTATATGATTGTATTTTCTGTTATAACTATTATCATGTACATTATGTTTTCTATATTGTATGTTTAGTTATAATAATTACCATTGTTCATTATGTTCAATTGTGTTATTTTTGATAAAGTGAAATAAATAAAAACTTGAAACTTGAAACTTGAAGTAGTGCAGATAGACTTTAATGAGTACCTAAAGTAGGAGCATACATTTTGATCAGTGTGAGGTACTAAGGAGAGTGGTTGTATTACATATATCTATCTTTTTTACATCATACACATGAAGTATACTCACCTATGCTGAGTGAGGAAAGTCTTGAGTAAAGCTTGAACCTTGATCAGACGGCGACAGGTGCGTTGGAGCTATTCCGATAGATAAAAATAACATGTTTTTCTTATTTCAAAATAAATCAAGATTAAGGAATTTTCGCCTAATCATGTAGCTTACGTTTGAACATACATGTAGAGATATCAGAACATAGGATAACCATAGGGATAACCATAGGTGTATGGACATTGTGTGTGTGTGGGGGGGGGGGGCTGATCCCCTATGCCCAAATTTGAACTTTTCAGTTTTTAAATTTCCTGCAAAATATTTGACACCTTCTTTGTTAGAATTAAAGAAATAACATATCCGGGCACCTCCTGCCAGAATATAAGACTATTTGAGCATCTCATGCCCATATATAATGGATATTCTGGCACCTAGCTGCCCTCTTATCGGAACTTTACAAATGAAGCCCCCATCCCACCCCATCCTCGTACACCTATGGGAGTATCCAAAAATTGTGGGATATTGGAACTTAGGAATATAGGAGTGAAATATAAAATCAAACTTCTGAAAAATTATGTTTTGTTTTTGCTGAATCTCTAATTAATAACCCACAATGCAAAGGCTGGATTCCTGAATGAAAAATTGTTGGCATGTCATTACGAAATAAAGAGAAGTATAGTCAATATAAATGCATAACCTCTCGTTTTAAACAAAGTGCAATACCATATTTTATTGATCTTCTTAATAATCACTGATTGTTTTAAGTTTTTCTTTTCAAACCCAATCTTTTTATTTGTATATATGAACAGTTGTCTTTTTAACCAGACGACTATTTCATCTGTCATGATTTCATTTACGATAATGTAGATATGTTTTGTGAATGGATATTCTTTCCTATTTATATGTATCCTTGATCATTGTAAACACATACATTTTATCTTTTTAGCTGCAGCATGTACATTGATGTACAATGTATGTTTTTTTCTAAGTAAAAACCTTGAACGAATGAATGAATGAATGATCAAGTCTCACGACATATCTAACCTTTTTTCTCTTCCTGCCTTTGTCATCTCCTTGCAGGCCAATTTCACCTTTTCCCTTCCCGTCATAACTTACAGTCTTGTCATATTTCCCAGGGGCCATTGCACTACTGTGAGGAGAGTTGAAGATGTGTTGCGTCAGCATTTGGGCACCGCTGTTTGAGGCAGGTAGCTTGGAAATGAGATCTGAATATTCATAGAACAGATTTATCTTTAATGATACAGTTGTAGATGTATATCATACTATCATAGGATCATGATGATGAAGGATTAGGGCTTGGATAGTGATTGGATTCTCAATTAGGTTAAAGGGCTTTGCCTGATGGCTCAGTGGTAGAGCAGTTGTCTCGTAACTGGGAGGTCGCGGGTTTGAAACCAAGTTGACGCGCTAGCTCCCTCTGGTAAGGCATTAATTCTCATTACCAAGTCCTTCAAAGAGGATTTAAAGCCATTGGTCCACTGATTGCTTATTTACAAGCATACACATGCTTTCTTAACAGTCCGGTTAAACAAACCATCAAACCAAACCAACTATTAATCCAAAACAACTCATGATCCCATATATCGGCGCCACTGTGCACCAGGGAATTTATTATGGTGATAGGATGAGGTTAATTGTCAGGTACAGGGCTGAAGACTGGAATTTGACTATTGAGAGAAATTGAAAGCATATTAATCGTCAATCAAATAAGTGTCATACATCAAATCTAATGGATTAGGCCTAAAAGATTTTCCTAATACAGGCTTGTTCACATATTGCAGTAATTTACAATATTCTTTTTGTGTACTAAATGAATGGAAAGTGGGGATGAAAAAAGTAACTGCATGCAGCAAAGGTCCTACAAAAACGTGAAGCATGAAGTAATTTGAGGCATTCTTTTCTGTGTACTAAATGAATGGAAAGTGGGGAAGAAGAAAGAAATTGTGTGCAGCAAAGGTCTACAAAAATGTGAACACATTACGCTGAAGAAAAAAAAATTCTTGGTAAACCACCGCAGTTTGCAATGGCTCATGTGAACAAGCTTTAAATGTTCATTTATTATCAACTTTTATTGGTGGAGAAGGGATCAATCATCAACATTGACACTTTTCTTGATGACTCACCGTGTTTTAGTAAAGTCCGTCCCGCAGTCCTTGAATAGCACGCATTTAGAATGTAATAGCTTCTCTCCAGTCCTGTGATCATGCTCTCAAGAACCTTGGGATCTTTCTTAAATTCTTCACGATTCTCAGCCTCTTTCCTATGTGTAGGCTGCCTCATCCCTTGCTCTGGAATAGTATAACCAGAAATGTGAATTATTGGAACCATCTAACAAGAATGAGTGCCTCTAAGTTACAGGGGATCTTAAAAATGGCAAGTTTTGTTAAGACCAAAATGGATTGTAATTCAATGGGTACTTTACTTAACAGACAAACAATAAGCTGAATACAGTGTACACTGAAAGTAAAATCAACAATTATTTTATTAGTCGCTGTTCATCAGATTAGACTATAGACATCACATATTTGTGCCACCTGCTTGTCTGTTCTTCATTGAAATGTCTAGGCCTTCAACTTGTTCCAATTCAGTGAGTGCTGTAAGTGTAAGTGAGGTCATCATTGAATTATTTCAGACGGACAAATCCTTGCAACAGATTAAGGAAATTGCTAGATCTATTGCGAAAGAAATCGCTGATCAAACATCTGGGAAACTACAACAAATGATTGAGCGCAATGAGAGTAGAATTCATGACCTTGAAGTCACAATAGATAACAGGGAACACAGATTGAAGAAGGTAGAGGAAGAATTACAGAAGAAGGGAAACAAACTTCAGGAGTTAGAGATGGCAACAAACAATCTACAGCAATACTTGAGGCGTTCATCATTGCGCATTTTTGGTGTTCAAGAAAATGGTAATGAAGACACAGATCAGCTGATCTGCGACATCAGCAACACAAAACTTCACACCCCCTAATGCGTAATGATATCGACCGTTCTCATCGCACTGAGAGAAGTGCACTGGACAACGGCCGCGGTCCATCATTGTCAAACTCTGTACCTATCGGAAACGCAACAAAATCATCAAGGCACGCAAGAAGTTGAAAAATACTGGAATAACGATGCAAGAGGATTTGAACCCACAAAATGCAAGTATGTACAAGAAAACCTATCAGTCTTCCAATATGGAGTCTGCCTAGACACATGATGAAAAAATCATCGCCTTGGTGAAAACTAGCGATGGAAAAAAGTAACTAAACTCATCGGAAGTGAACTTGATCCCGGATCGCTATAAACAAACCAATTCTTATCATGAGGGGAGCTGACCCCTCTGCTATGTTATATACACACATATAAACATCTCTGGATGCATATCCCATTGTCTTCTTTTGTTCCCCATTTTATTTTTTTTCTTTCTAAATTCTATTATTTATTCTTTAATATATATTGTGTGTTTAAGTGCAATGTCACCATTTGCATGTGTAGTCTGTGAAAGGCAAATATCTGATATGAATAATCTTACAAAATTACATGTGTATCAAACGAGCAATTATGTAGAGAGATTAATCATTATAAATGCACTATATAAATCAGATTTTGCTCTTGAAAATTTATTCCTCTCACATTTCTGATATCGGTAGGAACAGACAAGATAAGATTGATTTATAAACTAACCTCCTCTTCGGAATTTGGCAACATTGGCATCTCCCTGGTTGCATCCTGCATCCTCATCTCTCTTCCTCTTTCCGTGAACTTTCCTTCCGTCACCATCGCATCGATCAACCTTCCCTCCTTTGGCAGCATCCTTAACTTGGAAACTCTTTCTCCGCTGTTTGAACCTTTGTTCAACTGTGGATGTTTTGGCAGGACTTGGTGTGTTGGTTGGTAAGGAGGATATCAACATACTCAGTGGGGTACCTGTAGAAAATCATCAAACGTGCATTGGAATCTAAGTGGAAACAGGGCTGGCTTAACTGAATGCTGAAAGTAATGTTCCCTGATTGATTTGACTGGCTTGTATCGTAAACTAATTATATTAAATAATATCAAGCATCAAGCCAGCCAATTCAATACCCAATAAAATCAAAAGAAAAAAGTCCTTTACAAGTGTATAAAAACTATGTTATTACAGTGACTAATACAGAGATATTATTTTCTAATCTACAACAATATACAGTTAAAACGGCAGCCAATTTTTTTTTTTAAATAATTTTTTTAATAATTTTTATAATTTTTGTTATTGAAAGAAAAATATAAATATATATATAATAACTAGAACAAATCATACCCCAATCCCATCGGTTTTTAAAAACACCAGTTAAAGTTTCTCATGGTAGGCATTATTAAATTAGTTGTAGAGACATGTTTCTAAAAACAGCCACATTCAATAAAGCCCATTGTTTCTCACCTGTAAGTTGAATATAGCAGGATGGTGGAGCTGCACCAAAAATAGACAGATTCTCCAGAATGTGCATCATCAACTCATCTCCAATTCTAAAAAAACGACACAAACAGACTGGCATTTAAATCTCCACCTACACAACAATTTATTGATGATGTATAGGATTAGCAAAATACGGAAGAGGCCTTCTTTGAGATTTTTCTGCTTGTTCATTGCTTTCATCTCTCCCGTTTGGAAAACCACCTGCAGGACAATAGTTACAACTGCCTTTAAAGGGAAGTTCATCCTGATATTACGTTGGTTTTAATTGAAGCAGAAAAATGAGAGGAACTGGTCAGTGAAAGTTGGGGCAAATTCTGACTGAAAACAAAAAAATCAATCAAACACAAATTGGCAACTCTGTGATGTATCTTGCTAGGCCACCTCCCATTGGCTCTGTACCAAAAATTATCAGAATTTATATTTTCCCTCAATAAAATTTAAATCAAAATATGTTTCTATACAACCCCTGTATAACAAAAAAATATGTATTTTGCCATAAAAAAAAAAGAAAACAAAAGTTGGTGAAGATGATGATGATGATGATAAGAAGGATGATAATGAGGATGATGAGGAGAAGGGGGAGGATGATTATGACGATGATTAAGATGATGATAATAATCATTGTTACCTGCTTAGCAGCTTGCTCCAGAATGGTATCCTGAGTTGGTTACTGTTGTTGTTCGGAACATTTATCGAAGGAAGGATCCCTGCATAATCACCTTCTGATCTCCACTGCCAATTTTTAAAAATTCAACATTTCTCATACTGTATATATATTCATAAAGACAAATTCCCCCAAAAAGGGGGTACATTAATTCTTCTTCTGTTAATCTTCAAAGGGCTATGCAGCCTATCAGGAAGATTTGTAGAAACATTACCAGTTTTGAATGCAGCCACACTAAGCCCCGAGTTTACACCCTACTCTTTGCGAGAAGTGTAGCACATTAACATGCATAGAGTGCAACTCTCCTACACTCGGGCCTCCAGTTAACGTTCTAGTCTGAGGAACGGAGAGTGTTCCCCTGAACCTGAGCCTGCATTAAGAACAGAGGGGAGGGGCACACTTACATACAACACGGCGAAAATCATTTTTGCATTTCTGTCTGCTCAGCGCAGGAATCAAACCCATGCGCATGACAAAAGCTATGAGAGCCATACGACAATCCGATTTGCGCCACTAATCACCATTTTTCACTGGATATGAATGACAAAGATACTTCTGTTAAAGATGCTACAGTAGCATCCATTCTGTCGCTAGTCTATTGGAATTCCAACAGCAGCCTTTAATTTCATACTTAACAGACAAAACAAATGCACATTATTTTACTCACAGAAGTAAAACCGTTCAGTAGGACATTCTTTCCTCCTTTTCCTTGGTGTTGCAGTCTCTGCAAGTAAAATAGGAATACACAATCAATCAATACATCCATCACTGAAACTGGTATTAAAGGAACCTATAGGCTATATAAAGATCACTTGTTTTCCTTTTTCTATCAAGACATCTTTATACACACAGGTTTCAGTTCATTTACATTACACTTATTTTTCGTCAGCAAATTTCCTAAGCCATAAATGAGGCTTTATTATACCCTCTCCCCACCCCACCCCATAGCTTTTTTTTTTTTTTTACTTGTTCATCAATTCTTTGGACCTGCAAACTCAGACTCTCCTTTAATTATGGGCAAGAGAATCCTGGATTATGGCCAAACGAAACCATACAACTAGTTGAAGTATTAAAAGTCGTCCTAAAGTACGCAGTACGGCGCAGTAATCGCGAAAACAACAACTATTGATGATCAGAAAAGTGAGAAAGATGTCTAAACTCTAGACATCTAAACTGTTACAGATAATCTGTTCTTTTGGATGTGATATAAGAACTTTTAAACCAGTATTGAAAATCTTATTGACAAAATTGTCAACTTACCAACAACACTCGGTTGATAACTTCCATATGATCAGAATGCTGTGTATAATCCAATGGCCCTTGATAGCTAATATGACATGATGGGATTCCTACGAGAGTCGACTGCAGGAAGGCTCGGTAGCTTCAAGGAGAGAGAAAAATGACAAGCAAATGCAACAAGATGAACATTCTACAAGCCTTTGAATATCCACTATCCATTATTAGATTAATTAGATTGCTAATCATTTAGCAAAATGATTATGATCTTAATATTCATTTACAGAATTAAAAATATTTGATGAGAAAAATATTAAAATATCTCCCAAGTATTATCGGTTAAAAAAATTACAAGAAATGGTCAATTGAAAGAAAACATAAGTTAAGTTAATTTTAAGATGAATGAAACATAAATAAACTCACAAATCATAATTTTGAACTGCAATGCAAGTATGATTTAACATCGCTCATGTTGAAAAACACAAGAAAATTAGTTTATTTCATTATATTCTGGTTGCTTTCACTTCCATGGGAAATCAGGTATTTTCACATGGAACCATGGTTAAAGAAAAGTGTACAAAATACTGGTATATTTTCAGCCACTTTACTTTGAATCATCAGGTCATGGTGTCGGGTCGTGTAGTCACGTTACCCAACCTTTCGTCAAAACATGCCCCTTTATTCACCAAATGTCGGGGATAATGTTTGTGAAATAAACGCCTCTCATGCATCTACTAATGGTTTGTCCCAATTTTCCAGAAACCTTGTGAAAAACTTATGGCAAATCTACAAAAAGTCAATCTGCATCTTCACTCAATCTTCTGCTTTTGTTTCACAAAAATTTGTGTAACCCGACCCGACCGGACACGATGACCTGATGTCGAAGTAAGCCTTCCTAGATTTGAATTTTCTTCAACCCACAACCACATAGGCCCAAATTCACAAAGGAGGTTTGTCGACAAACCTTGGTTTTCGTGCATCATTTGACGCGTTTCGACGCATTTTTACAACCAGGTTTGTAAAAAACGTGTCATATCACGTATATAAACCTTGGTTTGTCGACAAACCTCCTTTGTGAATTCGAGCCATACTGTCTGATGAAGATCTTTCCATTTCCTTTTGATACATTATCATGCATTTGTAAGCTAAAATGATTTAAACCTGAAGTATTCTGTCCTAAATTTAGAGTGCTCTAACTTTCTTAGTCTAGATTCCTATACCCAGCCTTGTCTTTGGGGATGCAGAGAGGTGGACATCCATTCAGATCTCTAAGGAAGTCTTCAAGACACGAGACTCTTGGGAAGAATCTCTCCAGGATATCCATGTTCAGCTGTTGAATCACATTCACAGTACGCAATCTTCAAGGCCTTGAAGCAGCACTTTCCTTGGAAGAAGAAGAAGAAAAATCTAACTTGATTGAAACACATCAATGGATCAATTTGAGTTGCTCGTACTTGTACTATATATGCAGTGATTTGACAATTTTTTACTTGGTAGATCTAGCTAGACTATATTGCAAAACGAGGAATTGAAGGTGAACATCACAAGAACATAACTTAATAGTACGCAGCTAACAAAGCAAAACAAATTTCTCAAGTAAAAGATAAAAACATGCATGAATATGAGTAAATTAGTTTTGATCTAGCCTTGCCAGACTCGCCTGCTTCAGCTCAGATGCATGAGCATGTGTTTACTCAAGGAGATAGGAGCTCCTCGGTACAATTAGATTAGATCTCAAACTAAAACTAAAACTAAAAAAAGTCAAATTGTTCAACTTGTTCAATAACTTATTACGTAGATCTAGGCCTACAACTTCTACTTCTACTAGTACTACGGTTCTAGTTCAATTCAAGTCAAGTAACTAAGACACAGACCATGTCATTGTCAGATGTGTCTTTGTGCATGTTTATTATTATGTTTATTACGGAAGAATCCTGGATCGATGAACAGGCTTAGACCTACAACATCGTGTTTTAAAGTAAAGTAAGTAAAGTATTTGTATCTACTACGTATACTCACCTCATATACCACTCCAACCATAACAAAGACACTGCAGTTAACTTCTCCCGAAAATCTGAAATTGAACTGCATGCTCACGTATTCACATAGGTCTAGACCTCTAAGAGAGTTTTATCAGTAAATACCGTGCACGTGTGTTGTTTACGTACGTGTGAATGAGACGCACTAGTGTTGTTTACGACTGTATACCGGAAGGAAACGTACGCGCGCATGCACAACAAGGGAAATCCCCTAACTGACAGAAAAATCAGGGTGTGTAATAAAATAATAATAATAATAATAATAATTTGCTTTAAATTAGCTTCTCTATTGAAAAGTGAGGTGTTAAGAAGAGTCAAAATCGAATAAAAGACAATGTTGAATATCGATGTTGAAAATATTTTGAATAATAATATATGAAACGATCTAGTTGTTTTCATTTTCTTTTGCATACACACCCTGGCCTTGTGCACATGTGTGTCAAAGTACAAGTTCACGTGAAATCGGAACTGCACTACCTGGGATGCGATGGCCTTTGATTAAAATGTACATTGTACTATGGTCCATAAATACATGCTCGTGACTTAGCCAATGACCTAGCCTGGCTATGCTTATATGCTACGCCTATGGTATTTCAAAAGTTACTGTTAGTGTTTGGCTCATATGCAGCTTTTGTTCGCGTTCGGAATCATTTGTAAATTCAGATTAGACTAGATTGATCATGTCTGGAGCTCGTAAGTTTTATATGATTATTATAGCGCTGTTAGCGGAGATGAGCAGACCAGCTGCTTCCTGACAGAGTTATATTATCTGGCATTGACTTGCATGGCTCTGTATGGAGTGAACATTGTTATGGTTATGATATAATTCACCTAGAATAGTCAATATTTCATGTCAGCTGAAAAGTCTACGAACCGAACAATGTATGTATATATATATAATTTAGTTCATGGGGGTATATAAACATGGATATATAATTTAGTTCATGTGGGTGTATAAACATGTATACATATATGGGGAGGGGGGGGGTATATATATATTTTTTGTATTCTTTATTTTTTAAAGTTAGGGATGCATGGATCGCATAACAAAAAGCTAGGATAGGCCTAGTATGATTTTTTTTCCCGCCCCCCCCCCCCGAAAAAAGTAGATGCAGTTAAACAAATATTTGTGATAAAGAACTTATTTAATTCATTTCTCTAATTTATTGCAGGAGCAAAAGTTCTACTCAGACATATCCCTCGAACTGTCTCTCAGATAAGGCAATATGGAACAGGTACATATAGTTCTAATATACTTTTCTAGTACTTTTCTTCCAGTGGGTATTATACAACACTAATGTCATAATGCAACATTCGCTAAATTACCTTAAGATTTGTAAATCAATATTGTCATTTCAAGCAAATTTAATTTGCATCATATTACGACATTTATCTTTGTACAGCTCCTCTGCATGAAGCCGTACAGCAGCTCTCTTGGTTACTAGGGACTTGGGAATCAGAGACGGCTAAGGGATTCTTTCCAACCATCAAACCATTTGAATACAAAGAGACGTTGGAGTTCACTCATGTCGGACAACCCTTGCTGAATTTCAAGTAGGAATATAATTCATTTCAAGAAATTTAGCAGCAACCTGTGAGAGCCTTAATAATACACTTGAGTTCATATTATTTTGTCAAAGATTATAAAACACCCTTTTGTCTGCTCCTCCCTCCTACCAGAATCCTGTACTCCCAAAGATGTGTAAAGGTTCAATGCCAATTAAGGCCAGATCTTGCACCCTGTCATGAGCGGGGCTTATGTAGACATAGTGTCTCAAGAAGAAGAGGAAGAAGGACATTTATCTCTAAACCTCCGAAGTGATTGACCCCTTGATTATGTAGCACCATCAATATGGAGCTTTTTCTTGGGGGGGGGGGCGTTTTTTGTGTCTACGTGATGGTAAGTACCAGGGTAAATGTCCAGGAAATTATAGTCCTGGGGATATTATTGTCATAGAATGCTAAAAATAAATAACTGATAAAAGTTAAAACCCATTTTTGTCTCTTCAGGTCAGGGGCTTACACGCCTGAAAATGAGCCAAAGCATCGAGAGAGTGGATTTCTGAGGGTTGATGTTGGAACAAATCACGTTGCCTTTATGGTAGCTATGAATATTGGTAAATTTGAGTTTTTGATCTTGATCTTCTTGAGTTATGTTGATCAGCCCTGCATGGTATAGGGCATCACTCAAAAGTTGTCCCATTGGTCACAGAGGAAGGAAGTTTGATTTGTTGTTTACCATGACTTAGAACAATAAAATCAATTAGAAACCATTCACATACGCATGATATAATGTTCTTAGGTGGATATTGAATGCAAAATACAACTTCACACTGCATGGGTGCACTCCCTCCCCCCCCCCCCCAACCCGTTCCTGAAAATAAAATCTGAAATACTGGTAGAATACATACCCCCACCCCTTCCTGAAAATATAATCTAAAATACTGGTAGAATACATCCCCCCCCCGAAATATATATATATATATATATATATATATATATATATCTAGAAAGAAAGAAAGAAAGAAAGAAATAATGAAAAATAATAATGATAGTAATAATCGTAATAATAATATTCATAATGATAATAATCATCATCATCATCATAATAATTTAAAAATAAAAAAATAATATCCCAAAAATTGTTTTAATGAGCCCCCCCCCCCCCCCCCCCATTGCCCTCTTTTTAATATGCTTTTGTTCATGAATCTACTTAAACTTATCTTCATACAGATTAGTTGGGGTGGGGTGACTGTAGTGAGCTAGTAAAGTCATGATCCCAGTCTCATTGGAAGATAGATTCTTGAAGTATAGTTGACACTTCATTATTTTGATTATATTGGTGTGTCCCTGCAGGTATTGTGGAGATAGAGGAAGGGAAGGTGGTTGGTACTGAGCTTCATCTAGAGTCTAAGGGACTACATCACATGTCTTACACCGACCTACCAATCACTACAAAGGTACGTACAAGAAAGTAGGAGATCACCATCTAGAGGCTTGTTCACATAAGCCTCGGTAAACCATGGGGATTTACTATTGGCCAGCTATTTTTCATGTACTAAATGAGTAGCAAGTGAGGACGAAAAAAGTGGCTGTGCAACAAAGATCCTATGGATGCTCACTTATCTATGTGTTATAAGATACAAACGTGAAGTATAGTGTGCTTAAGTACACGTAATAAAACACATGGTTTAATGCAGCAAAATGTAAACAAGCCTTTATGAATTAATGCAGGTAATGTTTAGTTTAGCTCAATGGGTAAAATGAGAGAGATCAAAGTGGACAAGCAGGGGAGTGTTAGGTCCTCAAGAAAGGACTCTTTTAAAATGACCTTTCTCCTATATCTTCCTTTTTTCCTTTTCTCACTAGATGAGGGGATAGGCGACTAGAACTAGTATGTGATTGTTGTCATTTTTTAATGGAATAGGTTGTCTATAGGTTGTCTCAGTCATATTTTATTTAGAATATAAGCAATGAGAGGATTAGAGGGATTTCGAATGAATTTATAAGGGAAAATAAAGATGATGGTTGGAGGGGGGGGGGGTATTCAAAACTGGATCGGAGAATGGGGTGAAAAGCGAGTGAAGACGGTAAAGTTGATTCAAACTTAAAGGATTTCTTGAATAAATGATTTTATCACTTTTCCATAATCTCAGGTTGCTCTAAAATTTAAGTTGATTGATGAATCCACCCTGGAACAGGAAGTCTCCATGGCAACAGTCAAAACACCAGAGTTGACACCACACTTGAGTGTTTGCTACAAGAAAGTATTGTAACCACTGTTTGGTTAGAGAGGAGTGATAAGACGAGAGATTAAAAATATACGTTTTTAATCTCTCTCTGATACTTACATTTTCTCTGTTTATTTTTTGTCTTGGTAAATACTTTACTTATATTCTGTTCCCCCTTTTTTTCCCTCCATCTCCTTGCTCCCTTTTATCTGATGGTAGTTTTGTACCTTTATAAAGCATATCTCTTTTTCTCTCTCCTTCTTATCGATCGTCCTTTACATTATTTTGTATCTCACTTTTTATTTATTTCTTACTTGAATATTTTATCTCTGTGAACTGACGTACCTCTCACCCTCTCCTATTTTGGATTATGACTGTTTATTGGGGTTTCTAACTTTTTAGAGGAAATTATGTTTAAAGGTGCATCAGCCAAACTAACATATTCTCCAGATCATGCCCCCCCCCCCCCCACTGCGAACGAAATTCTTTAACAGATGTTCCCTCCTAGAGTTATTATTCTTGATTAAAAAATACTTTGCGAAATGTATAATATGTATTATCTTCTTTTTTATTGGAGATGATAGATATCTTTTGTTGTACAATAATTGTATCATGTACCGCACTGAAAATTGGAGATAATGCTGCAATAGTTTCATTTAAAAAAACCTAAGAATTATTCAATGTGACCACTTACTTTATGAAACTTGTATTAAAATGGTCTTTGTATATATGTTTTGTGTATGACACCTTGTACATGTACATGTAGTTGATTTGCCAATAACGAAATAAAATAAATGTATTACTTTTTCTAATGATTTCATCTACCGGTATGTTGTTTTTGTTTTATGTGTTTTTTTGTTCTAAAGTACAGAATTCCGATTAGTAATTTAGCAAACGTGGTGGAGCCTTGTTGGAGCAAATTTTGAAAGATACTTATTCATTAATAAGTACACAAGAGAGAGGGGGATGTGGGAGAAGAGAGAGAAGTCGAGAGAGTAGAGAGAGAGAGAGAGATCAGAGAGAGAGAATTAGCCCTCGCCGTCAATAAATGGCCTTGTTAATGCACATTCTACTTGATAAAACTGGTGCTGCTGCTCAAAAATATTCAGAAAAATAATCACCAACTTCAAAAATGGTTTGATTAAAATGAATTTTGTTTGTCATAACATCACCTATTCGAAATTAGAATACGCTTTACCCTTTTCTTCTTTTTTTTACACACTCTGTACTACGCGTTACGAGGGGTTCTACGTTTCCGCGCTGACCTGGAATAGGAGGTGACGTATTGCAGTGTTAGCTAGATCGAAACAAAAGACTGAGCGAGGCCGAGGAACACATACACATAGATCTACACTTTAAATTTGAAGCTGAATTGATCTTCATCATGTCTGGTAAGTTTTTACTAAAGCTATTAACTACTGTCGTGCGAAATTGATGATATAAACACAGTCAATTTACAGTTTGATGCGAAGTGTGTGTGTGCATGATCGTAATATTCAATTGCTCAACCAGGGCTTGTAACTCACATATCCCTGGCTCAACTCCCTCCGATTCTAGGCCACGAGCTCAGCGGAGGTGAACTCTGCTAGGACCGATACATTACCATGGGCTTAATCACTGCGACCATGCAGTGGGAGCGTTGTCAGGACCCGTGTGTCGTGGGCGTGGTCAGGCGCGGATCTACCGGGGGGGGGGGGGGGGGGGGTTAGGGGGTTCAAACCCCCCCCCCCCTTGGGCGGCCCCAAAAAACAAAAAAAAAGAAAAAAAAAGAAAGAAAAAAGAACGCACGCTGGAGAGAAACCCTTTCAAGTGCAAATATCGTGAGAAGATATTCAACTCATCTGGTAACTTAACCAAACACATGATAAAAAGGCTGGATATAACTGTGTATTAAGCTGTTACTTGATTTAAAAAGACGTTATCATGCACTGCTTTTTATGGTCTCCATTGTGTTAATAGATGCCAGGAAAACATCACTTGCGGGGTTCAAATAAACACCCCAAAAAAAATCGGCTCGCCGCTATGCGGCTCGTGGACGATGCTCTGCATCGTCATTATTTTGGTCAAACCCCCCCCCTTAGCAAAAAGCTAGATCCGCCCCTGGTGGTCGTAGTAAGGAGTTATTATTATTCTTTGGTCGTACAGTAACATACAGATTAAACGAACAGTCGTAGGTTTATGTCAAAGTGTGAGATTATATCTCAACAATTGAATGATAAACAAGACTGATTTTGTTGACATCTAGTATTAGAAATATGAAAAACAAAGAAAAAAATAATTTGAAAATCAAATTTCCAAACAAATTCTATACTGTTTGTTTGATTATTTTTTCCACATTAAAACTCAAAACACAATTGAATATGATAATGAACTCTAGCAGTTATAGTATTGTTAATTATATTTCCTTCAATTAGCCAAAAGAATATTTGAAAATTGTTCATTCAGTTCAAATTAGTTTTTCCAATCTTTAAGAAATGTTAGTCTTTCCAATAGCCTCCCACAGTATCTAGTTCTGTTCTTATACTTATTGCCTAAGATGGTTGAGTACCGTTTGTCCGGCCAATTAAACATTAGCTACCCATGACCATGTGACCCGGCAACCCCCCCCCCCCCCCAACTCCGTGAACGGAGGGATACCATGTGTGTTCCCAAAATGTCCGGTAAAGGGGTACTTTCCACGCACCAAAGTCCGGCTCGTACATACACAAAATTGACTTTACACACTGGACTTAGGGGGGTGTTTTCAAAAGGAGGGAACACGCATATGCGTACCCTAAATAACACTGAGTGGGGGGGGGGGGGCGGGCCATGTGATTTGCACCTTGTACCAAGATGCAAATTGGGTATCACCTCTTAGATAATAGTATTGATGGAAAGTGTTTATATAGCACTTAATTATTCGTTAAATTCTCTATTCGCCGTTCATCCTTTATTAAACAATAATACATTAACAAACATTGTATCAGAATATAGAATGCATGGATATATAATAGTAATTCAACCAGATAATAATAAGATAATAAAAGCAATATTTACGTATGTAATGTATGAAAATAGCCAATATTGTGAGATATGCACCTACCATGTGAGACAAGGTCCTATCACAGCCCAGAGAAAACCCGGACGAAGAAGTTTTTAAGGCTGTTGTAAAAGCATGATCGCCATATTTTTGGGTTGAAGTGGTCAGAACAGAAAGATGATAAAAGGACTCTTCCCAACTATCCAAGTATTTCAATTTTTTTCAAAGTTTCTCAATATCGCAGCATGATTATATCGCAATTTTTTTCTTCCCCTCAGCTCCTCTTCATGAAGCTGTGAAGCAGCTCTCTTGGTTGCTAGGGACTTGGGAATCAGAGACGGCTAAGGGATTCTTTCCAACCATCAAACCATTTGAATACAAAGAGACGTTGGAGTTCACTCATGTTGGACAACCCTTGCTGAATTTCAGGTAAAAAGATGCACAATAAATCAGTTTATAACAAATTATTCAGCTATTAATGATAACTTTGACAAAAAATAAGGCTCCTGTTAAGGCTCCCCAGCTATACCAGTAATTCAGTTAATTGCCCATTTTCTATCCCTTTGTCAATTACATACAATTTCTTCAAGGCATTAATCTAAATTTACTACCTTATACCCAGGAGAGAAATGAGAATCCAGAGTTCCGAATAGATTGTGTTAGTTAATTCCACATGCCCTCACATCGACCATATTGTAGGAATACTCCCCAGGGATTTGGTTGGAATTGTGGATGAATGAATCCTATGAAGGGGGGTAATAATATCTGACGGTATTTAGTATCAAATGCTATATGAATCATGATTATTATTATTATTATTTGTGTTTGTTTTTATTTTCTCTTTGTATGTTTTATTCTTTAAATATACATACCGGTACATTTATTTTTACTGAAATGTGAAAGATTTTTTTTTTAAAATAAATGAAATGAACTTCGTTAGTCATGTATCACAACACCCCATTTCCCATTTTTCTCTTACCTTGTATCTCTCCTGTTATCTTTTTCCTTCTTTTCCTTTTTGCTTCTTCATCTGATTAGGGGGCATGTGCCCCTCTAGCTGCATGTGCCATCCCCCCCGCCTCCCCACAGCCATACCACTGGTGTGACTTGTATCATGTAAATCCTCTATGACAGATAATCTTTTTCCCCTTCAGTTTCAGTTCCTTTACTCCTGACAACGTGCCAAAGCACAGAGACAGTGGCTTCTTGAGGGTTAACATCGGAACAAATCATGTTGCTTTTGTATCTGCTCAGAATGTAGGTAAGTGGATTTTAGAGGTTGAATTAAATGTAGGTCGAGTTCTGTGCTGATCCGGTCTCGGCTGCTTGCCGACACTCACCTAGCTAGCTGTCTGTAATAAGCATTGCAATAGTTAGATGGTGCTATCTTTCACTTTGTCTTTGTTTTGTTTTTTAATTTTTGTAGTATATCTTAAGCAATTTTCTATTTTTATAAACTGAATTGTCAGTTGGAATATGATGTGATACTGTGAATCTGCTGTGTGCAGATAACACACAAAAATTAAATGAAAAAACCTAGATGAGAGGTGTGTCTTGGGTGAAATACCCAACAAACCCAACACAAAGTGCGACTTGGAAAAAATGTGTTCTCCGAAGGCAAGACAAGTTTGAAATCACTGCACAATCGGCAGCGGCATTAGACAAAGAACAATTACAAATGATGGACATGCAGTGGGATTCCCTAAGTTCTTCTTCTGTAATAATCATGGACTTGTAAAATAATCTCAGGAAGTCAGTAGCAGGCGTCAATAGAGAAATCCAGAAAAGGCTTTTGGATACGTATATTGCACATATATAATACAGGAAATACATGCCTGCACCCTACACCAAAAGTATGTAAGTCCCGCAAGTGGCTCAAAATTACATCCAAGGGTCGCACATCCAGCCATTTGGGGGTACTGGTGATAGTGAGAATTGAATTTAGGGTTAGGGTTAGATATGAAAACTGCTGAAGATTTCCCTCTAAATGAGGATTAATGATTTTTAATATTCTTGCAGGTATTGTGGAGATAGAAGAAGGCGATGTGAACGGAACTGAACTTCAGTTAGAGTCTAATGGTATCCTACATTCATCATTTGCCTCATTGCCTCATACTACCAAGGTAAGACCATGAAACAAGAAAGAACCCAAAAGAAAATAACACTACATCTCACCTTGGTAATCCACTAGGGAAAATATACATTTCTGATTTCTTTTTTGTTGTTTTTAGTACTGAGCAAATATGTGGGGACCTTGCAAGATATATATCACAGAGTTGCTCATAACTCATAGCTTTCTTATTTTTAATAGGATGTTGCTGAAGATTTCATGTTCCTTTTTCCTCTCATTTTCTGTTTCTTTTAAAAACCAATTTAATATCAAGGTGGGCTGTATCTTTTTACAAGAAAAAGCAGACCAAGGAGCTTTCAATTAAACTCAACACTAAATTTTCTAAGAATTTCATCCTCAAAAGTTAGATTGTGTTATCAGTTGATCATAAAATTATAACATGAAATTAGTACCATTGCTTCACTGTTTTTCCATTTTTCAGATTGCTCGGGCATTCAAGCTGATTGATGAGTCCACCCTGGAACAGACAGTTTCTATGGCAACTACTACTACTCCAGAATTGAAACCACATTTGAGTGTTCGCTACAAGAAAGTCTAGTCAACTTTCAAATAGAGAGGAGAGTGCACTGCCAACTGAAGAAGAGATCTAGGCAAAAATTGCAAATTTGAAATGACTGCTCTGATTGGTTGATGATCAGTCTTTTGAACAAGATGTGCATGCAACGCTGATCTTGATTGGCCATTGTCATTTTGCAATTGATTGCAAACCTTTGTGTTATGGGGCCATGGTGTACAAGACTGAAATGACAAAACACATGCAGAATATTTCAAAACAAGTTTCAGGCAAGTTTTCTTGTTATTCAGTTTATTTCCCATATTTGAGAGTACCTTTTAAGATGATTTCTGTTCTTCTGGTGTATAACATTATCCATTTCTGTATCATTTTATCTCATTCTCTCTCTGTTCGTTCCGTCTAGGTTAAATATTACTGCTCTGTAGGCAAAATAGCTAAACTTGTGACCAAAACAAATAAACAATGGAAGTGAGTCTATGTGATTGTATATTTATCAATATCAAGACTCCAATGGTCTTGAATAGGCCAGAACAATTGGCCATTCAAGTCAGAATAGAGCATGAAAAATTAGGTCTCATCCATTCCAAGCAATTTTTTTCTTCTGGCCACTGCATGCAAGTGCTAAGCTTATTGTTTCCTGAGACTCCCCTGCATTTCTACTATTTTACCCTTCTGTAAAACCTATTTATATTTTCTCTCTCTCCACAGCTGTCTCATCCTGGTTTTACCTCTATTGCAAAAAAGAAATTGCCTAATTTGTTAAGTTGTAATGTACTTACAGAAGTTCAATTTTATAGCTCATTATAAAGTTTGTAATGAATTATTCCAATGTATGTATAAGCTTTGTAGATTATGTTACACAGTTTGTGAAATCAACTTGGTATTATTATTATTGAGAGTATTATCTACTCTGAATTAAAGTTCTTTGCTTGCTATTTGAACAATAATGTGTGGTTATAAACTCAGCTGATTGTCAATGATGAGGTTCATACAATTATGTAACAGATTATTTTTGTTCTTTTGTCGGAATCCTAAACACATGTTTATCATGATACGTTAAAATTTTAAAACTGCACTTACCTGATAATTGCTTTGTTTTGTATTTTATCCTAGCACAAAAAGTAAAAATTGTACATTTGTTAATGTCTCAATGTAACATAACATTTTACTTGAAGAATATTTTGACACCCTAAGTGGTTATGCATAGATCTTATTGTTTGATCAATGTTCAGCCTTTTTTTACCGTTTTGTTTTCTTCAGTGTTTAACATGACACTGTATTTTGCCTAAATCATGAATATTATTTTTGTATACCTGTAATGTATTTTCATTGTTGCCAATTCAAGTGTCGATATGTTAAACTGGTCATTTCCATGTAGCGAAGGAGAGTTGATTTTCTTCATTTGATACACTTCTATATATGCTGAAAAAAAGATCTGTGTCTACTTTGAAATACTTAACATATTTTTGTAAACTGTGCCTCTACTGGTTTTTTAAAATGTTTTATTGTTTTGATTAAACCCAAATTTGTGCAATACAATGAACATTGTCCTGTACCTGCTATCATCACATTAAATTACTATTAAAATAGACAAAGTTTTGATTTTATTAATTTTGTCTCCTAATGTACTACATGCATGTATCACTGGGAAAATAATAAAATGCTATTGGTAGATGGGGAGAGAGAGGGGAGAGAGGGCGATTTCAAATGTGTGCGTCACCTATTGCCAACATGAAAATGACGTATACTGTAACCCGAACATGATAAAAATATATTTGGGCCCCTCGCTGCCAAATAAAACGATAATAAGGTATACGTTGTCAAAAATGAAGGTATTCAGAAATGCGGCCTAAAATTATCATGTTTCTAAATAATGCGAGCGAGGAAGAAGTATACTTTTATTGCTAATCGCTATTTCTTCACCATGAAACAGCATACTCTAACAGTTTCAACAATATTTGTTTTGCGATATTGACGCTATTCAAAAATAATGTGCATGTTAATGTAACTAAATTTCTCTCGCGACGAGCAAAAAAACACTGTAATTTTGAAATTGGCATTAACTTTTTCCCATTTTCGATTAAAATTTTTATCATCACAATCTTAGACTCGGTCAGTGGTTAATAAGTTATATGATTACTCAACTAAAATTATGAATAAATCGATGTTGTTCCAAAATAACTTTTTGATGTAACTAAATTTCCCTCACGGTACCCCTGTTGAAAAACGCTACCCTAAATGTTGACGTTTCATAGAAATCACACACGACACTCTTGAAATTGCCTTTAGGTTGAAATTTCGAAAGAAGTTGCTCGATGCTCGACGTGATCGAGTATTTATTTAGTTTTTCCCATTTTCGATTAAAAATTTTGTATCAATTTGTGTCATTACAATCTTGAACCCAGTCAGTGGTTAATAGATTATCCGTTTATATGAATTCTCGACGAGAAAATTAATATGACTAAATCATGTTTGGATTGAATTTATCATTATGCTCTTTGGTTGTTAATGTTTTTTTTTATTTAATACGAAGCTTTCAGTATATTTGAAACCTATCGTATAAGATGTTTATTGTTGAAAGTATTGAAAGTGAGGCTGTCGTTCTTGTAATAAAATTGTTGGAGACAGGATCTAGGAGTAGATTTTAGTGCCTTGAGTGATAGGTCTAAAAAAAGATGTTGTATTGCCCTTTAAGTGCCAAAACGTGGGTCGGTCTGTCAGAAATCTCGTTTTTTTTTTTTTAAGCCGACCGTAGATATCAAGATTTTTGGATCGGTCGCAAAGGGCAATATACAACATTTTTTTGTTATGCCTTCTAATTTATGAATAGGTTATACAAGTAGTATTTGAATGCGAGAAGAGGGATTCGGAAGGAACTTGAAAGAGAGTAAGGATGGAATATAGTATATCGAGTTTTTTAAAGAGTAGTGTGTCTATATTGTTAGACACACACAGCCAGGTGCGTACACAGGGGGGGGGGGGGGGTTGGGAGGTTAAACCACCCTTTGGTATTTTTTTTGTGTGTAAACCCCCCCCCCCCGTAACCCCCCTAAACCCCCCTTTGATTTTTTTTTTTTTTTTTTTTATGTTTAAAATAAAATTTAAAAAAATAAAAAATATTCCCATGACTGACCCCCCCCCCCGCTTATTCAGTCGGCCCGATTTATTTATGTTAAACCCCCCCCCCCTTGAAAAAATCCTGCGTACGCGCCTGCACACAGCCCAAGGAAGCTGACAGAGAATAGACACCAAAGTTAAATAATTTTTAAAATTATATACCATCTAATGTATATTAATCATGTAAGGGTGGAGGTAATATTTATTTCAACTGTATATCTGTTAATCTAATCGTTACTACTCGTTATTTGAAAATCGTTAATACGAATTAAACAGATTATCACGGGGATTATCAGGTTCCAGTAAGGGTTTTGTGATTTAAATATTATGAGTTCTCGCCCACGGATCTCCCAGCCACCTTTTATGTACAACCATTGTTATCATTCTCCCCCCCCCCCCCTTTCTCCTTTCCCCTCACTTGGCCGCCAAGGGGGGGGGGGGGGGAATTGAATTTCACACGGTGGATCTAATTCTAATGAAAGGCATGTCACAAAATTCTTTAAAATCTCCTTATCCAGAGGGCACTTTGCTAACCTAGCTGTCAGTGTCATTATCAGTAATGGTTCGAATGATCAATAGTTTTAAACTATTATTCAGAACTTTTTTTTCGGGGGGAGGTTGCGCCCAACAGTTCATGATCTACGGCAGAGTAGATAGATAGATAGATTGTTTATTGGTTTACACAATATCTCATTTTACAAAGAGTGTAACAACATATTGAAAATGATTATAATATACATGTACATAATACCGGTACACACTATTCAGAATATTGTCCAGTAAGTTGAACTTAATAGATATAGTGGCGGAGCCTATGGAAAAGCAGAGCTTGTTGTGGATAGGCTCCTTAAACTACAAATGACATAATTAACTAAAGTAAAGTTTATAAAATACAAATACACGCTAAAACAGGGAAAGGGAGATTACAGGGATACATGAACCGATACTCACAATTAACTACAAAAGACAAGGAAAAGGGAAGGAAATATATCTGCAGCTTATTGAAACAATATTACAATATAGTTTGTTCTCGGTATGAGTATATTATAAACATAGTTGGTATGGTCATACCGTTCGTTACTCATTGTAATGAACAAAAGTATACAGCTTGGAGACAAGAATAGTCAGGAATGACGACGACCCAAAACGTACCCAAAGTTCAAACCGTGCTTTAATATAAACGATTGTGTTTTCCTACAAACTAACTGTCGCAAAAGGGCACGTATATTCGCTTATTTAAAATAGGCCTATAAACCATTTTTTTACACGAACCTATACTTTACTACTAAGTCGCTTTGACCTTCTTGGTATATACTTGATAGAAATACAACTGAATTTGCTTAACGCTAACACGCGATCATTTCGAAACGTGACTCGACTCAATAAAATACAATGTCTGGTAGTTTATCTTGCGGTTTTCCTCATATTTGATAAGTGATTGTTTAAATGAAAGATTTTTCTCCGAGTAGAGGTAAAATTCATGTCAATGTACCGAACAATCAATTACAAATTATTTTATTCAAGACCAAGATGACTTTCAAGTTCAACAAATAATTTGTATATACTGTTCCAAACTAAGCTAAAACTAGGAAGTATTTTATAACAAACGACCAATTTCAATGACGTTGAACATTATTGAAGAGCTTCCAGGAGTTATAAACACGTTGAACATTATTGAAGAGCTTCCAGGAGTTATAGTTTATAACTCCTGGAAGCTCTTCAATAATGTTCAACGTCATTGAAATTGGTCGTTTGTTATAAAATACTTCCTAGTTTTAGCTTAGTTTGGAACGGATGAAGCATCATGTCACAATGATTTTGATGACACTGCTATTTTGGAATACGTGGTGTTTGGACTTTATTCGAGATGGACATTGCATGCCTGATACCTCAAATCTATTTAAGTTCTAGTTCTACAGTTACCCCCCCCCCCTTGTCTTCCTTCTTCCCTCTCTTTCTCTTTTTCTCTCTCTTTCTCTCTCTCTCTCTCTCTTCCATTTTCGGTATTCGATGGGGGGGGGGGAGGGTACGTACGTGCCCCGTGCCCTTCACAAGATAGCTGTATGCATCTGCATGAAAATTATCGTCGGTTTTTATGACGTTAATTACGCAGAAGGTTAAAGCAGATTTTGTTCATATCCAACACGTTACATTTTAAACAATCAGTCCAAGAAGTAAAAAGAATATGCAGTTTTACAAAAAATCATGTGATCTCTGCATGCCAATGCCCATCTGGTCAAATATTCCATTGTCAAAAATTTGATTGATCCCGTAGAGAAGTTTAAATATTAGCTCGTTTTCGTAAACAAATATACTGAAGAAGACTGCAAAAATGCAAAATCGCACGAGATAGGTACAGAGAGAGATGGGGGAGAGGAGGGAGACAGAGAGAGAGAGAGAGAGAAAGAAAGAGAGGGGGAGGAAAAGGGGGAGAAATGTGACAGGAAAAGAAGTCCCCTCCAATACCTTCCCCTCGCACTTCATGAACCTTTTTCTGGCACCCATTCCCTCCCCCTCTCCCATCCCTTCACCATGATCCAATAATATTGTATAACCCTCTCTCCTACATCAGGCCGGTCACTGTTCCATGACCCCCTTAAAAATGCCAGATTGCATGTTTACCAAAAGCTCAGAAAGCAAACATATTGCTTCATGCAAGAGTGTGCCTCGGCTCAGCTATATACACCAAAACAAAAACAGTTTTGAGGAGAAAATCTCCTTTATTTGCATTTCGCACGGCCTGTGGTACCTACAGGATCATTTGCACAATCCTGTCAGTATTGTGAGAAAAGTTACTAGTGAAGGTGTGCATGCCAAATCATCATCGCTGTCGTCTCTTCCTGTTATAATATTCTGTTCATCGTCAAATCTCGAGATCGGTTTGACGTCATTTATTGATAGCTCGACATCATCATGGGGCATCTCAGATCAGTCATCTCTCTGTTGATTCTTTCGTGTATGATAGCACCGTCTCTACAATGCATTCATCTCTTTAAACCACAAGGTGGGTCAACTCTATATGTTTAACTCTGTCAGTGTGTTAAGAGAATACTGTTGTGTTTAAAGGGTTGGAAGTCAATTAATGGCTCTATTTATGTCAAGACATGGGGGGAGAGAAAAAGATATAGGGAGAGACGGGATGAGAGAGAGAAAGAGCAAAAAAAAAAGGAACATTAGCAAAGAGAGAGAAAGAGCAAATAAAAAGGAACATTAGAAAAGAGAAGAGAGAGATTGAGTGTAGATGACAAATGCAAAAGTAGCAAAGATTTTTTTTATTAAGAAGAACAAAATTGTCATTCAAATTCTGCTCTCAATATTGTGTCCATATTCACAAACTTCGTTCTAAAATTTGATATGGAAGGCCTATATGTTTCTTTTCCGCTTTCATTCGTGCAGTTACGGTTACTCCATGCAGCAGTGAACCATGTCTGAACGGTGCAGAATGTTTTGATGATGAGGTGGATCACTACGCATGTGTTTGTCCCACCGGATTCACAGGAACTAACTGCGAGATTGGTAATAAGATTAACGAGTTAAAGTAATCAATCAATCAATAAATCAATCAACCACTGCTTATTTTATGATGAGGAGGACCAACACATGGGTTTGTCCCCCTTGATACGCTGGAACCAACTGCGAGATTGATAATATTTAGATTAACGAGTTAAACCTTCAATCGATCAATTATTGATCAACCAACCAATCAATCAATCAATTCATTCATTACTCAACCGATCGATCATTATTTAACGAATCATTCAATCAATAAATCAATCAGTCACCACTTAGTTTCGATGATTAATTAGTCAATCAATCAAATTATTAATCAATCAATTAATTAAATGATTACTCGTTCAATCAATCAGTTAAACAATCATTCAATCAATAAATCAGTCCATCACCTCTTAAGTTTCGATGATGATGATGTAGACCCATACGCATGTCTTTGTCCCACTGGATACACAAGGGACCGACAATAAAGTTGGTCTCATTGGCTCTCACTTTCTAAGGCTGTAGCCAGCACAAAAGTTTCTACCTTAAGTAAAATGATAAGCCATCTGATATAGTAGACAGTTGATTTGAAAAAGACAATTTTCTTAAATGGTATACCTGTTGACTTATATATTGCTTCTAGAAAACTCGTGTTCCTCAAACCCGTGTCTGAATGGCGCATGTTCACCTCTAGAGGAAGGTTTTACGTGCCAGTGTGAGCCCGGATACAGAGGCGTCAACTGCCAAATCGGTAAGAAATTACTGCAAGCTCATGAATATACGCGATGCAAACAAGGCGTCATTTACCTGACGCAAGACTGCGTCATCGATGACGCAACCTTTGACGCACCATGTGAGCACGATGGGAGGTGATGGCGTACAACTACACTATAAAACGAACGGGTCGAATAATTACTTTGACTCACTGGCGAATGCGCTAATTGCCTTCGAACACTCGATTGGCGCAGGTAATAACGCAATCAAAATGACGCCTCAGATCATAGGCAACAGACATTTTGGCATGAGATAAATATTTGGAGATGAATTTTACACTATATTTTTGTCCAAAAGAAAAGAGTATTAATCTGACATGTCAAGATTTATAGGCTCATAATTATCTAAACCCAAGGCTGGGCTTCGACTTTCGTTCAAGAAAGAGAAGCTGAATTCTTCTTTAGATTTCGTTTTTTTTAATCCAGCAGAAACAACGACATCAAACCGAAAAAACATAACATTACCCCAGCCGTCCAAAATCAGTCGTTGTGAAGTCTGTTTGGGGTGTAACTGGGGGATAACCGTGATTTTAGACCCAGGTTTAGGGTTTCACTGAATGGACCGGTTTATTAACATATTCAAATTGAATGCATACTTTTTAAACAAAGGTCGTTCTTGACAACCTGGAGGTTGCCCGACATAGCAACAAATAATGTATGCAGACTGGATCCCAAGTATTGTAGTTCAGTTATTAATAATAGGTTAATGGAATACCTTATCACCAGGTCCACAGGAAAGAAACATCAATAAATGTAAAGTAAACTATTTTATTGGACCGCGTGGTGTTATAGTTTCCAATGTGGGGAAAATCATTGAGAAAGTCCGGTACTGAAAGAAAATGGATTCTACATGTATATACCTGTTCTTACTCTTTATTCTTCTCTTTAGCTGATCCTTGCTTTTCGAACCCATGTCTGAATGACGGAGAGTGTGCCGCGGATAATGACGGGGGAGCCTATACCTGTTATTGTGAGGATGCTTTCACAGGCGTGAACTGCGAAACTCGTGAGATATTTTCTTAAAATTACATTTAGGGGAGGGAATAAAATATATTAATGGCCTGTTGCATGAGTTATTTCGAAATGAAATATAAACACGCAGCCCGAGGGCTCAAATCAAACAGAACATAATTTTATACAAAAAATCAAGATGTATCATTTTCAAAAGTCATGACTTTAAAGCCCAACTGTCCTACTTGTAGCTACTTGATCCCTCTATATAGAAAACTTCCCCAATCGGTGCCTGTTGGTCCCCCATGATCCTCTTTTTCTTATGTTAGTTGAGAGCTGAGTTAATGAGATAGCCACCTGTCAGTGACCTCGCTGTGGGGTCTAATCCCTTCTAGCTCAGTAGTATTGACGGTCTTTAAATAGCGTTCTGAATCTTCTGTGGCAGCCAGCTATTGTTCATAAAATCATACGGATCAATCTCAATCTATAGGTCTATAATTTGCATCTATATTTTGCACCGTCATACCATAATAATGTGGTCAGTGACGTACAGCCATGGGGGCATGATGAAATTGTTTTAAAAAGGGGTAGAAAGTAACAAAAGGCCAGGAGAGGGGATAATGAAAGTGAAAAGAAAACGATGAGGGCCCCCTCCAACACTCGGTGGCCTTCTTTAATTGCCACCCCCCCCCCCCCTCCCTCAAAGCCTGAGCCCATGCTATGTACGGCCCTGTCAGTGAGATCAACAGTACTGTAATCAGTGTGTCCATCAGGCTGGTCAATCACTTAAACAAACAATTAAAATAACATGTCAAACTAAACCCGTCAATCAATCAATCAGTCGGTCGGTCAGTCAGTCAATAAATCAGTCAATCAATCCAATCAACCCATCAACCAACTGAACCAAACAATAAATTGTAATCAATCAATCAATCAATCAAACAATGAACCAATAATACCATTGATCAATCAAACATTCAATCGATCTTTCTATCATTCAATCGGCCAATCGATTAACCAAGTAATCAAGTAATCAACCAATCAACCAATCAACCAATAAATCAAGCATTAATTAACCAATCAACCAACCTAGCAACCGACCAACCAGCCAACCATTCAACAATTCAAATCAATCACGCAACAAACTAATAAATCAATTCATTAAATCAACCAATCAATCAATCAACCAATCACTTACCCAACCAATTAATTTTCTTCTTCTTCAACCCTTACAGCTATTGTGTGCCCTAACAATATGGTCTTTAACCAATGCGCTTTGTTCTGCGGCCCAGCTCGTTGCGGAGTCGTGACCGAAGAGTGCATCGCTATATGTGATCCCAAATGTGACTGCCCTCATACCACGATGCTATGCCCTGAACAGATGCTACCTCTGGATACATGTGTGTCTAACTGCACCGAATGTTACGATCAGCCATGAGAATATCATGTTATCCCGATCTACCAAATAATTAATAAATTATGTTAATTCATGAAAGTATTGTAGAATGACATGAAGCAGAACTTGTATATTTAGAAGAGGCTTATAGTTATGTAGGTCTTAATTGATTATCGATGATCATACTACAAACGTACAACGAAATTGGAAATAAGATTTAAGTAATGTTTTTTTTTACTATCCAATAACATTTATAGTGCAAGGAAATGACGTGATAAAACCCACAATTTCAAAAAATTATGGGACGTCATGACTTGTGATAATAATTTAGCCAACTTTGGAAACACGCTTATAACTACCTCATTTTATATCATGATCGAGTTAATCGATGGGTCTACCATTTCATTATCTATTAAGGACCTTTCGTAATATTCTTTATGCACTGTATCTTACATTCATGAATTTGACCGAATATTCTTATGCACAACTAACCAATATGTTTTCTCTAATTTTCAAGAAAGATCAGTTTAGACAATATGCCAACTAATTAGGCACCAATCTGTAAGCAGTGAAGTTGGTCGGGAATGTAAGAAAATAAAGAGATAACTTATTTTAAAAAAAACTTTCTGCGTATTCGTAATATCCTTAGACGATATATCTTACAGCTAATTTCGTCCTATATAGGGCGGACATAATGGTAATACAACTAACCTAAAAATCATCCAAGGTTGATAATCAAAGAGTCCAGATGACCCTTTTTATGATTGTATTATATATCTCTTTGTATCGATATTGGCAAGCATACATCCGAAATATATATCTGGAATTGAATCAAGTTTTTAGCGTGTTTTTTTTTTTTTTCGAAAACTGAAATCTCGAAGTATTGGGATATAGGGCTGCTTTAAAAAAAAAAATACGGGTGTTTAATGACTGTAAGTGAATGATAATGATGATGACGATGATGATGGTGATAATGATGATAAATATGATGATGATGATTGTGGTAATGATAGTGATGATTATGATGATGATGATGATGACCATAATCATGATGTGGATAATGGTTACAATATTTTATGATAATAATGATGGTGATGTTATCATCTTTAATGACAGTGATTATTACGATGATTGACGATGATACTGTAGTGGTACTGATGGTGATGATGACGATGATGATGTGGTGGTGGTAAGGCGCGGATCCAGAGGGGGGAGTGGGCCTTGCCCCCCCCCCCTCCTTGGCCCCAAAAAGAAAGACCCCCCCCCCCTCCTGGCGAAAAAAATTGCTCAAGGGGGGGGGGGGGTGTTGAGTATTACAAAAAGTGCTCACTATGCCCCCCCCCCCCCCCCAATTAGCGAAATATCGGCCGGCACAAGGTAGCACACTGAATTTCAAATTGATTTCAAATTTGGGCCTCCCCTTTAAGAAATCCTGGATCCGCGCCTAATGGTGGTTGTTATTATAATAAAGTGAATATGTTAACGACCACAATTCTGATTAAAATTAATATGCAAATATTTCATTTTCAATGTTTGTTTTATTTTAATAAAAGGTTCAATTTGCATATGTTTAATTTTCTATCGATCTGTATTTTACGCAAGTAAACTGTAAAGCATTTTCCAGAGATGGCCGTATTGCGTGAAACCAAATTGAACAAGCGATATGACTGCAGCGCTCAAAATACACGGGGGCGGTGGGCGATTCGCCCCCGTGAGCTACAAAATCGCCCCCGTCAGGTTGCTCACGGGGGCGATTGCAAAATTAAAAATCGCACCGCTGGAATTATAAAATAAAGATAATCTTTTCTGTTATAACTTTAACACAATATTGAGTTTCAATTTTCAAACCTTAAATGACCGGGGGGGGGGGGGGACGAAATGCGATTTTTTTTTTTTTTTACGAGGATGTTATGCAAGAGAGCGTAGCGACCGAGCGAGATTTTTTTTGCAATTTTATTAGTCTAAACGCTGCACTCTTGGGCCTTCTAGAGCCTAAAAGTGTGTTGCAGTCATTATTCAGTATATGCTATACAATTTTTTTTGCACTTTTTCAGATTTCCAGGGGGGGGGGGGACGATTCCCCCCTAAAAAAAATTGAGGGGGGGGGGACGTGTCCCCCCCGCCCCCCCCCCGGGATCGCCGCCCCTGCGTGGAATGATATGGTAACATGGGCAGATCTACGGCGGGGGGGGGGGGGTAGGGGGTTTAACCTCCTCCTCCCACCACCCCTTCCCCGGCCCCCTTGGGCTGCCAAGTGAAAATGTGATATTAAAGCGGGGGGGGGGGGGAGGGGGATTCTCCTAAGTTTTTGGTTGCTGCTTTATTATGTAGTTGATAATGCATGATTAAAATAAAGAGAGAGAGAGAGAACCACCATCATTTTGCAATGGTTCAGGGTTCGTGTAAAGTACATTTGAAACCATTTCTTAGCGTCTCAACCCTAAAAAAATAGCAAAACTATTTTTGAGGAAAAGCATTATACTGAATTAAATAAAGAATAATAGCTTTATATTGGATCATACTAATACTGATACGGGCTAAAGACAATGTGGTATTTGTATAGAGGTATTCCAAAATGACATTTTGATAATCAACATTTGTATTGGTATCATACGCATAATACAACTGATCTTTATGATTTCTTAACGTGACATAGCTTCTTCTCCCTCTGCAAACAAAACAGAAAACAAGGTTATTTAATAAAAGGACCATGCGACAAATAATCATTGTGATTCAAATTGATGCAAGTATTTTTTTGAATAAGCAATGCTTTTCACCAGAATCTTCTTTGTAAAAACGACTTTTACAAATCTCAGCCACGCAATTCTGCCACTGTGCTGTAAGATCACTTTGAGATTAGGAGAAGTGTATTATGTAATGGGTATTTGAAATTGAATGGAACGTCTCAACTCAGTAAGCATGGCTGAGATTTGTAAAAGTTGTTTTTACAAAGAAGATTCGGGTGAATAGCAGTGCTTATTCAAACAAATATTCGCATCAATTTGAATCACAATCATTACGCTTAATCCCTTTTAATGACCATGTTTTCTTTTTCGTTTGCAAGGGGAGAAGAAGATATGTCACGTTAAAGACATCATAAAGGTCAGTGTTGTATGCGTATATAATATACACAGGCCAGTAACAGCTATGTAGCTTGTAAATTTGTAAGAGGGAAAATGCTGATTGAAATGATAATGATGAAATAGCAAATAATTGAGGAGTATCATAGGTACCAATTCAATGGATATTTGTATAAAAAAGAGCCCCTGTCAGTAATAAAAGAGCCCCCGTGAGAAGGCTCACGGGGGCTCTTTTTTTCGGGGGAAGAGCCCCCGTGGACAAAAAATTAATTTGAGCCCTGGATATGAGACTTTTTCAGTTAAACCGCCAAACAGAAAATCTATGTTTTTTCACAGATAAGCTCGGTTTTTTTCGAGATAAACTAAACATTTTTTTGGGGAAAACTCTGCTTATCGACTGATAAACTAACTTTTTCGAGAGAAAAATGTATAGGCCAAAGACTATGATGATGGAGATGATGATGATGATGATGATGATGATGATGATGATGATGATGATGATGATGATAATAATGAACGTAATAATAATCAAGATAGCGATGGTGGTGGTGGTGATTATGATGATGATGATGACAACAAGGATGATGGTGGTGATGATGATAATGATGATAATAATAGTACAGATGATGATGATAATGACGATGATGATAATAACGATGATGATTATGATGATAATGATGACAAAGACGGATGATGATGACAACAAGGATGATGGTGGTGATGATGATAATGATGATAATAATAGTACAGAATGATGATGATAATGACGATGATGATAATTACGATGATGATTATGATGATGATGATGACAAAGACGGATGATGATGACAACAAGGATGATGATGATACTAATGGTAACGATTATTGCGATGATGAGGAAGATGATGATGATGATGATGTTGACGAAAATGATGGTGTTGATGGTGATGGTGTTGATGGTAATTATGATGATGATGATGATGTACAGTTGTTCATGAGTCAATTGATATCGATGAGGAGGATGTAAATGCCGAGATAATGTCGTAGATGATGCCACTGATAATAAAAACAAATCAGGTTTGATACTGATTTAGAATCCTGGTGTAAACACCTTTAACGTTTCTTTTTTAAAGCAGCAGGGCCTATACAGAAAAATAAGACAAGTAATCTTTCAAAAGACCAGTAGGCATACTCGCTATTCAGAGCATAATATACCATGTGTTTGATTTCAATATTGCGTCAATAAGGAGAGTAGACAAATTTTGACAAACAAGCATTTAGAATTGATGACTTGATAACAACAAAATCTGAGTAAAAGCTATAAAATGAAATGTAATGATAATAACATGCGCAAGCGTCTTTTTGTGTTCTTAGAAAGCAAACTTGATAGTGCATGTATACACTTATGTTTAGACCTATATCTATTTTCAGTTTCCTACTTTCAATATTGTGTACAGTGGTTTATGACATCTATAAAAGGCGTATGTATAATATATACACGATTGGAAACCGATTTGCATTGTCTGTGGAATGCGAACAATTTTTATTTGCTGACAAAACATGAGTCGTGGATCATTAATAATATCATAGTCTTATTAAATGAACATGCTTTTGCAGACTTACAATAGATGGATTTTACGAAGACATGAAAAACATTATGTCGTTACATTAATGCATGGGGGTAATTCGCTAACGTTTACTTTCAGAAGACGTTTATAATGATCCAATTATGATTCACTATACACCCCGCTTCTGTTTCGCTTTTAAAATGTATATAGGCGATATGTATATGCTTTCTCTTTAGGCTATTTAGGCTAAGGCCAAATGAATTGTTTTTTGTTGAATGATCATGATAGGGATTAATCCCTAGTGATTATGATTGTGAAGACTTTATTCGAATAAAATTAAAGAATAATGAAAAATTCAGTGAAGAAGGGGTCTGTGGTCCGGTGAAGGGAACCTCCTATAAAGTATAACGAGCCCCCCCCCCCCCCCACCGAGACTTTTAAATAACAGAGGCGACCCTGGGCGTCAATCCAAATTAGACCGTGGGGGGGGGGGACACAAGTTCAGACAGGGCGGCGCCAGGTTTTTGTTTTTAAGGGGGCGAATGGGCGCGCCACGCAGAGGAATTAGGGGTGCCTGTTGAAGTTAAAGAATTTTTTAAATTGATGCTTAAATGGCTTTATTTTTTCCCCTCTCCCCCGCCCTCCGTTACGCCATAATTATAGTTCTCTTTCTCCTGGCGTCCCTCCTTCTCGTCCCCTTCCTTTTCTTTTATTCTCCTTCTTTTTTTTTCTTATCCTTCTTTTCCATTCCTTTTCCTTCTCCTTTTCCTCTTTCTCCTTCCCTTCCTCTTCCTTTTTTTCAAAATGATAGGGGGCGGCCGCACCCCTGCCCCCCCCCTGTGACACTGCCCTGAGTTCAGTGAGCCTATTAGGGGGAGGGGGTCGGTGTTTGCAGGGTATGGTGTGGCATAAGGGTTAACACCCCCCCCCCTCCCAATACTAAATTTAGTATCAGAAAGGCAGTGAAATATTTGACTGAATAAAACAAAATAATATACGAAAGGTTTAATGTTTGCATTTTTTTCCTAAAAATCGAAAATGTTCCATAATATATAACTTACTTAAACAGAATTTCCATATCTCAATAATTTAGAAACCGGTCCAAAATAACGTATGCGTAAAAATAAAAGTTTTAAAAAGTCAACACAAAGAGAAAGAGAGAAAGAAAGGAAAACAAATAATTTAACCCCAAATCATGGGGGGGGGGGGGATTTCGTGGGGAGACGTGCCCCCGCCCCCCCCCCCCCCCATGATTGACGCCCATGCAGAGGATACGTTAGGGTGACAGTCAACCAATACGTGCAATATCCTATATGTTGGTCTTTCCCAAGTTTTTAATTTAGGAGGCTTTAAAAGCCTTTATCCTATCTAACAGAATTTTCCAATGCATTTTGAAATTATAAGGTGTTCCCCAGTCGTACCCTATAGACCCTAGGCTATAATAGCTGACAGACATTCCTACCTAGTCGACATCTATACGAATTGTAGATAAGATTATGACTGAAGTGAAGGAAGGTCTTGCTATGTACATTATTTGCGTTCTTCTCCGTTTTTGCCTCTAGTAGTCATCGGCAGAAGCCGAGCTAGTATAGCATGGGGAGGGGATAGGATTAATAGGGAAAGCCCCCCCCCCCCCTCCCCCTGCCCTCACTCAGAAAACCCTTGTATTTGTAGTACTGCAGTGATCGCATTTAAGGTCTCCGATATAGACTATACGTACGACAATACTGGAGGCCGCGACCTTACATCGTACTATCTAAAATCAATATTTACTCCCTTTTTCAACTTTATCATCGAAATGACAATGTTTTGCGCATGCCCAGGCATCGTAACAAAGGTTAAATTTGCTTGCCTAGCTAGCGCCTGGGCTCGGCAGACATCTCGCAACATTACAGTTGACACAGTGTATTTGGACTTTGCCCGATCCACCGGTATCTCATCATAAATACTCTCGGACGTCTACTGAGTTGTGTTCCAGCCGTGTCCAGCGGCCTGCGAGTTTGCACACCATATACACCACACACGGACTAGTCTTTCAAAGAGTCTTTGATGGTAAAAGTAACAATTGGGCCTTCTCGTGATATAGCCACTTAACTGGTCATCAGTGGTCACTCTTGCGTATAATTTATGCGGAGCTGAGCTAGCTGGAATTTTCCATTTTTATTTAGGCCTTGCCCTTGCACACAATAAACCGCTAAAAGTGAATGAGCAGTGTCACGAAAAGGCCAACAATATTTGTTTAAATTATAATATTGCTAAATAATGCTAAGTATTAAATTAAATGAATTAATTACAACCACCAGGCTAGGTCCAGATGACTACTGTGTAGAATTGCAGGAAGAAAGTTGCTAATAGTAATACTAATAATAGAGGAAACAGGATCTCTGGTGATTATATGGAAGGGGGGGGGGGTGGGGGCTCAAAAGACAGAAACTTCTGAGAGTTGAGATTAGTCTTTAGACCAGAGAGGAAAAAGGATCCAATGTATTTTTGGGGATGCACAGGGGCGAATCCAGCCGGCAGGGGGGCGGGGGCCCAATTCCAAGAGGAGCCCCAATTTGTGCGAAATATTTAGTGGTGAATAAGCGGAAAGTGGGGGGGGGGGGGGGGTTAATAAGCACTCTTTTTTTGCCCAATTCGTGAGAAAGTATACCGTGCGATACAGCCGGCGAATAAGAGAGGGGGGGGGGGGGTTCATCTAGTTCATCGTGACTGTGCCATGGACCAGTGATGGCTTGGTGGTAGAGTCGCTGCCCGGCAAGCAGTAGATGGCACTGGCAGGTTTAAATCCCGCTGGTTCCAAGATTTTTTCTGACTTGTTTTTCAATTACAGATCGATCAATCGATCTTATTTACTGGGTGTAAGCCACAAATATGTTTAAAACTATTGAAATTTCTCCCAGGAAGCATTACATTTATCAAAAAGTTAACTGATCTTGTTTGATTGGGCCGTAGTCATAGAGTAACTTTCTAGTTATCCATTTGTCTGAGGCCCATGCTGAATGATGGGTTATACATTCACGCATGGTATCTTTAAGTCAATGAAACTTTGACAAGCAATTTAGGTCTACCTGGAGCTCTTCAGGTAAGGGATCGAGGGGGTATTAAATGTGTAGACTTCTCTCATCTTGTAATTGTATGGGTTAATCTCTGTTTACGTTAGTCTGTGTACTCTGTGATGTTATTCTATTAGTGTAGGTTTCCCAAGTGGGCTGGAGAATCTGCACTGCAATAGTCACGAATTGTTATTTAATTTTAATCCCATTTTAGGTTGATTCTGTGAAGCGTTTAAATCGGATCGGTTGGTTCAGGAAACTAGATCAAAATACTATATAACAAGACATCAATATGATGTCAGAAGTATCAACACCATGTCTACCCTACATACTTTCCATTCCCTTTCTTTTTGCATCAATATAAAAAAGATTGAATTTGTGTCTTTTGTTTGAACTGGCACGTACTGTAGAGTCACTGCATGGGTTTGGAGTCACCAGGTCGTGTCACAAGATCTCTCAGATTACAGGTATAAAAGTTACCGGTAGTCCTTTTTCGAGACATATCATCACAAACAGATCTATATCATTACAATGGATGATCTAGGTTAATTCTAAAGCATTTTGTCCCCACATCTGAGATTTTGTTTTACATACCTGATGAAATGCCCTACTAGAGATTGAAACAAACCAAATACGGAGTGAAATGACACAATTAATATCTACTTATAATTCATAACTCAGCAGTACTTGGAAACATTTTGGGACACAAAAAGACCAAAAACCTGGACTTGCCCATGGGTATATAAGCTTTCACTTTCTTTTCTATTTTCACATTCTTTTCTCTTTTCACTCTTATTTTAGCTGGAGGTATAATGTCTCAAATGAGCGGTCCTCAGGGGAACATGTCCACATCGGCAGAGGAAGAGGCAGACCCTCAGAACTGTTACCATGACGAGATGGTGAAGCTAGTTGAGAATGGAGGAGCCCTCATCATTGAAGTCAGAAGAGCTGATGAGGTAGAGGCAGCAGGAATGATGAAAAATGCTTGTCATATTCCTAGTGAGTCCCAATATTTGATTTGATTTTGATTTTGATTTTGATTTTAATTTCATTTATTTTCTACTCAAATATCCACAAATTAAAATGACACATATAGCCCATACAGTATTAAATATATGTATAATAGAACAAATGAATTATATGCAAGTAACAAAATACTGATAAGTAAATACTGATATGTACATGTACGTAATAAAATAAGTTTACTGAGTACGGTACCTTTAAGTTTGAGAATAAGACAAAATATATTCTAAAATTGGGGATTCTATGCAGTGCATGTGTCCCATGTGACTTTTCTGTGAGTTGTCCATGACTATATGTCACAATCCCCTGACCAAATTTGGCAATTTGAGATTGGCATAGATTTAGTGGTGTCATATTAAAAAATGTGTTAGGGGTGTTAGGGGGTTTAACCCCCTCCTCCCACCCCCCCCCCGGCCCCCTTGGGCTGCCAAGTGAAAATGTGATATTAAAGCGGGGGGGGGGGGGGGGGGGGGGGGGGATGCTGGAGAGGAGGACTTACTAATCTATTTTATTTTTTTCAGGGGGGGGGGGGGGGAGTGAAGCGCCGTTTTAGCATGACTTTCTTTTTAACTCTTACTTTCACCTATCTCAGATAACCCTAAGTTTTTGGTTGCTGCTTTATATGTAGTTGATAATGCATGATTAAAATAAAGAGAGAGAGAAAGAGAGAGAGAGAGAGAGAGAGATTAACCCCCATCATTTTGCAATGGTTCAGGGTTCGTGTAATGTACATTTGAAACCATTTCTTAGCGTCTCAACCCTAAAAAAATATCAAAACTATTTTTGAGGAAAAGCATTATACTGAATTAAATAAAGAATAATAACTTTAAATTGGATCATACTAATATTGATACGGGCTAAAGACAATGTGGTATTTGTATAGAGGTATTCCAAAATGACATTCTGATAATCAACATTTGTTCTGGTATCATATACGCATAATACAACTGATCTTTATGATTTCTTAACGTGACATAGCTTCTTCTCCCCCTGCAAAAAAAAAGAAAACAAGGTTATTTAATAAAAGGATCATGTGACAAATAATCATTGTGATTCAAATTGATGCAAGGATTTTTTTGAATAAGCAATGCTTTTCACCAGAATCTTCTTTGTAAAAATGACTTTTACAAATCTCAGCCATGCAAATCTGCCACTGTGTTGTAAGATCACTTTCAGATTAGGAGAAGTGTATTCTTTAATGAGTATTTTACATTGAATGGAACGTCTCAACTCAATAAGCATGGCTGAGATTTGTAAAAGTTGATTTTACAAAGAAGATTCGGGTGAATAGCAGTGCTTATTCAAACAAATATTCGCATCAATTTGAATCACAATCATTATTTGTCGCTTAATCCCTTTTAATGACCTTGTTTTCTTTCTTGTTTGCAAGGGGAGAAGAAGATATGTCACGTTAAAGACATCATAAAGATCAGTGTTGTATGCGTATATATTATATACACAGGCCAGTAACAGCTATGTAGCTTTTAAATTTGTAAGAGGGAAAATGCTGATTGAAATGATAATGATGAAATAGCAAATAATTGAGGAGTATCATAGGTACCAACTCAATAGATATTTGTATAAAAAAAAGCCCCCGTCAGTACTAAAAGAGCCCCCGTGAGAAGGCTCACGGGGGCTCTTTTTTGGGGGGAAGAGCCCCCGTGGACAAAAAATTAATTTGAGCCCTGATATCAAACCTTGCCTTTTGGTTTCTTATACATTTCTACTTTCATACAAATTATTTTAAAGCAAGGCCCTTTAATTTCATCCAAATTTGAAAAATCTCTAGACGAGGCAATTATTTTTGGGTGAAATCAATCTATAAAACATGTTGTAGAGGAGACATATTGCATGGAATCGCCCAAGATTTTGTTTTGCTTTGAAGTTGAGGTTTCTGTGTACCATCTATTGTACTTCCCTTACATCTGACTTTGACCTTTGTAGTACAAGGTCACACCAGATATCCTGGCACATACATGTATGAGTGCCAATTTCCTGCATGTTGTACATGTTTTAATGTTGCATCGTGTATGATGGAGATCTATTCTTTCAACACTCTAAAAGAGGGATGCTTTGGTAACCGTAGTATTTTTTTCTTACAAAACCAATGGCGTTCTTCTCAGTTTAGCTACCGGTATGCATGTGAATTTTCCATCTCCATTATTTTTCTGGCTATTTTCTATTTTCTATTTTTCTAGCTCAATGTGGTGATTTTGCCTGTGAAGCTGTCCTAGTAATTAAAAAAAATAAAAAATTACAAAATATTATTTTTGAATTTAAAAAAAAAATGAAGGTTTGTCAATTCCTCAAATTATTTTCCCTTTAAAAAATAATTTTCTTAGTGGATGAGCTGAAGGAAGCCTTGGGTTTACCTGAAGATCAACTCAAAGAGAAGTATGGTTTGGAGAAACCAAAGCCTGATGGATCTAATGTCGTCTTCACCTGTCGCAGTGGAAGGCGCAGTCTGATAGTATTGGAGATGGCAAAAAAAGAATTTGGATACACCAAGTAAGAGTTCTTTAAATACTTCAATTGATTTCTTTGCTCGTTAGCCACACATGCAATCCCCCCCCCCCCCCCCCAAAAAAAAAAAAAAAAAAAAAAAAAAAAAAAGAAAAGTGCACCAATGGATGGAACGATAGCTTTGTGGCTTGTGAAACACATTTTTGGGGTAAAATTACCCATTTTCGATCTTGATTACCTCAATGACCAGTATAGTTCGATCTTGCTGTTGAAATGATGAAATATCCTTGAAGCTTTTGGTATATCTATTCAATCAAAAACATGAGGTGGGACAGGGAGATCATTTTTGTGATACATATTTAGAGAGTTAGTAATAATATTAAAGGGAATTGGTAACTTTGTCTCAGATTCTGAAACAAAATTCTGGATTTAGCTCATGATGCAATGATAATTATAAACCTTTAGGTCAGTCAGGAACCCCATGACTTTTACAAGCCGATCGCCTGTCTGATTATCAAGATATTTATGATTGGATTTACAAACTTTGAAAACCGTTCGCCTGAAGGTTTTCATAACACTACAGTCTATTGGGGAAAACGAGTATGGTAAAACCGGTCACTCAAAGATTTTTACTTTTTTGAGGCACTTCTTGATCGTTTTGAAGCGCACTTTTTTTAGGGCTTCAATATTACACCATATCACAGACACTGATAACACGTAGGGCTGTGTATCTCAGATTTAACATTGTTAAACGATCCCTTTAACTAATTGCGCACATATCCATCCCAGAGGATGCTCAAGGCACCTAAAAAGTATTATTATCCTGGCTTTAGCCCAGGATAATAAATTTAACCTTGGAATGAATTACTAACCAGATACCATTTGCTGCACATGGGTGAAGAATGGCAAATGCAGATTAATGTCTAGCCAAAGGCATTCTACATGTATGCATGACCATTCTGCAACTTGGACACGTACGTAAACTGCTGATTTAAAAACATGTAAAAACAACAATGGATGATGAAGACACTACCTCCCTATTAAGAAAATTGATTTAAATATATAAACCAAGATTTGTCCATTGTATGTTATGCCAAGACTGCTATATGAGGTGATATGTAAACATTTCTTTTTTTTTCTTCTCCTGTTTTATTTTACAGAGCCAGGCATTATCCAGGTGGCTGGAACAGCTGGGTTGAGAAAAATAACCTCTGAATTAAATATGAGTCTGTCCAGAAAGTTGGGGCACTTTTTGTGACATACCAGAAGTGAGAAACTATGTCTCCTATCAACTGTAACTATGTTTGCTCAAATTGAGTTTTGCATAAAAAGCGTTGCCAACTATATTCAGCTTCATGGTTAATCAATATTATGGACCCAACGTTTATGTAATGTTAAATGAATATGGTGTCCATACTATATATATTCATTGCATACAAATCTTTAACAGATACTTTCATCTTCAATGTATAGCTCGTGCTGGCCGCAAGTCTGGCCAGGCTACCCCTGAATACCCGTCTGGATGATCCCATTGTAATGTAGTGAGACTGAACAGTATTTTTTTTAAATATTGGAACAAAAATCAAATACTGAAGAGAAAAAAAGTAATCGAGACAAATAGGCGACATAAACTAATACAGTCAAACCTGCTTTTATGACCACCTGTCTACAAGGAGCACATTTTTTTTCCCTTGAAAATGGTTTCTCATTGACACATGTACTAAAGGAACCTGTCTACAAAGACCACTTTTTGTGTTTACCTTGGGCGGTCGCTTTAGACAGGTTTGACTGTACTAATACTTACTACCGGTAATACTTTCCATGTCGCTATAGCCAAAATATAACCTTCAAATATTGATTGTTTTAAAAGATATTGCAAGTCTAAATGTACTCTCAATGAAATACAAGAAGCTTCCCAAATGCTGACCCCCGCCCCTCCCCCTTCTCAAAATAGACCTTAATTTTTCAGTCATTCAAACAGAGCTGACAGGGAGTACCTATTTGTTATGAAGGTGAGCTGTTCATAAGAGTAGTAATAAAATAGAAGTAGTATAATAATAATCACTCTTATCTGAATTACCTCAAATATAATTGCCATGTATTGATTTTACTATCTGATACTGATATTGAGAGGGGTACTGAAGGTTTTATGGGTTTTTTTAAGGTAAAGTATGTAGAATTGATGGTTCACGGTAAATACCTACATCATCAGAGTTCTTTCGAGTCTTTTGGCATTCATAGATTCTCAGGGTTCGTACAATTTAGTACATTTATGAATGGTGCTTACCTGACAGAGTAACATATTTCAATGTACCGGTATAGTGAAAAACAAAAACTGTGTTATTTAAAAATGTTAATAAATGGCAACGGCACGCAACAAAGGTCATATTCATTATTCACTTAGCTCTATGTTATAAGATACTAAGATAGGACATTTAAAGTGCATTACACTTTACATCAATTTGAAATGAAGAAGAAAAAAATGCTGGGGTTTACTGCTGAATTTGTGAATAAAGCTTTACTGGTAAGTGAATGGTCCTCAGTCATATTTACATTTCTGTTTGATATCAGATAGAGAAAGGTGAAAGGAATTATGGTTTATTTTGCTTTGCCATTTTGAAAAACAATGATTTACAAGTGATTGTCCAGTCTTCCCGGATTGTGTATATTCTTTGATGATGAACATATATACATGTGTGTTTGTATTTTAATAGACTGAAGAAACATAAACCAGTATACAAATAAGTGAAATTATGTTCACTCTACGGCAATGACCACTAGTTGCAACTCGAACAAAAATCCACTGATTGCCTGATATAGCAACAATAACGTAATTGAATACAAGAAATTTGAAACAAGGGTCTAGGCTGGGTGTGTTCATAAATTACATTTCTAAATTGGTCTATTTGAAGTTATCATGATGATGAGTTGATGAGTACCATTTGTGTAAATAAGAAGGGAAACAAGACTGAATACCATACTTGTACAAATTTTTTCTTAAAGGTAAAGACCAGTTATGGTCATGCGATTGCATTGTGAAAGAAACGTTGTGGAATCGATCAGAAAAGGTTGATCATCTGCCATCTATCATCTGCAAGGTTCTGGAATCATCAAAATGATAAGAAATTTGGCCCATTTTTCGTAAAGTTACAAGCACTATACACAGAAAGATGTATATGGGACTACCCTATATCTCTCACAGACCATGAGAGAAACAAATTTACCAAATATATGAATTAGTAGGCGGTTTCCCGGCAAATTTTTTATCATCATGTATTAGTCAAAACATATTCTTTCACATGATTGGTAATGAGAGCTTCCATTTCATTTTTTGAAATTGGGGCATTTCCAATACTGGTCTTTACCTTTAATAGTTTCTGTTCCTAATTTTTTTTAGAGGGAAGACAACAGTTTGATGTCCAGATGCTACAAAAAATGTCAATTGCTTTGAAAAAGAAAAAAAATCAGCTCTTTTGACGTGGGTGTATTTAAATGTTGAACATGTCACACTATTATTACCTACCTGTTATCGTGTATCGTGCCATTAGGGTACATCAGAAAGAAGTCTCACTAAAAAAGCACAAAAAATTAGAAAGTTATGAAAATGGGGATTATCCTATTGGCAATGTGCCATCTATATAGAAGGAGGGGAATTTTCATTTTAAAACTCAAATTATGCATTCATAGTGTTCATTTTCTTCTTTGTATGGAACAGACATTTTATTAATAGGGGAAAATACAAATTTACCATCTATAATACTGTATATGATAAAAAGATGTACTTTTGTCTCAAAACTCTAAAATAGGTTCATATTATGCATTTTTTAACAGAAGAGATTTTCACTCATCCGTCTTCTAAACTGTAAATAATTCCTATATACAGTGACATAACAGTTATATAGACTTCTTCTAGTATACAATTCTTCTGCTATAAATCGTTGGGGAGTTTGAGGGAACCCCATCCTTCATGAATTTTCCCCTTCATTTTCTCTTGGTGAAAAGCCCCCCCCCCCTTTCAAAAAAAAATTGTTTTCCTAGCTGATCATTTCATTTTTTTAAAGGAAACTTGCTATAATGTGCATGTGTGTGTGTGTGTGTGTGAGTTGGGGTAGGGGGTCCCTCAGCTTCCCACTTAATGGTGTTATCAGTACGTATGTATATATCTTTTTAAATTTGATGATTTATTTATGTAGTCAAATCATCTATTTCACATTTTATGTGAATATTTCCAACACAATTTTCATAAATATAGAACTACAAATAATGTATAATTATGTTTAGACACTCTGTTACCATGATATAAGGATTTGCTTTCAAAATTTGTTTATGTATAATTCTCTTGATTTTGTTTTTACTTGCTGAGTTAACATTTACATCTGAAATTTTATCTGTATTCTTTCTGGTATATCATGTTCACTATTCACCATGTTATGATGTTTTCATGTCTATGTATGTCTTTATATATGTCTTTATATATCTTTATGCTATGCAGGGCCCCCAAGTATAACAGTCGTCCAACTACTAATGGGGTTACCCTGTTGAAATAAAACCAAATAAATAAATATATGAATATGATTCAATAATTCAAAAACACATTGTATTTCTGTGTCTACATTCCAGCTATTTGGTATGAATTAATTGGTATTTGTAATGCAAGTTGTTGAACTATGTCAAATTGTGCAAGCGCCCTTTTCATCTGTGCTTCTAAGAGTGGAGGTTCTCTTCGAAATGATACCTTCAACTTGATAAGGAGAGAATTGAAATGGGGAAGAGGCTGGGGACATTGAGGTAGGGAAAGTGAACGGAGGAATAGGTTGGAAATCGAAAGTGGGAAAGGAGAGGTAGAGAGAGGAGAGAGAGTGAGGAACTAATAAGATGGAGAGGGGACAAAACAAAGAAAGCAAGAGAGTGGAAAGCAAAAGAAGAGAAGTGGAGAGGGGAAAGAAAATCAGAAGGGGGAGAGAAAAAAAGAGAAGAAGGGAGAGAAAAAAAGAGGAGGAAAATGATAGATGGAAGAGAGAGAGAGAGACAAAAAGAGAAAGCAAAAGAAGAGAAGGGGAGAGAAAAGAGAAAATCATATGAAGGGGGGGGGGGGAGAGGATAGGGAGAAAGAGGTGAGAGAATAGAAAGAGAGCTGAAGAGAGAGGGAAAAGGGAGAAAAAATGTATTTGATTTATTGATTCATTTGTCATGAAATAGGAATTCTGTTTCCATTGGTTGAACTATACATAACAAAGAAGTGTAAAATGACGAATATACATTCTGTGATCACAAAAACAGAAAAATGGAAAGAGTTTAAAGAAGAAATGATAGGAATAAAGAGAGAGAAAAAAGAAACTAGTAAAAAAAAAAGGGGGAGCAGTGGGATGGGCAAAAGACAGTTATGGGAGAAGGGTATATGAGAAATGGCAAGAGAATGAGAGAGTGAAGGTGATACTGGGAGAGAACATGATTTGAACAGAGTCACCGACAGAATGTCGAGTCTTCCTTTTTACACTGCACAGTTGCACTGTATGTGCAAAACTTTGATATAGTTTAAAGATAAACTCCAGTTCTGGTAAAAAAAAAAAGAAAATTAATTCTCACAGAATCAAACAAAACTTACACTGAATGTTCAAGATTACAAATAAATGACATGTGCCAAACAATTTTGGAAGAAAATGTATACTGGCTGAGTAATGAGCAGAGAAAGACAAGGAAATCAAGGTAGTACTAGCCCCGACATCATGTGTGTTGTCTCATATATAGCTTTCTGTGTACACTGCTTGTTACTTTACCAAGACTCTGTCAAATTTCTTATGATTTTGATGACTCCAGAACCTTGCAGTGCAGACCAATACTTACAGTACATGCTATATGATCAACTGTTTCTGATCCTTTCCACACCCTTTTCTTTCACAATGCAATCGCATTACCAGTACTAATGTTTATCTTTAAGGGAAAAATTTACACCGTCAAAAAAAGTTCCTTTTTGATGAACAAAACAAGCCAACCATTATACCAAAATAAAATTGGACCATGTTCTAAAATATGTCTCATTCAGACTTTAGTTCGATAAAAGTTATGGAGCTTGGCAAGTTTACTTGCTATATACAGGAAAATCACCGTTGTCAAGGACGACACCCTCTCGCCACAATACTTGTAATCTGCTGAGAGCCAGGAGGGTGTTTGAATGTGTCAAAGGACGAGTTAACATCGTTGTGGCTCTCAACACTCCCGTAAAAATATTTCACTCACACACACACATACACAAGCTTAAGAAATCCACACATGTCTAGTTTATCTGATAATTTTGAAAAACATTTATTTCTTACATCATCCAACACAATACCATAGAAAACATTGCATAATGTTTTGTTCAATATTTTGTTTGTATTTATATACATACTTTATTACTACATAGAATTTTATTTAATTGGATAAAACTGACAAAATGGCTGCTCCAATCTTTAACGATGACAGTAAAAATTCTGACTCTGGGTATAATCATTCTTGACAATTTAAGACAAGGTACAATTTCATCATATGGCACATGTACACATGTTGAATATCGGGCTACAATTTCTACATACAAAAGAGCATTTATCACTGTACTATTCAACACACTCTATGTTGCAAGTTTATTTTATGTGAATGGCATAAGAAAATAGACACTATTTTTGTGTTGGTTTCATCAGGTATACTTATTCTAGTTGGACACAATTTTGATCAGTAAGTAAAATACAAGTAAATTCATGTCAAGAAATAAAGTACTATGTTCCTGGACGGTGATCCATATGCGGACGGAATATGAAACATACAGATCTAGTATTTGCATAGTCTTAAACAAACTATCGAAACACAGTATATATCATATATCAAATTGACAACACCAATTCATTTTTTTTGTTTGAATATTACAATCAACAGACATTGTTCGATGTTGAATAAATGGAAGATAAATTTCCTACCCATTACAGAAAATACTGACAGTACAAATGCAAATGACGGTGACATTTATTCCACTACACTTCTAATCACAATAACAATATATCAGTTATATCAGTATATAAACTGTTGGCTGCCATGTATACGATTGTTGTGCACAGAAGAAGATTGCATGTGGCAGAAGAAGAGAATGTCTGAGGATCATTGATATTAAAACTATCTAGAAGTCCTCAGGCATACATAATTCTACCTGTCACGCACAATGTGATTTGTTTGAATGCAGTTCCATTTTCTGAAATACCAATTGCAAATAAAGGCATTTATCAGGCAACAATGGTAAAAGCTTTGAAGTATTGTATAAAATCTCTCAAAGTTTTAAAAAAAATATTCATCTGAACCCAACATGAGACAAAGCTTGAGTTTTTTTCAATTATAAACATGTAACATTGAATTTTTCAGTCCCAAAGTGATAAAGGCTTGCATGCAGACACAACCAATCATATCATACCATTGTAAAGTAATTGATTAATGGCAGTTTCAAAACAGTGCTTTTTTTGTCGAACTCAATAGTCACTGTCCATAAAATATAGAACAATGAAGCCAGTTTTAAATTACCAATTGCATAATCAAAGTATTATAATCCGTACTACACATGTATCATACAATCTGTACAAGATAAGACCAGAAGAGATACATGAAGACAAGTAAATGAGACAGAGTGAGAGGAAGAGAGAGGGAGAGAGGAAGAGAGAGGGAGAGAATACCACAATAAATCCAGTAAATAAACAGACTCAACTGAAGTATAAGCGGTTAAGCACTTTTCCAATCTGAAACTATGAAATGAGGAAGGCGCAAAATAATCCATAAATCTTGATTGAATACCTTAATATGAGGCTATAAAGACCATGTATCAGAGGAACATCTTTCAATTTTGATAAAGTCTAAATAACTTCAGAATTTATGTATTAAAATAGCCACCTTCAATTCCACTTTTTGATGAACACAAAACTTTCTAGGCAAAGTATACATATAAAAAAAAAATTGTTCGATTTTAATTCTTTCCAACAAACTTGTAAGAATTGTTCTCGCACCAAAAGAATTTGAGCGTAGTTTTACTTTTCCAACAAATATGGAGGTTTGTGCTTTTAGATATCTCAGGCTCTTGGAAAACATATGAAGATAAGGCTCTTGGATAAACATATGAAGATAATTCTAAGAACGTATACATCGTAGAATAGGGAAAGAAAATAAAGGAGATATATGCAAGGGCAATATACATGGGACATTGAACAAAATATAAATGATCTAATCAATTTACAATTTACAGTTATTTTTCGAGACGTGAAAGTCAAGAAAAGTATCACAGTTCTTTGATCATGAGCTATCAGAGCATCAGTTGAGCACTGACGATTCATGCGTCGGAACCATGTACTTGATGTTGATAAATGCATCATCGCCGCCCTTCTTTTCAAACGCTACTAGCACTTCATGAATGAGGTCACCGATATTCTCTCTCCTCTGCTGTCCGTAGTCGATGCTGTCTCCGGAGTTCAGATTATTGTTCTTGAAGGTATTGAGAACGGGGAGGATTTGTCGGTAGTAAGGGACGAGAGCTTCGCCGACATTTTCACCCGAGACGACGAGGTGCTGCAGAACCTTTAACGTTGTGCATAGGACCTGTCAAAAACAAACAGAGGCAACATTCATGAAATTATTAAAGGTATCGTTAACCAGTGTTAGTGTTAATTTTCTTTTAAAATTTATGAAAGTTTGTGAATATGAATCACAAGCAAGGAAGAGTCAATTTACAAAAGTTTACATATGTAAGGTTCACTTTGTAGATTGGTACACAGTATACTTTTAAAAAAGATGTCATTCATTTTACCTTTGTGTCAAATTGAAATTTCTGACATGCAGCGAAGAAACAATTGCTCATATCAAGAGAACCAAGTTGCATTTAAGTTGTGCATCTTTATTTCCCTAATATTTTCAAAACTAATAACTTAAAGTCTTGAGATAGTCTACAGCTGTTTTTTTGCTAGCACATCAACATAAAAATGCATTTAACATTTATCGGTGTCTCTCTGAACTAAATGATGAAGTTGTGTGTCTGGATGCTAAACAAAAATAAAGCTGTAACATCAAATCGCACTAACCATTGTAAATATTTGCCCTTTATAATGTTGCTAAAATAAGATGAAATATTGATATATGTTAACTTCTACAACAATAAAAAACACCATCAATGTCATGGAAACCAGTACCCACCATTCTGTTTTTCATGTTCAATGCACTCTTGATGGGGATGATGAGCTGTGGAATAACTGGAAGAATCTTGGAACCGCCATGCTCCAACATGTCATGAACCCCTTGTCTTGCGAAGAACTCGTACGGATGTGTTGTTTCACAGAGTCCGTCAAAGAACATTGGCAGGTAGTGGTGGTAGTCAAGCTTTTCAATTTCAACCTGTGAAGTAAAAGAGGGAGAAAAAACAGAGTGATTAACTAAGGATTCTAAATCTAAGCGGTAAGCCCATCATGACTTTGAGCCAAGGATTAGACAATTGTCTCTTGACCGACTAGAATTAAAAAAGAAAAGAAATGTAGCGGCTGCGCAGCGTAGACCCTACTTAGACCTACTCTTCGCCATGTTGAATTGACGATACAAGTACAACGTTGGATGAATTGGGTTAGGATTAGGAAAAGGAATCACACCTTTTTCCCATCCATAGAAGGCTTCTTCAAATTATAATTTCAAGTGGTTGAACGGATGCCCAGAGGCAGAGGAGTCGAAAAACACTGCAAGTCAAAATTGTAATCACTAGACTTCTTTAGGTCTAACTTGCTTGCATACTCTGGTGAATTTTTCCCAGTCCAATTTCTCACCACTTTTCTTGGCACGCCTGTAAAACTTATCTGTCCGGATAACCATCCTATCCGGACACACACCATTCCACTTTAACTTCAGTTTAAGCCCCCCATTCTCACGAAAACAAACTTTACTAGAACTTACCTTCCATGCAATTTTGTTTCCTTTTGTGTCGTGTTCTAATGCAATTGGGAAATCTCCTCTGTTGTAGAATTTCCTGAAACTTGTTCCTTGTAAGAGTGGTTTTTCGGCAAACGCTCCCGCTGCTGGAGGTGCAACAACAACAGCATTTTTCATCCGGGATTTTGTAGTAAATCCTTCTGCCTTCAGCTTCCTCTCGTTGCCTTTTGGCGATGCCTTTGATCGCATCATATTGATATAAATCTAATATTTAAAGAGTTGTGAAATTGTAAATTCAGCAACACTGTGGGTGGTAAGTGTCGTTCACGGTTTCTCCTGCGTGTAAAGTTTACGTGCGTTACGCTTTGTTGTTACAGTTTGCTGGTACGGCGTAATTGGTCTTCGTAGCGCGAGTATTTACGTGCACAATAATGTACCTAACGATGCTTTCCCCATACAAACACTGCCGATGGTGTTTTGTAGACAAACAGGGTGCCTGTTGCATAGCGACGCAACCTCGTTCATTATACTTTAATATCAAAAGCATAAAAGTACAAGTAAAAACGAATCAATTTTTAAAAATTGTTTAATTATAAATATATAATAATATATTTAAATATACAAGGTGATAACTGGTGTAATATGTTATATGAATCGGTGAAATGATAGAGTCTGGCAGACGATGTAGTTACTGATTAGTAGCCATATTGTAAGACCATTTATTTATGTATCCTTCCGCGTAGCTCGGCGTGGTATTTACATATCATATCTCATGTTAATGTAGTTCCAAGTGGATATACAACATCTCCCTCACAATAGATTTTTTTTTAAATGAATAACCAAGAAAAGTTATAAAAGTTAATCATAAAACCTCTTGAAACTCCAAACACCTGCAAGCAAACATTTTGCAAATATCAATACCTTAAAAATACTTTAACATAATTATGCCCGACTGATTGCCAAGTAACAATTCAGGAATATGTTTATGATTCAAAAGAACCCAAATTCGCAACCTTACTTTAGTTCCATAAAGTAGTCCTTTTTTGAAAAATTAATACGTGGAATACCTAAAACCAGATGTTAGAGATAAAACTATGTGATCACACATCAGCAAACACATGCTTATACAGTTTTTTTTCTTTCTATATTGACATTTCCAACTTCTTATTCGCTAATCCAAACTTGGCCATTTAGAAGTAAATTGTACTTACATAATTTTATATTTATAACCAAAATACTGTAATACTAGTTTGTGAGCAAAACATCGTTTCAAATTTGCTCATACAAAACTTTGCTGGGCAGAGCTACTGAACAACTCTATGGAAACTTTAGAACATAATTTGTTCTCATATTCTTAAAACATTTATAAAAAACTCAACACAAAAACACTATTCAAGAAAGTTATGTTGCTTGATTATCCAACATAAAAATACCCTTGGGCACGTTTCTTTACATTAGCATCATTGCATGCCATTCTATTTATTGTATGCTATTTCTCTCTTCTCCTTTTCTTTTTGTTGTTGTTGTTGTTGCTATAAATTAGTAAAAAAAATAATTAAAAATTTTTTTTTTAAAAATCTCGGTTATTATCCAATATACATGAAGTGTCTTTATGTGAGATTCTAACTATAAACTGGAACATTTGTTCAATCTTTATAGTCTGTCACTTTTTGTGTTTTAATTCTTCTTTCAAATTGTTTTTAATCATTGTGGAAGCCGAAGGGAGAATATCTAGGTCTTATTCCTTTTCGGCTTAAAGCGTTTATGTAATATGGAAAGAATTAAGAGAGGAAAATGAAAGAGAGAGAGAGAGAGAGAGAGAGAGAGAGAGAGAGAGTCGGAGAGAGCCTGAGAGAGAAGAAAAGGGTTAACTCTACTTGTTTTTTATTTTATTTATTTTTTACAATTATTTTATCACTTGATATCATTATTGTTATGAAGTTTTAGAGGGAAGGGGCGGGTTAGATTTTCTCCTTCTTCTTCGTCTTCTTCTTCTTCTTCAGTTCTTAGGCTTCTCCTCATTTCTCCGCCTTATTGTCTCTCCCCCTTCTCTCTCAAGAGTCTATATTCTTAATCACTTGATTATAATTGACAGACTGATTTACTATATACAAGATCGGTGGACACCACATGCATGAGTGCACTTTAGAAGTGTTTCCATTCATAGCAGATTCTTTGTGTGACATGTCATGTCATCTATAGTTCCCAGTTGCTCTGACCAGCAGAGTGACGTCATTATGTTCATGTAAACACAATCCTCTCGTATCCAGTAGCTTGAATAGTGTCACTTGTATTACTGATTATTGAGCGGAATTATTCAGTCTCATTGTTCAGAGATAATTATGTTGAAGGAGATCGAACGTCAAGAGTCAAAGGAGATTTACCGAAAAATCTACCAAATAATACAACAACAATAAATTATTGAGTAAAATAAGAATACAAAAAAAACTAACCTCTTTCTTTTCTCTCTTCCCCCCCCCCAAACTTTTATTCTTTTTAATTTTTGCTCGCTAGTTCGATGTATCAAACACCCGCCCCCCCCCCCCCCCCACTCAGGGGTCGGAATGACCGCATGCGTGTTACCAAAATGTCCGGTAAAGGGGTAATTTTCGTGAGTCCGGCCCGAGAATTGTAAAAAAAAAGGGGTGTATTTGACTTTTCACCCGGAGATTTCTTTAAAAAGGGTTTTTTTTTTTTTTTTCTCTCATCTCTTTGGACTCCTGAGAAATTATTCCGAATTTAGGGGGGGGGGGTACATTGAGCATTTCTCATGATTTAGGGGGTCTCCAAGGCAGGAAAAGCCCGCGAAAGGGGGGTTCGAAAATAGTGGCAGTCCTCAGATAGGGGGTGCTTTCAAAAAGAGGGAACGAGCATATGCGTACCCCACTGAGTGGGGGGGGGGGGGTCGGGATCAAACAGAGACAAATTTGCAGGCAACAACAACGTACTCAAAAACTCTTGTATCATCATGAGTGAAGACCTACTAGGCCTAATACGTGTAATAGAAATAAAATGTCTGAACTTTGAGACTACCCGTAGACTACACGGTCTACTGCACTCCAGAGAACCTGTAGGTCTACTGGTCGAAGCTGCTCTGTTCTCTGACACAGCCAGAAACTGACAGAGTTATGCTTGGATTCGTGTCGAACAGACTAAAAGAGACTGTCTAACTTGAGTAATCGTCTTGATGGTTTCCATGACTACGGGATAAAATGGCAGACTACTAGGCAAAATTAAAAGACGTAATTAGTGCTATTCATTTCGATTGACGTTTCCTTAATAATCCGATTATACGCTTGTCAATTATACGCACTGGCGTATTGGTGGGGGGGGGGGGGGGGGGGGGGCTATTTTTTCCCAAACAGGTTTGCCAATGGTAATATTTCCGGTCATCTGATTGGCTGATATGTTGCGTCATTGGCAATGACCGTGAGTGATAGGGTTATAAAAATCATGCATAACCAGTTTTCATTAACCCATCGTTGGCTCAATCGGTAAGGTCAGCGTAATACAATCTTAAAGTTATGGGTTCAAGTCTCAGTTTCTTCAGTTTTTTGCCTTTATAAATAGTGAGGCAAAGGAATAAAAAATCAAAGTCTAATTGTTTGTGACCTCTTTCCAAGCTGCTAATGACGTAGAACACTGATATCAGCCATTGAGAAGAACGGAAATATAAGAAATAGCAAACCTGTTTGGGAATACAAATTTCGCCGGCGGGGGGGAGGGGGGGGGGGGGGGCGCAGCGGTGTGCGCTATAGAATTAAATCATAACTTTTTTACAATTCCAGGGGGAAACTGAATTCAGACAAGGACACAATACAACGAATCGTCTTCTTTCTCTAATAATTTAATAAAGTGCCAAAGCTTCCGCGCTCCGCGCGGGAGGGCGAAACAAGAATTTAGAGTCGATAACGGTACTACGGATCGTCTTCTTCACGGGAGGGGGGGGGGGGAAACTTAATTCAGACAAGGATTAAGAGTCGAGAACGGTACGACGGGTCGTCTTCTTTCTCTTATAATTTAATGAAGTGCCAAAGTTTCCCCACTAAAAAAGGTCTAGCGACGCCCCTAATAACAACACAGTTTATACACTCGAGATTATTTTTGCAAGTACTACTGGTGAAGTAACGGACAACCGTATGTGAATTGCAGGCGCGGATCAAGGATTCTTAGGGGGGGGGGGGGCCAAATTTGAAATCATGCGAGCCAAATATACGAAGGCTTAATGGTAAAACAGTAGCGTAATGAGCAAAAGCGTTTGGAGGTGGGGGGGGGGGGGGGGGGGGCAGAACAAGTGGCGGATCCAGAGGGAGCCCGGGGGGCCCGCCCCCCCCCCCCCCCCTGTGAAGAAAAAAAATGTGTATTTTTACACTTTTTAACGTTAATTTTACCTTTTTTTGTGGCTGCCCCCCCTGGCGCTCGAGGGGGAGGTGGAATTTTTTTTTTTTTTTTTGGAGTCCCAAAAAAAAAAATCGCAACTACTCAGCCAGCCGAAAAGTCGCTCAGTGGCGGGGGGGGGGGGGGGGGGGGGGGTAGTGAGCACAATTTTTTTTTTTGGTCCACGAAAATTTTAAAATTTGCACCCCCCTAAAAAGGTAAAAAAATCGCGTGATTTTGCATGATTTTTTTCTCTGGGGGTGGGCAAGGCCCGCTCAGAGGGAATTAAGGAAAAAAAAGGAAAAATTAAAACAGTAAAACGGCGCGATTTTTGGAAAATGAGTGGATCCGGCACTGGGTCACCCCCCCCCCCCTAGCTCCTTGGCACCAAGCTAGATCCGCCCCTTTTGTGTGCATTGTGCATCATTGCATATCACACGGGCATCACACCAAATTATTTCAAGGGGGAGGGGTCGACCCGTCGCACGTAGGCCTACCTACCATATGCCACGTGCCAGTATGAAATTATGTCAGTTTCGTATCCTTTTTTTTTGCCAACTTGATATGCACGGGATATGCAGCTCGCCGCCCTATTTCCCACCTTCGAATCCTGGATCCTCTGCCGCTCCCTGCAATCCCTGTCAATTAAATTTCGGTCGAAAGCTTTTCTTTGTGATTCGTTAAGACATGTTTTGTATACCTGTCATTCTGCCCCTCGATCCTTTTTCATGTTCATCTTATCCCCGATCTTATCATATCAGCATAAATAAATGTTTTGTGGTTTGTGCACATGCGCACAATTAGCACAATTACAGCTACAAAACGAAGACGTACGAGCATACGAGATGCATATGTATCTTTCATGATTATATTTATAAAGCCAATATTTAAAGAATTTCGTTCTTTCCCGCCAAACTATCCAGTGTCATTTCATCAAAAAGGAACCGGTAAGTAAAATTTTGTCTGTTCTTTAGGTCCATGATTTCATTTCGTACACTGAATATCAACTATCAATGATTTTGATTACACAGAATGAATAGGGTGGGGCAAAGGTATTCTCAATGGAAGTTTTCCCGCAGATCAGTTCGAATGGATATGGGTACTGCCGCAGAGCTAGCTAGCGCGTTTATAATTATAGCGGCGCAGCTCGGGCGCCATAGGCCATACAACAGCGATCAGAGTGATTTTAAAGAGACACAAATATTAGCCGCCTTACTTTAAATTAAAGTTTAATACTTACTTTGTCAAACCCAAATTGTCAAAAAACTTTTCACACACGTCCTGCACATGAATGATCTAGTCTAGATCTAGACCGAAAGCTTCAGTCTCTATACCGTCGGTTGTTCCACTGAGACTACGTCTGGCTCCACTAGACCTCCGGTTATAGAGACTGAATGATCGCCTATGCCAGCCTATGTTGAAGATATCACGGCTAGATTTTAGCCGTTAGCCCCTCCCACAAACATGAACAAACTTGCCACGGCCGTATTGTTATGCCCCAAAATCCCCCAAAATGTCATTTTACCTCGTGCATATCCAATTTTACATTAGGCCTAGGCTATAATACATCGTTCCACTTACTAACTTGATTGAAATAATCCGTTTAATGGTCCCTTTTAAGGAAATTATGGGTCAAATTCGACATCCATGTTGAAAATCTTGCAAGCCGTGTTAAACTCTCGCTGCCGTCAATCTCATCTCTTCTAGTCTACGCCGAAGGCAAAAATGATTATGAAGGAAAAACTGTGATAACGCCATTACGAACGTGTAGATGGCGCACAGTTTTTCCCTTCATAATCATTTTGCCTTCGGCGTAGACTAGAAGGGATGAGATTGACGGCAGCGAGAGTTTAACACGGCTTGCAAGATTTTCAACATGGATGTCGATTTTGACCTATAATTTCCTTAAAAGGGACCATTAAACAGATTATTTCAATCAAGTTAGTAAGTGGAACCGATGTATTATAGCCTAGACCTAATGTAAATTGGATATGCACGAGGTAAAATGACATTTTTGGGGGATTTTGGGGGCATAACAATACGGCCATGGCAAGTTTGTTCATGTTTGTGGGAGGGCCTAACGGCTAAAATCTAGCCGTGATATCTTCAACATAGGCTGGCATAGGCGATCGTTCTGTCTCTATAACCGGAGGTCTAGTGGAGCCAGACGTAGTCTCAGTGAACAACCGACGGTATAGAGACTGAAGCTTTCGGTCTAGTCTAGATCTAGACTACTGAACAATTGGGAGAAAATTCAGAAGAGAAAATCAATGCCACAATTGTTGAAATCTTGGCACTTGTTCAGAAGCCTATCCAAAATTTGACCCGTAACTCTGGCACGGCATGGAGATACCCTACTAAAACATACCCAAAATGAAGTAAATATTCATCAAATGTAACTAATGTATCAGATCCTCATTACAGTAGATAACTTCACACAAGCGCGCCCGCCCGCAACCTACCATCACTTTATCAGTATGCACTTGTATTGTGCAGCAGTTTGCCGTGAAACCTGTCAAAAAGTGTATACTATATCAATGTTTTTCTGAAAATACTCCAAAAATAACAAGAAAATTGACACGAAACAGGTAATAAACAAAACAACTTTTAACTCATGATCTTTATTTGGACATTCAATGAATCATTTTGGGTATGGTTTTAGTAGGGTATCTTCACGCCGGAGTTATGGGTCAAATTTTGGATAGGTTTCTGAACTCTTCACATTTATATTAAATATAACGCTCCAAAATCATACTGTTGATGTTACCGTAAATAATATGTAAATCTGTTGTGTAACTTCTTGTCGATTCCAGAATCCAAGCTAAAAATTATGTAGAAAATCAAAGAAACCGCTGCTGATTTCCTTCAATGAATACCGTAAATCTCCGTGTATAAGGCACACCAGTGTATAAGGCGCACCCCTATTTTGGGGGCAAATTTTTTTTTTTTTAAATAGAGTAAAGAGCCGGTAATCGGCCAGCTCCCGTTTTCGGCCGATTAGTTGGATGCAAGGTAAAATCACTCTAAAATACATCGCATAATAGCATAACACATATCCCACACATACCATACCATGCCAGTGTCACTGAAGAACCACATTTGCAATGGAAAATATATCCTAAAATATCACATTTTAGCGATGTAATCGCCGGTCCCGCTACCCAAATCTGAAAAATCGAGTATCTTACGCGTGTCTGTAAGAAATATGGGTACCATAAAATGAGCTTTATTTCAAGTATTTTTCAGATTTAGAGCCCGATTTTGTGCTAGTCGCAAGCTCAAAAGTATCTCATCGCATGTATTAAATCATGCAGCCGTACACCGCGACGCACACCACGATATCTCTGTCTAATTCAGATTCCAACTTCCGATCACCGCTGTGCCTGTCTTCGGCCAGGCGAGCACCAGGGAGCTCCCGCGTGGATACCTGCTCCGCCCGTTGTGCTGTACATCAGCGCGAAACGCACGGCGCGCGCGAGCGCTTCCTATTGACTTTGTACATGCGGCCGTAAACTGAAATGCTCGGCCGATAACTGGCTCCGAAACAGTGAAAATTGAAATGAATATTGTCATGGCAATTCGTGATTTTTTCTGGGATTCTTTTTTTGTTTAAATAATAATAATATTTGCTTTATGATTTGAACAAGAAATGATAATAAATAGGAAGTAAAGAGTCCTAAAAATAGGATTTTGTCTTAAGTGGCCGAAAACGGGCTCCTTTACTCTAGTTTTTTGTTTCATTGTTGTTTTGTTGCCTAAAACCCACGCGGGGAAGGACCTTCATTTTACATCGAGGTGCAGTTGAAGTTGTGAACTTGTCACAAATAATAGTAACAATGTCGTTGTAGAAGAATGTGTAAGATCATTAATGTAAATTAAAAACAGGTCCAGACTCTAAGGCTTTATGATCCTGTCCCACACCAGCCTCATCACATCACCTAGCAGAAGCACTGTGTTCTATGCCAAACATCAATAGTCATGCATGATATGAATAGCATCCTCTAAATTTCTGACAATGGAGTAGGTCCCCTACCTAGGATAGGACCTTGTGGTACACCATTTGTTATAGAAAAAAAAATTGAGGAATTATTATTATAAACTACATATTGAGATCTATTTGAAAGATTACTTTCAAACCAAGATGACAGACAAATTTGAGTGTTGTTGTAGTTTCTGAGTGGTGAGTCAACACACTGATTACTGAGCTGGGAGACATTGCCAGGCATAGCGCCATAAATCGAAACTTAAAAAAAAAAAAAAAAAAAAAAAAAAAAACTTTTTTTTTCTGTACCTGTGTATAAGACGCACCCTGACTTTCAAATTTTTTCGGCGGCAAAAAAGTGCGCCTTATACACGGAGATTTACGGTAATTGAATATGAAGCATTAATTAAGGGTGCAGTACATAGCCAGAGTCTTACCAGAAAAAAAATCATCAAAAGCAAAATTTAAAGCTTTAAAAGGTTCAATCTGGATCCCCTTCCCTTAATATTTATAATATGTTGAACCCTGAATTAAGACTTGAAGAAGTGTAAGCGCTCACATGATACCTTTTGTTTCTCACAGTCGAATATTACCGTCATGGAACAAGGCAGAGCATCTCCCGATTCACCTTCGGGATCTAATTCTAAAACATTTTTTGAGAGAAATACCACTGATCAAGAATTATGCGTGGAGGTTAAAGATCTCTCCACGGAGGAAGAGGAGAAAACAGAAGACGCTACTGTCTCAAGGATAAAAGTGACTCTTCATGAGACTGGAATGTTACATGTAGATGAGCATGAGGGTGTCTTGGATGCTGCAGATGACACGCCAAACACAGAGGACAAGGAGCTAAATGTGGAAACAGATCTTGCAGGCTGGTCTTTACAGCCCTCTACAGAAGCTAGTAATTTGGGAGAAGAGAAGGATGATAGTACGTCCCTGTCTCTTGCCGCCGCCATTGAACAGTACCATGAACCTGACAGGACACTGTACGTTTACAAAAACTCGACCGTTGGGTCGGATGTCATGATAAATGTGGTGTCGTTGACTACATTGGAAGTGCCTCTGAAAGAAGGCGCGGAAGCTGAAGTCAAAGACACATCAGAAGCGGCAGTGGTGCAGCCTGGATCTGAAGAAGGTAAGGCTTGGAGAACTGTTTACTTTATCATAACTTGGGGCACAATTAACAAATGACAAATAAGCTCTGAAAACTAATCTTGAGATCTGGAAATGACACTGCATTTTAGAAGAGACTGCCTAAAAGCATTTCTGAATTGTTTATAATTGTTTATGCAGAAGATGTGTTGTTTAGACCAGCAAAATATGAATATGCTAAAAGTATACTAACCAAAACTTGCTGGTAACGACATTCAGTGATAAGCACAAAAGTTGACAGAATTACCACTTGAAGTTAATTTCTTTCGCAGTGTACAACATTCCTGAAGAGTCAAAGGCAATAGTGTTTCGGCATAACTTTGTCAATAAATCTTCTGATATTCTTGGCCAATCAAGTGAATTCAATCCTTTGATATTTACTTTATTATTAATTGGTTAAATTGTAATTTGCAATGGTAAATGGCATGTATGTTATCATTTGATTCTTTGATATTGTATCTACATTTATATACCAGGCATAAATGTTCATATCTGATTCTGCCCTATCTCTGTTACCTTTCTGTAAGTGCATAGTGACTTTCATTATGTTAGTGGTACGTGCGCTACAAAAGCAATGTTAATTATTATCATTATCATTATAGCCACCATGTCAAGGAAAACTTCAGTCACTAAAGGCCTGTCAAACCTGTTGATGACTGCCCCACACGATGCCAGTACTTCAAATCATATATTCTTCATTAAGTAAATCAATTTTTGAAGAATATGAAGAATATGAAGAATATTTTCTTGTTTTGGTAGATATGGACACTGAGCCTCGTGAGGAGGATGAGGAAGCAGGAGCTGAGAAAGATTCCACAGCAAGCCAAGCAACCAAAGACATTCCAGAGTATAAATGTGATGAGTGTGACTTCACCACCACGAAGACACACCTACAGCTTAGTCACGAAGTACTGCATGCCGTTCCTGATGAGAAGCAACTCTTTTACTGCTCTAAGTGCAGCTACACCACACCGCAGCGCTTCAACCTCAAGACCCATATAAAGACCCACTTTGACATCAAGGAAATGGACCCTAGCGAGTTGTTCAAGTGCCCGGAATGTGATTACGTATCATGTACAAGTACGATCTGCAGACACATTCCAAGAAGCATAACCCTGAGAAGCAGTACCGGTGCTTCCACTGCGACTTCACCAGCATCTACAGACACAGTCTTCTCCACCACATCTCTTCAAAGCACCACGGTGTCCGACCATTCCAGTGCTCTCTCTGTTCGTATTCCGCCACGAGAAAGCAGGATCTTGAGACGCACATGTTCAAACACAAAAAGCAGAAGCGATACAAATGCACCGAGTGCGACTATGAGACAACATACAACCATTGTCTTAAGTCTCATATGCACATCCACAACGGTGACAATCCTTTTAAATGTACGCGCCCTGGATGTACCTTCTCCACCAACTCCAAGTCCAACCTGAACTCACATGTCACAAGACATAGCAAGAGAATTCAATGTGAATCATGTGGCTTTGAAGCCAGTAGTGCCAAAACACTCAACAACCACATATGCCTCGAAACAAAGAAAAGGAAAGAGATCAACAAAAGAATTAGCATGGCCAAGGTCCCTCCACCATCTAAGAAGGAGGATGGAAAACTGGAGTACACATGCCAGGAATGTGGTTATGTCTGCAAGAGCAAGCACAGCATGAAGCCACAGCCAGATCCATGATGCAGAGCGGGAAAGACCAGATAAGGTGCACCAGTGTAAGCAGTGTAACTATGTGTCTGCGTACAAGAGCAGTCTGACAAGACACATGGCCAGACATTCTCTCGTGAAGCCTTTCAAATGCGGACATTGCGACTACTCGGCTATAACCATGACGCAGATGCACACGCACATAGCTAAGCACACAGGTGGGTTTGTCAGCAGGTCTTCATTTGTGAAAAAGGATCAATCGCTCTATGATCTGACTTATGTTCTGGTGACAATTACTCCAGGCTTTATTCAGTCAAAGATACAGAGCTGTGGTTAGGGCTACAATGGTATATTAGGTTAGGTTTATGTATAATGTTTGGTTCGGGGTTGAAGTTAAGAAGGAAGAGGTATATTCTTTAGGAATGTCATGTTATTTGATAATATACATTGGGTTGTACATGTTGGCGTTTTGATTTTAAAATATCAGAAAAGCTAGTGCCGGCATACCTGAAATATGAAATGTTGCGTGAATTTGAAAAAGCTGTATAGGGTAAAAATAGGGAGCTTCAGGGGACAACTTTCTTGAGAAAAAGTTATGTTGTGAGATTAGCTGCAACATTTGTGCTGATCTCTAATATTTGGATTTAAGCGATAATTCTTTGAAGAGAAACATGACTTGTATTCAAAGTGATTCCCTTTTCAAAATGGTATTGATTGCAGGTATCAAGCAGTACTCCTGTGACCTTTGCTCCTACAGCACAGCCAACAAACAGCACCTGACGAACCACATGTCCAAGCATTCCAACCTACGCTACAAATGCAACGCCTGCGGTCACATAACGGCCTGGAAGGACCGCATGCGCGTCCATCTCAAGCAGCATGAACAGGGACGGATCGTCGGCCGGTCGGTCAAGTCGTCACTTCAGCCACACGGCTCAACAGGGCTCCAGGTTCTGTCAGGAGAGGGCGGTCAGTTGGTCACTACCGATGGTCAAGTTCTGCAGGTGGGCAATTCCTCCTCTGATAGTAGTTATGGAATTACGTAGCCTCTTTTTTCCACCCATAACCATGACATAGATTAGTAAGCCAGTCGTCACTGATGAGTATGAGTGTTCGGGTTCTTAGACACATGCTGTTATTTTCCTACATGTTTCTTAACCTCATCCTTGACCATTTCTTATTCCTAATTCTGTCCTTACACGAAACCTAATCTAAAATCAAATTGCAACTCTAATGCTTATCTTACGTCTTTCACGGAGTAAAACCCAGAGTAATTGCTGCCGGAGCACATTTCATGAAGTATCTGTGAAATTAGGTAATACTTGTGTAACAATTTTCAACATAAAGGTTTAAGATAAAACAAATGTCAAAGAACAGTGCATATTACTAATTTAAACTTTAAACTTTTGGCAGGTGTTGAATGTTATAGGCAGTGATGGCACTCAGCACATCGAGGGAAGTGAGACATTGGTCGTTATGAATCAGCTAGCAGATAGAATACAGGAGGAGTTCATTGCGATCGGTGAGGGGGAAGACCAGGGGGAGGCAGTCGGCCAAGGGGAAGAGCAGAGTGAGGTACAGAATGAAGATGATGGGATCGCTGTTGGAGGAGAGGAAATAATTGGTAATCAACAGGTAATGTTCTTTCATTATTGTCCCCATGAACGTATACTAACAGAAAAATGAATTGAACTGAACTATGGACGATGTGTTTGTTGTTAGAAATCTGTTGTGGTTTTGTAATATGTCGAGATAAGATGAGACCAACCTAAACCTTTCATTATCTTCCTCTCCGGGTCTCTCTCTCTCTTTCTCTGTTTATATCTAACTTACTCTTCATCTCTTTCCCCTTTTCTGTATATCTATCTCTGTCTTTATCTCCCTTTCTCCTTTCTTTTGAATCTTTCAATCCATGTGTCACTCTTTCTCCCCAACTCTGTCTCTCTCTCTCTCTCCTCTCTTTCTATATACCTCTATATCTCTTCCCTCTCCCTTTCTCTCTCCCTCTATGTCTTCCCTGCCTCTACTATTTTGATATATACTTTTGCACTCTACCTTTCCATCTGTCTCAATCATTGTTTTGATTTTATTCTTCACAGGAGCAGATAGTCGAGAGTGAGGCACAACTGGTCAGCCAAGGAGAGAGTGAAGATGGGACCTTAATGATTGTCACAGATCATGACGGGTCTGATTTACATGTAAGTTGACCATCTTTGAACCTTGGCTTGTGATGCCTAATTCCCAGGGGGGAAAAAAAGTCACACAATATAATTCTGGAGAGCTCTTAAAGTTTAAACAAAACAAAACAAACCACAACAATGAAATGCATTAGAATTGTCATATTCAGAAAAAAACTTCTGTGAACAAAAAAGTATGTTTTCGACACTGCCCCATTTCTCACAAATCAGTAAAAACAATAAAAACTACGAGAGACTTAAAACATCAGAGTGCTTGTCCGATATTATTCCCCCCAAAACTATGAAAAACCATTCTGAATTTCTATCACTTTCTTTTTCACAAATTCCATGCCCCATTATACATAATACAATATATTTATCTCTTCTTATTTACGCCTCAGTTGCGCCTTACTGGTACTGGATTACAGAGTTCAAAGGTCGGATCTGTGGGTTTAGAACTATGCAATGAGAGTACTATCACATCCACAGCAGTCAGATTGAGAAATGCCACCGCGACAGTTACGGGTAAGAACACTTCTACAATATCCTAATCAGTCCTTGGTATAGTAGATAACTCCATGGAACAATAGATCTGGGGGGTGTTTCACAAAGATCCTAAGTTTAACTTATCTCTAAGTTGGACTTAACAATCATGGAGAGCCATTTGCATCTATGAAAATATTTTGTAAAAGTTATTTTACAAGGCATAAAATGTTGATGCAAATCATTCATATTTTGTATTATCAAGGAAAGTTCATGTTCTTGATGTGGAATTTATAAAAGTCTACAAAATACTTGAATTTTGTTTTAAATATATTTTATTTTAAGGCTACAAATGGCTCTCAATAATTTTGAAGTCCAACTTAGAGTTAAATTTGACTTACCGGTATGATCTTTATGAAACACCCCCCTGGTCAGAAGTCTTTTGCAATGCATTGCAATGGAGTGTTATGCAGATTGAGATGAATAGGGATTGATCAGTCTGCTCCTGTAGAATTTAATAGTAGGATTCATCCTCAATACTTTAGTTTAAAATCCTTCTCGAATCAAATTTGAACAAAATCGATTGATTGAGCTATGGCTTAACAGATGACATCACCACCTTTCATTTTATTTTAATTTCCTAAGGTTTAAAAGCATAGAGCCAGTGATATGCTTTTTAAAAACATTGTACCATTTTTGTTTCATGATTGAAACTTTGTGCTATTACACTGCTTTCTGGATAGTTATAGTGCCTCCAAATAACATGATAGTATTTATTTCCTTTTCCATTTTTACAGAAATATCAGGAGAGGCAACATGACACAGGCTAATTGCGGTTCAGTAGATATTCTCCCGTATAGGTTCTCCTGCTTCTTCTTTTGAAGACTTTGTAGGCAGATGTGAGAGGTCTCCCTACTTTTTGCAGATACATGAAGTACCTCTCTTTGTAGAGATGTGATGGTATAGGAATGATAATATTGATATTAATAGTAATATTTCTAATGAGGATAGTATTGATGATTTTATATAATATTCCACATACTAAGAATCTTGCTCTACAATTGGTCAAAAGTAAATCATGTGATGAAAACTAGTTTGCCCATCATTGATGGGAGAAGAAAAGTTTGTTACACTGTTTCACTGAAGGCAATTTAATTGTATACGTTGCGTATACGTACGTAAGTACTGCATGCACTGTACGTATCTTTACCGTTTGCTAGCTGTTAATTAATGACTTGTTGCTCTAAAATGACGGAAGAAGCAAATGTTTCTGATGTGGAATATAAAGCAAATAATCGTCTTTTGGTTTCAGGCGATGGCAAACTATCACTTCCTCAGCGATCTGAATGTATACGCTATCTTTCCTCAGCTTCGCTTTGGAAAGATAGCTACATCCAGATCGCCTCAGAAGTGATAGTTTGTCCCATAACCTTCACCAACGGTAATTATTTGCTTAATAACTATTTTAATAATCATAAAAATATTCCTTCCTTTATGATAATAATACATGAGATATTTAAGGTGTCAAATCCAATTACCGGTAAGAGCAAATGCTCAAGACGTACTTGTGAGCATAATGCATATCATGTTCTTTGTATCAGATGCATGGGGATTGAAGGATTTCTTCCTATTAGTACCCATTTACCTTACTTACTCTGCTTGGGTCAATAGGTCATATGTAGCTTGGTGTAAATTGGAATGCTTTACAGGGTGTTGCAGGGAATTGCACGGTGAAAATCTCAAAGCTTGTAATATTGCCAAAATGTTGTTCAAAAAATTGCAATTGAAGAATTTCCTATAAGCATGGTGGCAGAATATTCATTATTAGCAAAATTACAGTCATTTCACTTTTAAAATTTGAATTTTGCAATTGGCAGTGTTTTATTCACCCTGTAGGCCTATGATGTGTACAAAATGAGCGCTTCAATTTTCACTCATAGAGAGGAAAAAAATACAAGAGTCTTTTGTTCTGAAATTTTGCACATACACTGTACTTTAATAAACTTACTTTACTACAGAGGAAGCTTTAGATAATCTTTTGAGGGCTTGTAAAACCTTGATAGAGGCTTTCAATACTTTAATGACATGTGAATGCTTTAGATTCAATCCACGGCATAGCACTCAGGTCATTACCTAAGGCATTTTATCTTCATTCTTTTCACTAGGTAGGATGCAAACGTTATTTTTTGTTTGTATTAAGATTTTGTATTTATTAGAATACTTCATTCACATGGTACATGAATATTTTGTTTCACAATACATAGGCATAATAATTACACATGTATTACAAATATAAAAAACAATTTGAAAGATGTATGGAAATTGGAAACAATATAAAAAAACTATACAAGTATATTTTAATGCCTTACTTCAAATTGAAAAATGACAAACAGTAATTCATATAAAATGTTTTGTGTTGATAATTTACTTGCTTATGTATTGCATTAATTATCGCAAATAATGAATGGGTATATCTGAAAGCAGTAATTATAACAGAAATTATGATGTAACTTATTTTGGGGTACAGTTCGAATGGTCAGAAACTCATTCTCTGATCGTTGCTATAATTTTGAATAAGGCAACTGTCATGTATGCTACCCAGTGGAGCAGAGAGGTAAACTATAATTTAAGTGTGGAATTGCAATTTATTGTAATGTGTATTCTTACAAGCAGGCGCGGATCCACAGGGGGGGGGGGGGGAACACTAAGAAATGATAATATACCCCCCCCCCCCCCCCCCCCCCCCCCCCCCCCCCCCGGACCCCCCCCCCCCCCCCCCCCCGGACAAAAAAAAAACAACATTTAAAACGAACATTTCTTCAAATGTCTGGGTTAAAACAATTTTTTTTGATGCACACCATCCCCTCCCCCCCCCCCCCTCCCCATGAGCGAAATATTGGTTAATACGATTTTCAAATTTCGGGAGCAAAATGAAAATAAATAAATTTAGTGCTCACAGACAGCTGTAGGACGTACCTGCGAGAGAAAGATACTATGATTAAAACACAAGCGAATGCGCTGCACACAGAATGTCTATGTAGAATTATTTCTGGAGAAATAATAAATAAATAAATGAATATATTAATGAAATAATGTATTGATGTGCACAAATTCAGTCAGTGTAGTCACAAACAGGTGTCGGCTTGTGCTATAGAGTATAGACACTGTCTTCAACATACAAAGGGGTTTACTTTAATAGTGATTTCAACATATTTATATGCAAAAAATTAGTGAAATCAAACGTCCGCAAAAATAAGTGCTTAGATCTATACAATATCTCTTTTTGAAGTAATATATTTGGACATAAGCTCATATTTTGCATATAGTATTGCCACAAGGAACCCTTAACATACAGATATAAATATATTCTAGTGACTGGTACACTTTAAACATCATTTTTTTGTTTTAAACATTAGATTGATGCATTTTTTTCAATCATAGTACAAATTATTATTAGTATAAATTTGAAACAATCCAATATATTTGATATAGGAATACACTTTGTGTTTTATTTACTTATATCTATTTAATGTTTGTAAAAAATAATGTTAAATAAACTTGTCATACTATTGAACATTATGAATCTGATGAGGTCATTTACATAAGAAGAAAATTCAGTACTTTTGTTTCACGTGTGAGGAATAATCTGTTTTGAAATTTCATGCCAAATTATCGGCACTGCCAGAATTTATTGTTTCTGTCATGGGGTTTATACACATTTCAAAAGACTGAAATACATCTGTTAGTACTAAAACCGTTTATTTTTGTCAATGTGTGCCTTTCTTCGAGCCGCTGATGTATGGGTGCATTGTGAATAAATATATAAAAGGATTATTTTGTAAATACTGTAACAAATCAGGGTTTTAGTATTGGACGAAGGTTAAGCATTTTCTGTTGTACGAGCATGCGCTATAGCAATATGGTGCATCGTTGATTTAGCAATTACCAAACTGAAGGAAAATGAGCATAAATTACATATTTTGATCATGTTGGTGCAATTATCATGTTTCTTTTGGGGATATTACTTGTATAGTAGTGATCTAATCAGGAATAAGGGGTTATACTGAAGATTATATGTGAAGATTTTATGGTATTAGCAGAAATATTGTGTTGAAGTGTTGTTTTACTAACGAGGACATAATTGTTCTTTTATGCGTTTATGTATAGGGAAATTTTTAGTACGGGCAGGGTTGTGTATCTAGGGCTTTCCACTGCACTGTATCCGATACAGGCCAGCCTCACCGAGGCTGGCCTGAAAGATGGCCTCATAATTGGCCTGGCCCTACCTCTAATTGAGTCTTACATCTAGTCTACACTTGTACTTGTGCTGAGTTAACCCTGAATGTTGATTGGATCGCATTAAAGACTTTCAACATACAACTCATGACTGGTTTGATTTCTTGGAGCAGTGATCGTAGTTAAACGAATGGATGAGAATCAGTGACAGGTATTGACGAAGCATGATTGACTGCTCGAGGGATGTTCAATTGATTGATGATGTGCTCAAGGCGTTTTTAGGTGACCGATTGCAGTCGATGGACGAATGATTGTTGAGATACACGTATGAGCAGTGAATAACTCCAGCCATTAAGCTACGGGCATATATTTTGTCCAAACGGACGGAGAGCGCCTGGCCAGATACGGGGCATCCTGACAAATATTCCGTGTCAAGCCAAGGTGGCGAAATCGAGTCCGTCACACATGGTGTCAGAAGTGGGATAGCTGATGGTGTGGAGTGGTCGAGTTGACGGAGCTGGAGGACGACGGCAGTAGCACTGACGGAGCTGGGGGACCATGGGCAGTAAGTCTGACAGGCGTCACAAGCTGGTAGAGCTGACGGAGCTGGGGGACGACAGGCAGTAAGACTGACGGCGTCACAGCTGGTTGAGCTGGGGGACGACGGGCAGTAGGTCTGACGGCGTCACAGCTGGTTGAGCTGGTGGACGACGGGCAGTAGGTCTGACGGTGTCACAAGCTGGTAGAGCTGACGGAGCTGGGGGACGACGGGCAGAAGGCCTGACGGCGTCACAAGCTGGTAGAGCTGACGGAGCTGGGGGACGACGAAGGGCAGTAGGTCGTACGGCGTCACAGCTGGTCGAGCTGATAAAGCTTGGGGGCGACGTGCAGTGAGACTGCCGCGTCACAGCTGGTCGAGCTGAAGGAGCTTGGGGACAACGGGCAGTAAGACTGACTGCGTCACAGCTGGTCGAGCTGACGGAGCTTGGGGACGACGGGAGGTAGCATTGACGGTGTTGCAGCTGATCGAGCTGACGGAAGTGTAGAACGACAATGGAGAGAAAGAACAATGAGCCCAGGGATGCTGAGAAGGAAAGGAAACGAACTAACTTTTGAACAGTTGAACACTTTTGGAAAGAGCCATTTTGAACTGTCAGAAAAGACTTGGATTTTAGTTTTGATTTGTTTTGTTGTTGTTGCATAAGTTATAGATAAGTTAGCTTGGGGACCAAGCTTGGGAGGGAAGGGAATCGTGTAACAAATCAGGGTTTTAGTATTGGACGAAGGTTAAGCATTTTCTGTTGTACGAGCATGCGCTATAGCAATATGGTGCATCGTTGATTTAGCAATTACCAAACTGAAGGAAAATGAGCATAAATTACATATTTTGATCATGTTGGTGCAATTATCATGTTTCTTTTGGGGATATTACTTGTATAGTAGTGATCTAATCAGGAATAAGGGGTTATACTGAAGATTATATGTGAAGATTTTATGGTATTAGCAGAAATATTGTGTTGAAGTGTTGTTTTACTAACGAGGACATAATTGTTCTTTTATGCGTTTATGTATAGGGAAATTTTTAGTACGGGCAGGGTTGTGTATCTAGGGCTTTCCACTGCACTGTATCCGATACAGGCCAGCCTCACCGAGGCTGGCCTGAAAGATGGCCTCATAATTGGCCTGGCCCTACCTCTAATTGAGTCTTACATCTAGTCTACACTTGTACTTGTGCTGAGTTAACCCTGAATGTTGATTGGATCGCATTAAAGACTTTCAACATACAACTCATGACTGGTTTGATTTCTTGGAGCAGTGATCGTAGTTAAACGAATGGATGAGAATCAGTGACAGGTATTGACGAAGCATGATTGACTGCTCGAGGGATGTTCAATTGATTGATGATGTGCTCAAGGCGTTTTTAGGTGACCGATTGCAGTCGATGGACGAATGATTGTTGAGATACACGTATGAGCAGTGAATAACTCCAGCCATTAAGCTACGGGCATATATTTTGTCCAAACGGACGGAGAGCGCCTGGCCAGATACGGGGCATCCTGACAAATATTCCGTGTCAAGCCAAGGTGGCGAAATCGTGTCCGTTACAATACATTGTTTTGGACTTAAATGTTTGCCTTACCATGTTGTTTAGTCCTTCATTCAAAGGACTCTTGAATTGGGGGAGGTGTATTGTTTTATTTGAAGAGAAAGAGAGATAGGTAGAAGAGGGAGGGAGAGAGAGAGAGATAGAGAGATAGAGAGAGAGAGAGGGAGAGAGAGATAGAGAGAGAGAGAGAGAATGACAGAGATCATTGTTATAATTAATAACACATAATTTTTACATGATACACTGTGTATCTAATACTATGTATGTGTGAGGAAAGCCACAAGTATTTGTGTTTGCAATATACTGATTGAGTTAAGTATTGATATACTGTACTGTATAATAGAGAGAGAGAGAGAGAGAGAGAGAGAGAGAGAAAGAGAGAGAGAGGGGGGGGGGGGGGGGGGATGAGGTGGGGAGGGAAAAGGATGTAGATAAAATTGATTCTCAGAGAAACGACAAAGAGGAAAATGATATAGAGAGAGAGAGAAGGAAATGAAATGGATGGAGTGAGGGGTGTCTGGGTGAATGAGAGAGAGAGAAATAAATGTTATATGTTTAGTGTACGAGCAGAGTCACACACCAGTTGTCTGAATTTAGAGCGATCGCTATACCGGTATTCACAATTGTTCAGAAATTTGTGTCGGTAGACCAAATTAATTTATGATTAACTTAATTTCTTAATCATAGTTTTCTACCTTGAGCTTCAAGCCTCGACCACCCCGGAAAACAAACGAAAATGTTATTTTTTGCTAACTGTCGGAAAAGACATGGATGAGGAAACCTTTTTCAGAAAAGTGGGCGTGGACGTATTGCGATAGTCTTAGTTCAAGCACAATATATACATGTCATTTCAAATTAGTTGAGTGTCATCATTTATTTCAGAAACTTAATTTTTACATTATGAAACTTGAAAAGGTTCAAATTATTTTACCAGTTGATGGTAACTGATTAAGAACTTTTACCTCTTTGTATAAATAATAACAAATTGCCTGGTAAAGCAAATAATTAGAAGGTCGCTAACAAGTTTAGTCTGATAATTAAGGCTCAATTTTGTATATAAAATAAAGGTTGACAATTTTTTATCTGTAATATTATCAATCAATATTTGAACAGATCTATACTCCTTTGTTTGTGTATCATCGTTATTTCGATTACTTTTTTTTGCGTCAAGTGCTGTGAAAATTACACAATCTTACCATCACCTTGAAGCAGCACGTACACTGGAAGAAGAAGGGTCTGCGTTCAAGCCTAGTATTTATGTCCGCAGCATGCATTGTTACTAGTACCTAGCTCTGTATGTATTCAGTGAACGTGATCGAGCGTAAAACGCGTAATGACTTGCTAGAAATACTGCAAAACATAATTGTTTTCGCTTCCAACTATACTTATCAAGGACACGTACGTACAGACGTAGACAGGCATAATTAGCCGAGTCATTTTGATGCTACGACTTCGTCAACTGCAAGGGAGCTTTCGTCGTTTATGCACGATGGCGTCCGGAGAAGTGAAGACCTACGATTATCTGGTGCTGGGCGGCGGCTCTGGGGGTATCGCCAGCGCGAGGAGAGCCACCGAATTCGGCGTGACTGCTGCAGTTATCGAAGGCTCACGACTAGGAGGAACATGTGTGAGTATATAAATAATTATATATATTGTACCTAAACAGAAATTACTGTCTGATACGGGGAATTCGTTACAGAATTGACATTTTCTCAACCTTTCCCAGCGAAAAGTTTGACCTTGTCCTTAATATTATTATTATTATTAGGCTTAGCGTCGGGTTGTCAACCCTCTCGCATTTGGAGGGAGTCCAATTTTTGTTCAACCCCCCCCCCCCCCCCAGTTGAGCCAAAAAGAATTGCATACGATCTCCCTCAAAGCAGTTCCCCAAAGTTGACAGCCCTGGGTTAAAATTAAGTTATAAAGTTAAACTCAGAGTTTCTTTGCCTAGATCTAGACTTTACAGTCTGATTTAGCCTTGAGGACTAGGTAATATGAAATATGATATTGATTAAATTATATCTGTATCTATAGGGACGATTACCCCCCTCGAGGACAATTACCCCCTAGGACAATTATCTCCCCCCCCCCCCCAGAAAATTAATTATTTTCAGGGATTGGAAAGAAAATAGATCTAATCACTATGAATATGATGGATAAAGAAAGCGGACAAAATATACAGTTCCTCAGGTAGACAAAGGAACATATATCCCTTCACTGCTATTGTGTAAAAATGTGTAGAACATGTGTCACATGCATATTCACCTGTTCTATACATTTTTACATAATAGCAGTGAAGGCCTGTTCCTTTGTCTACCTGAGGAACTGTATATTTTGTCTGCTTTCTTTGTCCGTCATATTCATAGTGAATATTCATATACTGTTTTTAAAATATCATCAAAAATCATATTATAACGACTTACTTTCAGCCAAAATGTCTGTGTTTCTTGAATCTACTGCGTGCAATGAGATTACTGATTACTAATTTATACTTCATATATTTTGACAGGTGAATGTTGGCTGTGTTCCCAAGAAGATCATGTTCAATACAGCTCTTCACATGGAAATGATTCATGATCATAAGGATTATGGCTTCAATGTAGATTACAAGGGATTTAACTGGAGGTAAGACACAACTATAAAAGAGGACCATTCACATATAAACAACAAAACTTGTACCTAGCTATGAATTTTATGAAATGAGCTTCAACATTTTTTATGGTATTCTATTTACTGTAAGTTGGGCTCAACACTAACAGGTGGCAGCATACATAGCCCCCCAAATCCGAGTCTGGACCCCCAACATTTAGATTTTAAAGTTTGTACGTAGCCTCATAGGGGTCATAAAAAAGACTGTAAAAGGTTCAGTCTAGACCTCCTTAACAAAAAAGATAAAAATCGCAGTGCACAGAGCCTAAGTCACATTCTATGATTGCTCTTTTTGCAAGAAACCTGCATAGAAAATGATGCGCCTCTAAAACCATGTCCTACTAAGATCATAAGGAAAAAATTATGATTTTGAATCAAATAAACCTGTACAGAATGACCACCTGTCTATATAGACCGTATTTCTCGTCTCTCTTGAGCTGTCTTTATGCCCAGGTTTCACTGTATCTTGTTTTTATTTCCAGTGTGATAAAGGAGAAGCGTGATGCCTATGTCAAACGTCTGAATGGCATCTATGAGACTAACCTAGGCAAAGCCAAGGTTGATTTCATCCCTGGTTACGGCAAGTTCACAGCCGATGGATGCATTGAGGTCAACGGTCAGAAGTTCAAAGGTCGTCACACCATGATCGCTGTGGGTGGGGAGCCAACGATTCCTGATGTCCCAGGTAATTGGAATCCAAAGCTCTTTGGAAGCGTATAGGGACGTTATAATGTGATATAGGCTATACAAGAATCGAATATTATTATTATTATTAAGAAAGGGCTGTCTGCTGTTGAGTAATAATGTTGTGATAATTGTTCAAATATCCCATAGGCTTCACAGATTAATGTAAGGACAAAATCCACTGTTTAGAGGAAGAAAAGCATTAACTCGAAAACTTTTATACCTATCAGACTCTCAACAGACAAATTTACATTAAACAAATTTGTCTGGAATATGTTGCTCCTATGGGGTTAGGGCTTAGATTGCTGTTAGGTTTTCCATTAGACGATAAGGTTGGCATAGCGTGAGACCAGAATTTAGCTAGGAATTCAGCTAGTTTTAGAAATTGCATTTTTTTGCTGGAAATAGAATGTCGTACATTCATGTTTTTTCTTCTGAAACTGTTAGACTAGAGAATATTTTTGTTTGTGTTTTTTTTCTTCTAGGTGCCGAGTATGGAATCAGTAGTGATGGCTTCTTTGATCTGACAGACCTTCCAAAGTAAGACATTTATTTTATAATGGATGATTGAGTAGTTCTTTATTTCAAATTAAGCTATGCTATTGGTTTAATAGGGTTATGATTCTTTATTTCAAATTAAGCTATGCTATTGGTTTAATAGGGTTATGAAAAACAGCTGAAGGTTGAGTTCTGATAGAGACTGTGTTCATAAATAAGATTGCTGTCCATTTGTGTCGGTCAGCCTCCATACATTGACTTTAACAATGAACAATGAAACAAATAGAAGATGATAGTCTTAATTAAAATTACAATGTAACATAATCCTCTAGATGGAATAACCACAAACTAAATTCCTAGTACATAACACCATATTCATATTAGTTTATTATAAGCTAGGATCAAATGTATGTAGTACAAATACGGTGTTACGGTGTGTGTGTTTGACTGCAATCCAATTTTGTTTTTAATTTTTCCCTCTACATTTAGATGTAGTATCTATTATGGTGGTGTTTTTCTTCTGCTGTACACATTGAAATTTTCTTATGATTTATTTTGAATGAAATAAACAAAATTGATCATTCCATTTAAACTCACCTGAAGAATGCTTTATTCCCCCTTATTAAAGCTGAATTAAATCAACAAGATTTGTAATAACTAAAATATATTGATAGAATATAATACATTTTTATATTCATCCTCAAAAAAACAACCTCTTTTTGTTCAATATGTGTGTCATTTTAGGAAGACTGCGGTGGTTGGAGCTGGATACATTGCTGTTGAACTGGCAGGAATCCTGAAAGAACTTGGAAGTGATGTCTCCCTCTTTATCAGGAGAGACCAGGTTGGTTTGATAATTTCTGTCAATATTGTTGTAAAAAACTCAAATGATATTGGAGAACAATATGTTAACACTCCATCACACTGCCAAAATGATTCCAAATTGAATATCCATTGACAGAACAATGCAGTCAATAGTAAATACTTCATCACACTGCCAAATGATCCGAATTTGATTTGATTTGATTTATTGGTTTCTGCATCTTTTTTCTTTTTTTTCATCATACATTTTCATGAACATGATATGGTTTGATACAATATTTTAAGTGTATATAATTTTATACAGATAATAAACGAAATTAAACAAATATATTGAATGCATAATTAACATACATTAGATGCAGGAGGGCTACAGAAATAAGCAAAGTAGCTTGACGTGCCTGCAGCCTAGTCTGCAAGCACAGACCCTAATTTGACACTTTATCAAAAAATCATTATGTCTTGAGAGAAGCCTAGCCCAGCTACCTACTGGTGTGTCAGGAGCAACTACATTACATGGCCTATGGTAGTCTTATAGTGCAGACTCACTTTTACGATTGACCAGGGTTTGTGCTTGCAGACTACCTGCAGCCCTCAACTTAGATACAACAATAACAAATATAAATAAAAAAAGAGTGTGACTTGCAAAGAAGAAAAGGAAAGGGGAGAGAAGGATCATTGTTAATAATACAATAAATCTCATACATCTGTTGATTGAATGCAGGTTCATTCATGAATGGATAAACGATGCTAGGTCATAGACGATTACACATCATTGTTGAATATACAGTCAATGTACACACGAACATGAATACAGTAAAATTACACATGACAGGATCAATACTTAGACAATAACATAGTTTTAACTGCCTTCTTAAAAGAATACAATGTCCCAAGGTTTCTCATTACAATGGGCAGAGAGTTCCAGATGTCTGGGCCGGCGTGTCTAATGGATTTGAGAGCCAATGCGGTTTTTTGATTTCTTAAATGGAATTTTTCAGTTTGCCTTGTAGGGTAAGAGTGGATGATTTTATTCAAATTAAACAATGGGGGAAAGTATGGAGGTAGTAGACCATTTTGTAAGCGAAACATGAAAAGTGCTATTTGTAGAAAATTTATATCATCATCAGCTTTTAGAGTTTTTAGTTTTGAAAACAAGGGATTGGTGTGGTCGCGATTGGAAGAATCAGTTCATATACGCATGGCTTTCTTTTGTAACAGTAAAATGGCGTCAACGTTGCTTTACAAATTTGCCCATATAATGTTACAATATGAAATATGAGGCAGTATTAATGAATTATATAACATAAACAAGATATTTGAAGGGACATAATGTTTCAATTTACAGAGAATACCAATATTACGTGAAATAGTATTAGAAATATATTGCACATGATTATTCCATCTCAGATTTTCATTGATCAAAACACCAAGGAATTGATCATCAATTGACAGAATCTTAGTGATTTGTGGTAATGTAATATTTTACTCGGTCTATTGTTGGTTTGATGTGGCTAGAGTATGAGATCGAACAGGAAATACAGTATAAGCCTGTTTCACTTCTGATCCGGCATTCTCTCTGTTGTCATTTCCTCCAGGGGTTTTATTTCATTACAGACATAGGGTCAAGACTGTGGTTGTGATTGAGTTTTAGATTTCGGGTTCGGTTCTGGTCTAGGGTTAGTGTGCATATGGTATTGGGCTCAGGATTTAAGCGTGGTTATTTGAGCTACATGTAATACATCCTGGACCCTGTTTCATGAAAATTGAAATCAATAACAAGATTCAATAGTTGTTATAAGCTACTGAAATCCTTGCTTTTGATTGGCTATGAGCAGATTTGTGACAGTTGTTATTGATAAAAAGTTTTATGAAACAGGACCCTGATGTGTTCTTTCACTGATTGATTTTCTCTTCTCTTTTTCTCCCAGGCTCTTAGGAATTTCGACTCCATGATTACTACCAATGTGACAGAGAGCATTGAAAACCTTGGAATTAAGCTTGTCAGACAAAGTTCAGTAAGTATTAAAACCACAGGGTGTTTGTTTAAATTTTGACTCTGATTACCAAGAATCTTGACTGTTTGAAGGTACTGGATATGGATAATTATTTCATTGCTCAAACTTGTGATGTGTAGTATATGTTTTGTAAAAGGGTAACAAGGATCTTGATTAGTATCACCCTCATCCCAAATTCCATAGATCGAGATTCGGCTGACAAAGTTACATTATGATGATTAGAGAATGCTAATCCGTGGTTACTAGAACGTGGTAGTGAACGTTACGTAAAGGAAAAATAAATGCCTTTTCAATACCAACTTTTAGCCCATCATTTGATTAGCATCTTTTTATAACATTAAATTTAAATACCAGTGGAAAAAAATTTAAATGGTCAATGAATACTTAATTTTAACTTTAATTTTTAAATTTTCGATATCATTGCCTGTTTCTAACCCCAGTCCAAATTTCAGTTTTTATATCATTTCAAATTTAATTTAATTTTTAATTTTTTCAATTTAAATTTGTAATTTGTAATTTTTAATTTAAATTTAAGTTTAAAATGTCTTGCAGCCTGTATACAAAGTCAATGAAACAGAAGAAATCCTGGCCTTATAACACAACATCAGGAAGATTTATTATCAGTTTGAATTACCATTTCAATTACCATTTCAATTACCATTTCTCAATTTCAATTACCATTTCAATTTAAATCCAATTACTTGCAGTCTGTGTCTGTTGTGAAGGAAGCAGATGGAACTCTTACCTATAACACAACTGCAGGAACATTCAAAGGATTTGACTGTCTGCTCTGGGCTGTCGGGAGACATCCACTAACAAAGAGTCTTGGACTTGAACATGTGGTAAGTCTCAAAAAGAACCTCAGGGGGGTGTTTCACAAAGACTAAGAGCGACTTTAAGTAGGACATTCATGCCACTGGTTGCTCTTACCATTATGATCTCTAGATAATGTTTTATCCTTCAATAATGAACTATCAAAAAAGTAAATTCTGTAGATTTGTGACCACGATTTGTAAGTCCCTTGAGAGGCCAATGCCAGTAAAAGTTAACAGAAATAGTAGCATGAAGGGCCTGCCATGGTGAATCCAACTTAAGTCTGTCTTAGTCTTTGTGAAACACCCCCCCCCCCCCCCCCCCAGATATTTTCCTTGGAGAAAGTTGATGGAGGTGCAATCAGTCAGTGGTATTGGACTTGAACTTGTGGGAGACTCAGAGCAGACCTCTCATGTTTGACTTTTAGTGATTTAAATGTTGGATGGGGTTGGAGTTGTAAGTGAGGATGCAATTGCAATTAGAGAATAAAATAAAAGGAAATTTATTCCTGGAATTTTTGTGCCAGTAGTTTGGCTAGTGTTTCTTGGAAATGTCATCTTTATAAATTAAATATTTGGAAAGCTTAGATCCTCCTCTTTCATTTGATGTAACTCATATGATGCATATTTCACGCATGAGTGACTAAAAGCAATTTGAAGAGAGGAAACCAAAAAGTCATTTGGCGGGCAGTATCTGAATTTTAAAGGGAAAATTACATTTCTAGAAAGTTCAATTTCTCCCCTTTCATATGACACCTCAATCAGGAAAAATGAGCCAGGAATAACAAAGTTCTGTTTGTTTAAAGTAATGCTTGCATTTCCATAATTTGACCAAACGGGTTTGTTTTTACTGGCTTCTTGCCGTTGCAACGAACAGAGTTGACAAAAGACTCAACTCCGTTTCGTTGACGATCAGCCATGCACAAAGATTAAGAAGAAAGACCTGATGCATGGCTGATCTTCAACGAAACGGAGTTAAGTCTTTTGTCAACTCTGTTTGATGCTACGGCAGGCAGCCAGTGAAAAAGAACTTGTTTGATCAAATTATGGAAATGCAAGCATTTTTTAAAACAAACAGAACTTTGTTATTCCTGGCTCATTTTTCCCGATTGAGGTGTCATATGAAAGGGCAGAAATTGAACTTTCTAGAAATTTGATTTTCTCCTTGAAATTCAGATACTGCCCGCCAAATGACTTTTTGGTTTCCTCTCTCCAAATTGCTTTTAATCACTCATGCATGAAATATGCATCATATGAGTTGCATCAAATAAAAATGGAGGATCTAAGCTTTCCAAATATGTGTCATTTATTAATTATAATTGTGATTAAGTTATAATAAAACATTGATAGTTCTCGGTTTCGTTTTCTCTGGGACACACTGTATAATTCCTTACTTCAAGCCTGGACCAAACAACTCCACATAAACATAGAATCTTAGAAAAACGTTTCATTGTCTTATCTTGCTATGATTCTTTTGCATCTCTTTCTAATCTGTATCATTTGTTTCCCTCTCAGGGTGTGAAAACCGATGCCAAAGGAAACATCGTTGTAGATGAATACCAGAACACCGCTACACCAAACATCTATGCTCTAGGAGACGTGTGTGGAAGAGCCCTTCTTACACCAGGTATAGTCAAGCCTTTTATTAAGTCAAAGCAGACCGGGAGCCAAATATCTGAAAAAGGGGCTCCCGGTCCTTAATTTTTGTAGAGAACCGGGAGCCGTTTTCCAGGACCAGGAGCCGTTTCCAAAATTGATGAAAATATGTATTCTTTTAAATTATTTGTTAAACGTTACCTTTTATTTATACATACGGTAGTTTACATTTTGAGCACTCTAATATTAAATCACTCATACTTTGGATAAATCTGTCATATGTAGTTGTTGTAGTTCATGTTTAACACTATTTTCATGCCGTTAAATGTCAAAAATTGAAAAATGTTAGGAAGGGGGGAATTAAATTATTTTTATAAAAAAAATACTTAAGAAAAAACATCTATAATGACAATGCAGAGCTGCCAACTGTCACTTTCAAAAAACATATTATTCAGCTTGAAAAAGCATATTTTAGGTGAAAAAACAGATTTTGCCTGTTTAACGTGTTCGTTATTTAGACCTGTCACTTAAAAAAAAAATTAAAAAAAAAAAAAAATAAGAATAAAAAAAAAAAATTAAAAAAAAAAAAAATTAAAAAAATTGTTAACTATATTTACCTATTTTATCAGAAAAATCCATTATTTAAAACATCACAGAATTTTAGTCAATGAGTACGAGGGCCGCTGAATCAAGGAAAGTCTGGAGTTGCAATCAACTTTGTACATAAAGTCAATGCATCGATCAGCAGGTCCGGTGTTCTGTTTTTCATTTGGCTTTTTGAAGCTACCATTACATCCGAAAGGCATGCGATAGGCAAAAAAACTGGCAACAAAATCGCTGATTTCTTGATTTTTAGCGCTATTTTGATGAACTGTTTCTTAAAACTGGGCTAAACCCCCGTGAGCTTTGGAAATATGGCTCCGATTCCGCATTTTTGACAGCAAAATTTGGCTTTTGGGATGGATTTTTGGAAGTTACATCGAGACTTTCTTGTACTGACACTGTGTGTGTAGTGCAGTACAGCACTGATGTCATTTGTGTGTGTATGCATGGCCGTCCTGGGGAAATGCGCTCGTCTTTGAGTGGTGTACATCCCCTGTATTGTGTGCTCCGTACTCCGCTAGGAGTAGGAGATAGCGGCCGCTCGTATTAGTGCTGCAATTGTTTATGGGCGATTTTAATTAGGATTCTCATTATATAATGATTTGTTAGGGTTCATTCAGTCCACGTTTAACTCGTATCAAGTAAGTTTTTGTCACATTTGTGAACATTTAGTGCTAGACATGTGGAAGTTTATGAAACAGAAAATGTTAATTCTCCCAGACCGGGCGCCAGAAATAAAAATGGACTGGCGCCCGGTACTCATTTTCCCCGTCTTACCGGGCGCCAAAAGTCAGGGACCGTTGGGTAAAAATCGCCCGGCGCCCGGTTAATAAAAGGCTTGGGTATAGTTCATATTTTCACCGTTATTTATGGCGACCAAAATATTAGTTTTAATATACAGTCAAACCTGCTTTAGTGACCACCTGTCTACAAAGACCACATTTTTTGTTTACCTTGAAAATGATTTCTCATTTAAACATGTACTATAGGCACCTGTCTACAAAGACCACCTGCCTACAATTAGTCCACTTTTTGTGTTTCCCTTGGGCGGTTGATATAGCCAGGTTTGACTTTACAAATAAAAACACAAAGCGATACATAGCAATCAGACAGTGGTAACAATAATTTTACACAATCATCTTATACAGAGTGAACAAAGTGAGTGCTACATAAATAAGTGAATAACTGTGTGGTGCTCCAACCAAATAATTACACTGTATCTTATAGATTTTATGTGCATATACAGCATATACATGGGACTTAAAATGTTGGCATTGTTACTTTATATTTCATTTAGTCATTCATTCATTCATTGAGTAAGACTCTCGTCCCCGCGATAATGGGACCAATACTTTGCCAATTTTGTTTGTTATCAAAACATGCCTTGTTTTTCTTATGTCCCTTTTGCAGCCAACATCAAATTCTGTAGAACTTTGTAGGAATTATGGATATGTCATGTATGTTTAAACTGATTGAATCTTTGCACAGCATAAAACGTACGACCATTCGGTACAATGGTCTGAAAATCAGACTATTACTTACTGGCCTTATAGCTCTTGAGTCGATTCGACAACTAATAGTCGTTATTTTCCCACTTGAAGACATTTTCAAGCCCCCTTTTTTAAAGGAAAGTTCTAAATTAGTATCATCTTTTAAATGCCTTTGGAATTTAACCTGTTCATTTTTTGGGCCTGCAAATGGGACATAGTACCTTTAACATGTTTATTGCAGTATGTTATTATTAGAATATCCCATATTTTAAATTGAGCTGTACTTGTTTTTACAGTTATAGCTAGGTAAACAAGAATGGTTGTTTTCTTACATGTTCCAGTAAAGCACTTTTCAAGGTGAACAAACAGACATTCTTTTATGAGAGAGACACAGGTAGTCTCGCTCAAGCATATATGTATCATTTTTTTTGTGTGTGTTTTTTTGTACAGTTGCTATTGCTGCTGGAAGGAGGCTGTCGCATCGTCTCTTCAATAATGAGAGCACCTTGAAGTTAGACTACGACAACATTGCGACCGTTGTCTTCTCTCATCCCCCCATTGGCACCATCGGATTGACAGAAGGTGAGATTATTACATTCAGGACAGAAATTTATAAAGGATTGCATTCTTTGCTTTTTCTTCTATGTCAGATTGCTAATGATGCTGGCTACTTTTCTTTTATTGATCCATTTTTTAAAAATAAAAATTCATGTAAATATTTCTGAAGAGAATGTAAAAGTATATACATGGAGCCAGGTTCAAATAGAACTTCTGTAAGAAAAAGGAGAAATTTTCAACATGATGATATGAAGGATTCAAATTATTATTTTCCTTTTAAAATTCTTGATGTTAAATGCCACATGATCATATCACATTCAAATGTGTTTTTTTACGGTGATATTATAAATGTTCACTCAACTAACTCACAATTTTCTTAAATGTCTCAGTGGAACAAAAATACACTGAAGCAGTGAGCGACTTGGCTCTGAACAGCTCCAAAAAGAGAGTTTTGAAAAACTTTGAAAAAATGAAAGAGCTTGGGTTGAAAATGAAAACAGAAGAGGAAAATAGATGTATTGGAGGAAGTCTAACTTTTATTGCAATATAAAAACATAAAAACATAAAAAGCATTATATCTCTTATTTATCCCTTCTTCCCCATTCAGCGGAGGCTATTGCGAAGTACGGGGGCGACAATGTGAAGACCTACCAGTCTTCTTTCAACAACATGTACTTTGCAATGACAGAGAGGAAGGAGAAGACCAAGATGAAGCTTGTGTGCGCTGGTCCAGAAGAAAAGGTGAGAAAGAGTGAAAAATATATTGTTTAGTATGATAGCTCATTTTCAAGTGAAATCTCTTTGTCTGTGACAGTAGAGAATTCAATTAAAAATGAGCAGGAATTTTTTTCCTTCATATTATTGTAGTTGAACCAGGGGGGTGTTTCATAAAGCTGTGCATAAAGTCACGCATGACTTTACAAATGACTTAAATATGAAGAGCTAAATGGGATTCTCAAATCCTTTTAATTGCATATGCTCAAGTTGAAATATGCAGATGTAGATTAACCTTATCATTATTAACAAAACATTTTAATGCAAAGTGTATTTTTGGCTACAATTTAATCAAGATTATGGGAAATACAGTCACAGTTTGTTAAAATATCAGGAAAAACTTTGGGCATCCCATTTGGCTCTTCATATTCAAATCATTGGTAAAGCACAGCTTTATGAAATACCGCCCAGTAATGGTATTCATTTTTGTTTAAGAAATACTTGATGCACTGTATGATGATATATACATCACTGTAGTATTATTCCTTTTATCCTAAGGAGTCATTATGCCAAAATTTCACATGAAATACAAATAAGAACATTATCAAATTAAACAGATTGAAGGCTCTCTAATTTTGACATTGCAAAACTGAACATAACCTATGTCTGTGATCTCATTTACTTTGCATGCAATTTCATATATCTTCACATGAAAGATGACTGCTGAGACCAAATCTTTGCCATACATATATATTACAGGGTGTTAAATTAAATTACTATAAAATATCTTGAATTATGAACTAATAGCAGTATGATTAAATTCCTAATGCATGAAACAGAGAGAGAGAGAGAGAGAGAGAGAGAGAGAGAGAGGAGAGCATTGGTGTTCGAATCTACGACCCCCGAACATCAGTAGTGAGGATGGGAGTAGAACGTACTGAATGAACGAATGTATGATCATCAATAGAGATCTGTCAGTACAGGTTCCGTAACTCAATCAGAATTCTACATCAAGTGTCTCTCCAAGTACCTCGGTCTTGAGCCATCTGTTTCAGCATTTCATATCCTGTTGCTCCACATTCTGCGATTTCTGTGAACGCATGATATTTGTGATTGACATTTCAATTTGTTGTTCAGTTATGACCCTTTTCAATCCTTTGCTCTACTTTCATTAGGTTGTTGGGCTTCACATGCAAGGTTTGGGATGCGATGAGATGCTTCAAGGTTTCTCCGTCGCTATCAAGATGGGTGCAACTAAAGCTCAGTTTGACGACACCGTCGCCATCCACCCGACCTCCTCGGAAGAACTTGTGACGATGCGTTAGAAGCTAGCTCTACATAGATTCAACCAGTAGCGTATCCAGGATTCTCGGGGGAGGGGGGGGGGGGGCACAATTCTGAAAAAAAACATCTGACAAGCAAATAAATTAATGGTGATCAAACCTCATCTTCCTACTTTTTTCCCATTTTCTTTCTTTTTCTCATTTTTGTTGTTTTGCCAAATCTTTTTTCAATTTCTCTTTGCTAAGTGAATATGCCCCCCCCCCCCCCCCCCCCCCAGTGACCCCTCCCTGACTTGAATCCACCTCTTTCATCTTTATAGAATTTGAAGATAATTAGGATGATTAAATCCATGTCTGGTTCATTAAAAAAGGAAAAATCGTGCTTTCTTAATTGTTGATTAATGAATTTAATTATTTGTAATGTTGTAATCAATGACAATCTTGTTAGAATGGTAGTAATGTGTTGTATGTTTTCTATATTTTTATATTTTCATGCTATTTGGGGTAGTTGAAGATATTTAGTGTAATGATGTAGAGAGTTAACATAATAGATGCAGACAACTCCATTTGGGACGGAACACCTCTTACAGGGGCACAAGCTTCCAAAACAAATTAAAATTTGATTTACCTTTTTTTTGAAAATTTCCAGGCATGAAATAAATGATCCATATGAAGATTTTAATGAGATATAATAATTTGATATGATAAACAGTCACAAAACATGTACAACAAAAGGAAGATTAGAAAGACACTATAGGCAACTCATCAATTAAATCATTGATTTAGAGCCAAAAGGGCGTTAACTATGTTTAAGTAAAGTATACAACTTAACGCCCTACTGGCTCCGAGAAAAAAATATGATTGTACCATAAATTCCATGGGTGTATGCATGCACTGTAAAGAATACCTCCTGCTCGTATCGATGCAGCTCATTAAATTATGCATAACTTTATCTGTGAGGGCATTCGGTTTGAGAGAGCTAACATAATCTTATTTATACCTTGCTCTCAATTATGTAGCATTTGCAGTTCACCTCTTCCAAGAAAATAGATACCATGCATCATTAATGGGGAAGAGAATGACAAATATATATGTTATCGTAATGTGCAGTTCAGAATGCATAGTTTAGTATATTTGTATAGAAATTCATCAATATTAATTTCAATTACTGTAAATCCAGAAACTGTTGCAAAATGAGATGTTAGGGACGGCCATTTTCACAGCAAGAAACTGCCTCAGATCACAAATGTTTGTTGTATTAATTAGGGTATGATTCAAATTTGTTTGGCATGAATATGTGAAACTGGAGCACTCTCGAACATTTCAATGATGCAATAGTTCCTGGTTTTGCATTATTATCGCTATTATTGTTATTAAAATTATGAAAGCAAAATGTATGTTCTAATGAATTGTATGATAAGTGCATTGCCTTAACCATTCATAACATAGACAGATTTTACAGGGTAGAAATTTAGATAAACAAAATGTCTATCTATTTTTTGCTATTCAATTCGAATTCAGAAGGCTCTCAATAGCTCTCAATGTGGTTCTAGTATGCAGTATGGTGAAAGGAGAAACGTAAGAAATTCCCTATATGGTTGTCTTAAAGTCACCTCAATATTTGGATAATTTAACAGTAAATGAGGTTATAATATGTCATTCTAGACTCCAGTGATAATAATGATAATAATACATTTGTCATTTATGAAGTGCCTGTTCAAGAGATAATAATAATGATAACAATATTGATAACTTAGAAGCACTAAAAACAAAACGAAAATTAAAATAGCATTTACAAAATAATAAAAACAGTTTCTCTTAAGCTACGGTAAGTAGTAGGTAGTTATAAAAATATTGTAGTCAAAGTCAAACCAAAGGTGCTGCATTGAAATATTCAACAAAGATGAAAAATGCATGTTATTGTCTAGATATCGATCATCTAGGGGCAAGTGGTTTACATGTGTTTATTAGTACACATCGAGGGTTCAGTGACACTAAGTCGTAACTCCATATTCTGCCAAAATGAGTATTTGATATCAACATTTTCAGAAAAATGTAGGCTTTCCAGGAAACACAGACTTAACTCATTCAACACCTCCATTGAAGTCAATGGCTAGTGAAACATAGACTTAAACTCCTCAAGGCCCAAGTGCTCTGTGACACCTAAACCACTTTTTCTCAAAATGGCCAAAATGGAGTTACGTCTTTGTGTCACTGACCCCTCGGAATCTAGTTTTACACGAATTTTAAACCCTTCTGGCTCTCAGCAGACCATGTACAACAAATAAACTCAACTCCAGGTATTCCATGTCTTGCAAGTGAGCCCTCTATTGACCAATGTAGGGAAGCATACCTTGAAGATACAGAATGCTTTCAGAATATTGATGCTAGAAAATACAACCCTCTATTGACCAATGTAGGGAAGCTTACCTTGAAGATACAGAATGCTTTCAGAATATTGATGCTAGAAAATACAACTGTAACTTACCTATGTTCTTCTAGATTCCTTTTCTTTCAAAATGCTACATTGCTTCTTTGTATATTTGTAGAGCTAATGGTCCCATATGGTTTATTCCACCTTGATATACATTTGTTTGATGACTGTTTACCTCGCTATGTGAATTTAGAAAATGAAATACCTGGGTACTGATATATTAGAATGTATAATTGTATTTACTTTAATTATCATTGTTCCGATAATTTCTATGACATAGATTGTATTTTTCAGAGTACTTTTGAAGTAGCAAATTACATTTTTATCTATAAAGTGGCAAATGTCCTTGTATGTTTTTTGTGTTCCTTGTATTACATGGTCCCCATTTGTAGAGTCATTAGCTTTACCTTGGTTCCACCATTATTACTAACACTAAACTGAATAAAAATGCAAAAATCCTAACCATATACCAACAAAGAATACAAATAGAGAAACCTGAGTAGGCAAACGTTGAGCGGAGAGGGGCAGACTGGGTATTTTGGGTCCCCCCCAAGCAATAATCATATACCATATACAATAGTAATTTCTTCAAAATGCATGAATTTTGATCTTCAGGAAGATTAATATTTGTTGACATTTGAGATTGAGCCCGCAGGAAGAGCAGTATACGTGATAAAGCTACCTAGGGTAAATAAGACAAAATTGTTATAACTTATTATGTAAATCGATCTGTTTCAGCAAGGCAATTTAAAGAGCAATATCAAGTATGTGTGAAATTTAGAAAAACAAATTAGAAGATAAAATATAATTATATGATAGAAAGAGAGAGAGAGGGGGGGGGGGGGAGATGGGGGAGGAGGTCGAAAGAGAGAGAGAGAGAGAGAGTCTGATAGAGAGAGAAAGAGATCGAGAGTCTGAGAGAGAGAGAGAGAGAGAGAGAGGGGGGGGGGGGGGGGGGGGGGGGAGGGGGGAGAGATGGCCGGGAAAGAGAAATAGAGGAAGAGAGAGTATTTCATAAGCTCGGGTAATAATTAGATTTACAGCTGTATTTAAAATGCAAAGATGTATATTCATAAATGATAAAAGATAAATGAGAGAGAGAGAGAGGGATATATATATATATCTACATTTGCTCCTACAGTTGAGCACTGTCAGAAATTGCAGTTTTACTAAACTTGCTTATATATAAGCAAATGTATAGAAGTTCAAAGGTGAAACAGACTGTACAACTCTTATTAATAAAGTTTAACCTTTCCAACTTCTATATCTATATATATGATACAGAGAGACAGATATAATTGAGCTAATTTCAAATTTCATAAGCTCTTACTTCTTGCAAGTTTATTCCTTGACCCAGGGCACATATTGGGCGTGGTCATTAGTTTAACCCTCGATGGCGATGAATCTTCAAGTCGAACGTACGGCAGTTGACACCTATTCAATGAGAATGGTATCCTTTCTTGCACACAAGATTTGAACGATCACGTTGCATTTTACATGCCAATACAATGCGATAAATGGTTTCATTAGAAGTACTCTTTGAAAACAGATCAACTCTGCACTGAATCAGTCGAAACACCGGTAAGAATTTAACGTCTTTAGCTCTCGCTTTCTCTGTTATAATGCTGTATTTTGTTTGAGATTACTTACGATTAGAACAAGAATGTAATTTATAGTTTATCTGTGTTACTTTGATAACGTGAAATAGCTCATGAAAGTATTTTTGTGATCATTTGAGAGTGAACACCTGTTGTTTCTGTTGGTAGATATTTGTCGAGCTTCCAGCTGCGTAATTATAGCGGCTGGTAGATCGTCTGCGCTGCGCACCGCGCGCTAATTAATGTGAATGATTCCCGTTGCGAACCAAAGGCGTCGGTGGTTGCAAAAAATGAAATGATGGAAGTGATAGTGGAATATGCAGCCGCCTTAAAGCCCGAAACGCTGGTGGCATTTAAAAATTGTAACTGAGTTTAGCTGTTTCATGGCTGCTTTTGCTGTACCAGGTGGTTGTGCCATTCCTTTTGTAAAAAATGGGAAAACTAATTTCTGGTTGCATTTTAAAGAGGTTCATGTCAAGTTTATTGGTGCTAATGTACTTTCGTATCCATTTTTGACCGGGAACTCCTACTAAAACATACCAAAATTCAACTAAATCTTCATCAATTGTTCAAATAATGGTTATGATTTAAAAGTTGATATATTTCTTATCTGTTATGTGTCAATTTTCTCATCTCTTTTGGAGTATTTTTGCTAAAAAAAGATGACATTATAATATACACTTTCCCACAGGTTTCACGACAAACCGCTGCACAGTTACAATACAATTGCATACCGTACGCGTACCGACGGAGGGCCCAGGGTACTGTGGGCAGGCATGCGTGCAGTTAGCGACCGTAGTAATTATCTAACCTCACGCACGTGCCTGCCCACACCCCTTCCTTGGGTCGTCGTATTGTAATTGTGCAGCGGTTTGCCGTGAAACCTGTGGGAAAGTGTATATTATAATGTCATCTTTTTTTAGGAAAAATACTCCAAAAGAGATAAGAAAATTGAGATGAAACAGGTAAGAAACATAATGACTTTTAAATCTTAACCATTATTTGAACAATTGATAAAGATTTAGTTGATTTTTGGTATGCTCTATAATTAGTAGGGTATCTCCATGCCTAAGTTGCGGGTCAAAAATGGAAACGAAAGTACGTTAGCGCCAGTTTGTTTAAATCTTACAAAAATTAAGGATTTTTTTTTACCTCGTATTCTTTATTTTATGTCGTACCAAAAATTAAAGGTGAGAGGTGACAAGAAACAATGAATCGATCACTTTTATTTTACTTGGCTGAAGTTAACCATGGAGCCATCTCCCCCAGAAGAAGAATATTAGTGTTGAACTCTTCTTCAAACACAATCACAAAGACCAACCCAATTGCAATTTCAATCCTCTGTTGTAACTCAACATCGAAAAGAAATTATGTCACTTTAGATCATGTGTTCCGACATGGTAATGTTTGCACATTTCAATGTGTGATAGTACTGATGGACAAGGCTATTGAAATTGACATGGTTTTTTGAAACTCTTTACAATCGTATTTTCATTTGATGTATGTCAATCTGACAGAAATCGTATGAATAAATGTGACTGTATATGACAGTTGTGTGGGAAACAAACTTATTAATTTTCTATTTTTTGAATTTCATTTGTGAACAGTAGCAATACTGTTATATTATACACCCTGTACAGCATTGTAAAATGATGTTCAAAGTGCATTTTAATTATGAAGTCATTCAGATGTAAATATGTAGGAAAAAAGGATTATTATTTTCAATATATATAAAGAAGAGCATTTTTGGTTGGTATTGGATTTTGTGTGTGCAAAATTGTACCATATATGTACATGTAATGAATTGCTTATAATTCATGTAGCCTATTTTTAGTTTTTTTTTGTGTTTATAAGTGAATTGTAAGACAATTTATCCTCATGACTTATGAAAACAATACATAATTCATTTGGGTTGTTAAATGAAATGGGAGCTATTTATTTTATAGGTCACTTGATACGTTAAATATAAAAGCTGAGTATTATTATTATCATCTGAAAATACCAAGGTATGTTTTTTCTTTACATTCTACAGTACACATTTCCTGAACAAAATTAGATAAAATCACCAAACTAAAAAAATAATAGGAAGACATGGTTAACTTAAGTCTTATTGATACAGTTCCAGAGAGATTACAGATTACCAGAAATCTCTGTGTATAAGACGCACCTGTGTCTTTGGGCCGGGGAAGAAAAGACAAATCATTTCCAGGCACAGTGCCAGGTGGAGGGGCATATATTGACACTTTAAAAAAAAAAAAAAAAAAAAAAATTAAATGTGTACCTGAGTATTAGGCGCACCCCCTGACTTTAGATTTTTTTCAGCAGAAAAAGGTTGTGTCTTATACACAGAGATTTACTGTAGTTTCATTCTATTAAAATTGCTGAGGATAGATAAGAAGTTGATAGGACGTGACAATCAAACATAATTACCTTTTTTATTAAGTGTCTCCTAAAAATTTTGTTAATATAGTTTCACAAAGTTCAAAAATTAGTTTCATTTCTCAATTACAGAGGATAGAAACTTTGACCAAATTTGCTTTGTTATATCAGTGTGTTTAATAGTCAGTACTTTAAATGTTATTTTTTTGTAGATTACACCAACCTGTATGAAACGATAATCAAGTGAGCAAATGAAATATATCTTTTAAAGGGGAAGTCCACCTTGATAATATAGTTGGTTTTAATAGAAGCAGAAAAATGAGAGAAACAGGTCAGTGAAAGTTTGAGCAAAAAACAATTACAAGTAAAAGAAAAAAAAAAAATTATGAATTGTTGAAGGTGCAATCAATCAAACACAAATCGCAACTCTGACATATATTGTGAGGTCCTCCCATTTGCCTTGTACAAAAAAACTTCAAAAATCTACCAGTATATTTTCCCTTAAGAGTAATTTTAGTCATATGTCATTAAATTTTCTGTACAGAGGAAATCAGAGAAGAGCTCGCAAGATACGTCACAGACTCGCAGTGTTGCCAATTTGTGTTTAGCCGATGACAACTTCAAAAGTTCATAACTTGTCTATTCTAATCGGATATTGCTAAAACTTTCACTAATCTATTTTCTAAATTGTCTGCTTTTATTAAAACCAGCCTAATATCAGGGTAGACCTTGTATTAATCCAAACACACTGACTGAGTGTAATATTGACTGTTTTTTAGGGCAATATTTATTTAATATTGAATGGCCTTGGTTGGGACACATGGGTTTATCCCACAAGCTCATGAGCATATTATATGCGTCGGCACAACAAGGGAAATATTTTCAAAGTGAATGTGATATATTCTTGTGTCCCATAATAGAAAGCCATTCAATATTATCATAAATAATTGTCTGAAACCTAGTGTCTCAATTATCACTACCGGTATTACATCCTAATATCAACTTGCACACCAAACATGCAGGGAACAAATATCCTATTTTGTCCTTTCCCAAGTATGATAAAAGACCTGCGCACATGTATACATGTGCTTTAGCCTGTGTATATTTCAACACATATTCACTCTTATAGGCGTTTGCGCACACCAAACCATGAGATATTGAACATTTACTGCACGGTCATCTGGCATTTTTGTTTGCAAACCATGAGATATGATTAAAAATTGCACGGTATTCCAGGTAATTTTGTGCAAAGGGCAAAATACACCAATTTTTGTGGTCGGCTCAAAACCCTTCATTCAAATAATTAGACGTATAACTTGCCATCTAAAGTTTAAACATATTGCTTAAGTTGAAGATGTATGAGGACAGTCTGGTTGGTTATTAAGTGGGTAATATAGTTAAATGTCACCCCAACAACAACAACCTAAGCAGTCTGTTTGACTAATCAAAGGGATTTCAACCATTTCATAAATTGCTCTGCAGAAGATTTGTTTGGTAATCCCCATAATGTGAGTGTTCAATTCTGATCTCTTTATTTGTATAAATTTGTATGTCATATCCAGTTACTACTATTGTTAAATCTGTTCATCCAGATTGTGTTTCCACAGACAAAGAAGCTTGATTTAATATTATTCAGTTAATAAAGTGAGGTATTCCAAGAAATATTGTTTGTGTCTGTTCATAAAGTATATTAGACTCTTGAAAGATTTACTATAGTAAAATGAGAATTTCTTGGAGTGATGTTTCTACATTTGGATATTTTTACATATTGTTTTTTGTGTACCAGACCTCACCTTACCCATTGCTTATGGAAAGCGAGTGGTCCCTGTATTAAAGGGATAGTTGAGTTCTGTTTTCAGATCGCAAATGCCTTCAAAGTGCATGGTTATTGCTCTTATTCTTATACATGACATTTCTAGTGACTTTTTTAGGACCTAAAATTGCTAAGAAGGTAATTTTAGACCCCAAAATGTGTGAAATTTAGCCAATATGATCAATACGACCAATTCAGCTCCACTTTCAAAAAAATATGGTGACCGTTAATTAATTCATTAATTAATAATAACAATACATGGGCCAGCTGATTGTGCGTAATATAAGCAACATGAAAGAGCCAACAAAACAGCCAACATCGGCATTGGCTGAAATACAACGTAAAAGGCGCTATTTTGTTTTTTCAACGGCTTTGAACGCCTGGTTCAAATTATCTAATATTTGTGGTGGTACACAAGTTTTAGAAATCATTATATTTATGGATATTTCAGCCGTCTCTGAACCGATTTTGATCAAACAAAGATTATTTTGTCATTTAAATTGTATGTTCTTTCAAATTTCAGTCAGTTTTTTATTATCTCACGTAAAAAAATATTTTGTGTAGCGCCCTCTGCAACAGAACTCAACTATCCCTTTAAGCCTAAGGGATTGAGAGAATGTTGGCAATGGGTTTAAGTTTCCAAAATGCTTCTGGAGCTTTCCATTGTTAAATCACCATCTACTCCCAGGTACACTCTAAAACTAAAATATTAAATCACTATTCAAAAGGCCTGTATTCATCAGCTCGAGTTTTCCTAATACAGTAACTTTCTATTTTGAGACTCTGAATATTATCCAGAAACTCGAAATTGCGTCTTCACTAGACAGGTACACTCATCACAAACTAGCTCGAACAAGCACAAATTAGCCCACTATTTGGAAACATGACCAAGATTTCTCTGGATTTTTTTCTTGACCAAATATCCTGCTAATTGCAACTGCGGGCTGATGATGACGCAAATTAACTGATTAATTTGCGATCGGGATAGTTAAAATAGCAGGTTATTTGGCAAACTTGAGCTGATGAAGACAAGCCTAAAGGGCACTGGAGTGACTCTGTTTTCAAAATGGTAGTTTCCGCACTCTTAGATGCTGGATGCAACCATTTATCCATCAATATGAAGACTACACTGTCTAAAATATAACATGATTTTATGTAGTTTTTTTTGGGCAGGTTAATTTTCATTGGATCAAAGTAATCTTAATCACACAATTTGTTCACCAGTTAATTGTAAGAGTATTACTATAACACAATTAACAGCACAGCCACTTTAATCAGATTATGGATTACATCTATAGTACATGGCAATATTTGTAGTGTTAATAGCAATCTAAGTATCATGCAGGTGTCAGCGTGGCAATCAGCAGTAGTCTATCTCTACTGTTAGATCTATGCTGAGAGCGAGCTGGTTGATTGCGTGCCATTCACATTGCCCCCAAATAAAGACTGCCCAAAGTTCAGACAGTGTAAAACTGCCTCGCCTCTTTCGAAGTTTACTTCTAGTCTTGTGTTGCAGACCCTTGGTAGCTAGTTGATCGCTGCTTATCTTGTTGAAATTGTTGTTTCTGCTTCAAAAGATCAGATGTGAACTTTATCAGTTCTTTTGTAACGTCATGCAGGTGCACTTAGATGTACAGTTCACAACTTAATTCGTCGCTGTTTTCACGAAGTGACGGTAGTGAAAAAAAAATTGCATTCACTTTGCGTTACGATTTTCCTCACTACCGTCACTTCGTGAAAACAAGGACGAATTATTCATTACCTCAGCAAGTTTTATACTTTTTTATGTACCGGTATGTGAACAATTGATTTGTCCCTATTTAGAATGTTTACATTAACATCTATATATTCAGCAAAAGGCCCTAATTTAACCAGTCCACATTGAGTTAAAAAACACATAAAACTTCAAATTTACAACGTCTAATAACAATTTAGTTGTAAACTGTATCTTGTGGACAAGACGTGTCATAAGTGTTACTGCTAAAATACAGATTGGTAGTATTGTACAAATTATCCTATTTAGGCCTACCGTACCCAAGTACAAGTAGACCTGTATTACCGGTAACATAAATAGTAGTGATAGTGGTAGATTTTTAAAAGGCTTAATTTCATGATTTTATCAGTGAATATTTAAGTAAGTACTATATCTGCTAAAATGTACTTAGCAAAAATTAACCAAACAAAGATGCAAATCATTGATTATTTGTTTACAAACCACACCCCTGTTGTTAAAAGGAGGTTTTGTATTTTTTGCTTTTCTTTTTCTGCTGCCTATTTCTGTCTATGTGACTTTACATCACAGATGAATATGTTCAAAAATGCCAAACATGTGCAAGAAAAATATTCTACCAACATTTTCCTAGATTTATCTTAGGGAGATGTTAACTTGTTTAATTACACAAGCATGGAGAATTGCTTCAATCTTTAATACTTACATTGATTCATTAATGATCAATTTGCTGTTTCCAACCAGGTTTTTCACAATCACACTAGATTAAATTTCTTTATCTGTTGAGTATCTATTGTTAATTAATTAAAACAAAAGTTGGGAAATGCCCAAAATCTTCTCATATGATCCAATGAAGATTATGTGTTATTACCACTTAGGAAGTCTTTGAACTATGTTTAAAAAAATCCTTAATGCAATTACCTAAAAGTTTTTAAAGTGCCCTTTTTTGCCAGTTCATCACTTGTAAACATATGAGAGGAGAATCACAAACTGCAATTCACTTTGTATTACATAACAAAAACCTCAGGGTTTGTTTATAAAGACCACACTCGTCCTGTGATCATCGAACTATATCCCTTGTATAGTGAGTCACTTATATTTGTGTTGTGCTCGCCTATTGTTATCCGGTATGCTGCCTATTGTTCCCCTCAGCCCTCGCTCTCGCTCTCATTCTATTATGCATACACCCCTGCTCTTTGGTGTATGTGCCCTGCCCAAACTCGGGCAGCACCCCTAAGAGCACACACTAGTGCGCTCACTCGTATGCAATGCACAAATAAACCACCACCACCACCATACACCTTCCACCACTACCTAAAGGGGGAAACCGGCAGTATCACACACAACAGTAGAAAAGGAGGATCTATTCTTGCGTAAAAAGAACTATTGTGTATTTTTGAGAACTAAACTATAGAGGTCTTTCTGCATGTTTTCATAGTGGTGTGTCTCTGTATGAGAGAGATCCAATTCTGTGTGAGCCATACTGTGCCACATTGGCAAAAAGTCCGACCGGCCGGTTAGTGTTGAACTTAGTGGAAGGGGGAGTGTTTGTTAATCTTGTCATCAGAGTGAGATAACATCGGACTTAATTAAGTGAGTGACTGGACTTCTGGGCTTAATTGGCAACCTTAATGGCAGGTAATAACTTTAAGTACCGTAAGTGGTTTATTGTCACCTTTTGGTATAACCTCTTTAAAAGAGTTATTTTTGTAGTTATTTGCAAAATGGATACGCTGGTGATAATTGAGGCTTTTCAATTGGGAAATATAACTGAAAGAAAAGAGAAAGAACAAAAAACACCTGAAGATAATGTTTCATTTTTGTTCTATAGAATGAATTCTTGACTTATACAGTATATACAGTTTTAAACAAATGATAAATGGCCAAAATTTGTTATTTGTAATTTGACACAAAAAATGTATGCTTTTAAAATGTATGTTTTATGTTTTTTGTTGAACAAGGGCACCACACATCATTGTGCGTGATACATGATCAGTAGAATGCTGAACAAATTTGCAGTTTAGACAGCTGTTTAGACAGACATTACCATCATCGTAAGAGAAATGTGTTTTCTCCAAAGCCTACCATATATATTATCCTTAGCCTTAAAATTAAATTTTCAGTGTAAATTTTACATTTTTTTGCACCATGACATAAAATGATTAATTCATATAATTATAAAAAGGTTAATTGTATGAATTACAGTTTATTATTTACTGTACTTAAAAAGTACATGCATGATAAGGCTTTACTCACAGTACAACTTGGTCTTCATTATACAGGAAATGAAAACATGCAGTGTTTTTCTCTGATTTTTTAATTTTTTTCACGATTACCAAAATATGTGTGTAAAAGTATTAAAAAATATGGATTATAATCCTTGAATTCATTTACTTAAATTTATCTGTGGACCTATTTACCAACTGGGTGGTGTCTTGAGGTTTTTTTTTTACAGATATGTTAATGTAAACAAACAAACCATATTGAATCAATATATACATTGGAACACATGAAACTTTGGAAGGTTTATTACCTAGTAGTATTGAGGACATACATGTAATATGACTGATGGGTAAATTCCATTTTTTTAATCATTAAAAAGGGAGGTGAGAATGTTGCATTGTGGAATTGTAACAGGCCTGAATTGTAACCTAAATGCAATCGCTTGACTCTAATGCAAATTTATTTAATTAGCTCACGGCATGTGCAGTATCCATATACGGTACATGTCCATTTTGTCCATTTACATTGTATCAACACCACAAAATGAACTAATGAAATTCAATTAGAATACATGTATGTCCCTCATTATCTACGCATGCACGCACCATTAGTGTCGAACAAAGTAAAAAATTCCATTACAGTATGCATACCATTTAAATACTGCATTAATTGAAATTTTTAAAGAAAACAAGTGCACTCTAATATATTTGTTCTATCTTTGTATTTTTGTTTCATCGTCTTTGGTCAGTTGATTAGAATAACACTACTTGAATCCCACAATGTAATACTTCTTTCTTTTTCAGGCTACAGTTACCAAGTCCCTCTTTTAGTACCGTTTTATTTTCTCCTTCAAATGCCTTTTTTCACCAATGAAAAATTGATCAAATTCAATTTTGATACTTCAGCTTTGTACTGCATTTAAATGATGTACTTATTATAATAGTTTTAACATTGTTATGGCAGTTCCAGGAAAGACATGTTTTGGGGGCAAAATCATTTTTGTTTTTGTTGATATATTGTTTTCATGGATGCTTTACTAGTTCTGTCAATGTTACTCATTCATCAATCATGTATACTGACATCTTGGATGTAGTTGTTAACTAGTATAGGACAAAACACCTTTGATAATAAATCTTCTAACATTGTTGTAGGGAAGTAGAGAAGAATCAACCCTTTAACGTAAGATCGTTATATTTCCATGAATAATGTCGATTGTTTGCTCAGGAGGATTGATTACTGCCTATCTAATTATATATCAAACATAATCCTAGACCTTTGAACTCATGAATTGCACGTGTACATCGTGAGTAGATAATGGAATGAAATAAATGGCTCGCTATAAAAGGGATATCATGCTAAGCATGACAGGAAATAGTCAGGTATATTCACTCTCTTAAATTGCGCCATATGGAGGGAAACATTCCTCGAAACATCTAATGAATTTGGTTACATTGAGAAAAAATTATTTCATATCTTGTCTTGCATTTATAGAATAATTTTCTTGTAAACGAATACCAACATTGTGCTCAGTAACACATTTCTCTCTTAATAGAAAATAAATCTATTTGAATAAATCTACCTTTTATAAACTCCCACAGGTTTTTAATTCAATTTTTTTCAAAAGCTATTGAGATTTATGAAAAATAGACATGACTTTTGGAGAGAAGTACATATAGTTTTATTTCTCTAATGTACTTGTACTTGCTTGAAGTAATACTCATCTATGAACATTTATATATTTTAGGTTATATTCTTCAAATAATGATACTCGTAAATTTTTGCAAGAAATATCCCTTTTCTCTAAAGGAAACGTACATGAGAAACCATTTTTTCTTTTAATCAGCATTTATATGTTCCCTTAAGGGCCGATATGTAGGCTTGTCTATAGATATTTGTAAACATGAGATACAAAATATAGAGAGAGTTTTAATAGTAAATGGTGAGGACCTGTATTTATCCTGCTTCCCTTAGATCTCCTTCATGAACTTTTTAATCTGTAATATATATATATATATATATATATGTGTATATATACCCGGTATATCTTTATAATATATGTACATGTATATATTTCCAGGAACATATAGGAGTATAACAATATTGACCATGGTTTGTACATGGTGTGAATTGTACTACATGTACACAATAGGTTTTAGAATGACTACTTATCTAAAAATCTATGCAATGCTTTCATTCAATGGTTGGTAAAAATATACAGTATGACTCTTGACATATTCTTTGAAAGAAATTCAATACGGTATTCCTTTGAATACCGGAAATTCTTGTGAAATGGAGCGTGGAGCCACGATGGGAGGGGACATTTTTATATACCGTTACTATGATGTGGTCTTTAATCTGTTTGAACAAATCAAATCTATGAGTTAATCTGCCCAAGATTCTGGTATTTGGTATTGAATTATATAATATTTTATGTTATTATATATATTTATGTATATGGGTGTATAGTTATGTATTATATTATGACTTTTTGATAATACCTCCACATATTGAGATGATTAATTCTTAGGTGTTTCAGTTTCTTTTTCCTTTATGTGAATTATTATCATGATTTTCTTTCTGTATTTCCTTTTTACAATTACTTGAATGTACATATAGATTAATTTGAACTGAGATGACAATCATTAACATGCAATGTCAATTTGATTTAGTGAAAATAATTTGTTTACAAAACTATATCACTTTTCATGTCATTGATCTATTTCATCTCTGTTAGAAAGCAACCCTCAGCAAACCAGAACAGAATATTGTTGTTGTTGTTTGTCTAACAGTTGAATTAATCAATATCCCTCTTTTTATCTTTGTTGTTACAGATCTCATGATCGGATACGACCCCTGTATGAATAAATAAATAGGAAACATTTCCCGTGAGATTTGAACCCGCCCCACAGCCACCATGGTCATCCTCGTAAAGGTACGTAAAATTCCACTTTTTACAAGATTAAATAATTATCATAGCTATTTTTCAGTATTTTGTAACATTCAATCAAATTGTTATGCATGTAACAACTAGTATATATATATATATATATATATATATATATATATATATATATATATATATGTATGTTGTTTTTGTTGTTGTTGAAATGTTAGTCATAACAACATAAAACGAAGAAGTAAACACCGGTCCATGATACGGTGTCTTATAAAATACAAGGTGCCATTGGCAAGGTGGACAAGACAAAGAGAAGATATACAGTACTATAAAATATACCGTTCAAGCACAAAAACATAGATTTAGATAAGAAACTCACAATCTGAAGGGCCCCATTGGCTAATAAGCAAGCCGATTCTTCACATTGTTAGAAAATTATTTGCCACTTTAAGAACAACAAATTATCATAAATAATTGATATTGTGCTGTTGAACCAAATTGGGTAATCAAATAATTGTATAGCTTTTAATGGTATCCATACTGCATTTCCATTGACCTGGTCAAACTTGCAAGTGTGTGACATATATATGCAGTTGGACAAAGGATGTATCCTTTTTTAATTTAAAAAAAAAATCAATACAATTTTAAAATCAAAAGTATTTTTATATGTTTGTATAATTTTTTACAACAGAAGATATTTTTATCCACAAATCTCACAAATCTGTATAACACTTTGTTGTTACTTCATGTATATTACACTCTATAAATACTAAGATGCAGATGAAATACAAGAAAAACAAGACACAATGGGAAAGTGGAATGTTCAATGCTTTCAAGGGTGTGGTGCGGTTCACAGTATGTCGTCATACCCTGAGATGGTTGAGTCAATAGTCTAACTATACCTGTATTTTTGACCAATCAGAAACCTAGGATACTGGATTTTAGTATTATACGGTGTGTATATTGTAATCATCAATGTGTTACAATAGTGTTTAAATTTTCAACCCTGAATGTTGTAAAATGAAGATTACAATAATATTTATACTTTTCCTCTACATTTACAATAGTATTAATATTTGATAATAATAATAATAATAACTTTCAATTTTCTCTATACGCTTTACTTTAAAAGAGTACGCTTTACAATGTACATCAATATCTAAGAGGACATCTAACACCACTACATGCACACCGATACATCCAAACAAGAATTGTTACACTACTGTAAGAAAGTATCACAGCATAAATATGTAATATATATGTAATATCTACTTTATAGGTCTGTCATGGCTTTGATAACTGGATTATGAGCAGGATATCAACCCAACAATAACCTGTCAAATGATTCATGATAAATATATGTATAAGGTCTGCCTCCCTCAACAATAATGCCCACTCGGAACACACCTTGCAAATAGAATATTTACGTGCTATATAGTCGACTATTCAGGATCAAAACGTCACTTTGTAAAGCAAAACTGTCCACACAATGTCGATAGAATGACGTTGCTAGAAACGTGTGAATTTTCTTTCACCCGTGGGCCATGGATGACTTCATATTGGAGTGCTTTTGTTATTCTTTACTCAAGGAACTGTTCCTCTTTAGTTGAGACCGTATGCAGGAAATGGTCTCTTTTTTTAGTGTATTAAGTTGCATTAATGAGTATATCGTCTGCCGAGTCTAAAGGGCGTTAACTCTAGATGTAAAAGAAATGATTTAATGCCCCTCCAACTCTTGGTAAATGATGTGAGTAGGGAACACTAGATGATGAATAAAATCAATACACAGAGACAGAGTACGTACATGTACATGTATGTACTCCGTGCAAAAGCTTCTGTTCCGTTGTATGTTTTGGTAGACATATTTTTAAAGTCTTTGAATTAAATGTAGATAGGTTAATTTGCAAAGTGTTGTTGACATCAGCAGTAAAATTCTGCCCATTGTTTTTTAAGGGTAGAACAAGTGACTAATTCTGCCTGAATATATATATGCAAAGTCAAATCAAAATCAAATCAAAATATGAATTTTCCTTGTAGGGATTTTCATGATCTACAATTACATCAAGAATTAGAAAAATACTGAACGGGTATGTTAAGTGGACAATGTTTAACAAAGAGTGCAAGAATTCAATAGGGTTCGGGCTAAAAAAGTATGTTAGGTTTAGGCCTTACATGATCAGTGCTTACTTGTCTGAGATCAAAATAAAGGAAAGTGCTAATACAAATATATATACGTAAAGACTCTTGTCAATCAAAAACTTTTTGCAGTCTCATCTTCGATTGTGTTTCTACCGGAATGATTTTTAATGTAAATATATCAATGCAATCCAAAGGTGGCATAGAGATTAGTAGGATTAGACAATTGTAAGTGACACGAACATCAAGTGGAATTGTAGGATACATTGTACTTTCAATTTCAACCATTTCAAAGAATTATATGCAACTGGTCAATTACATCGTTAATCATCAGCAGAATGAAAAAAATCACGATGAAAAGACGTGTTCACCTGTTGCTGTTTTCCTGTCCATGCCTTGCAAGGTTTCCCTTAAGGTATCGGTCCATTGACAGAGAGATAGAGTGAAAGAGAGAGAAAGGGAGAGAGACATAGAGTGAAAGAGAGAAAGGGAGAGAGAGAGAGAGAGAGAGAGAGAGAGACATAGATAGAGAGAAGAGGATACACAGAGAGAGAGAAAGCTAGAGGTAGACATGCAGATAGAATGAGGGAAGGAGAGAGAGAGAGAGAGAGAGATCAATAAATAGAAAGAGAGGAGAAAGCGGGAGAGAATAGGTGTGTGACCTTCAATGTTGTCCAGCTGACCTGAGCCGACACACGCCCACTGTTTAAACTGAGGCGCTAGACTAAGATGTGCACACAGTCCATTCTGTAGTTTGAGTGTTGACATTTGTTTTAAGAGATAGGTATTACATGTACATGTAGATATGTACATGCTATATTTACATGGAGTATACATGTATAAGTAGAAAAGTAGAAAACTAGAGTATTACACAAAAAATATAATTCTTCATGTTTGGTACATGTATTACATTCAGTTTTTACTTGTACTTATTTTAAGTGAGATTTGTGTTTTGACTTGAGGCTTACATTTCAATTCTCCTTCTATTTTATTAAGACAGTAAACATATTTACGTATCTACATACATGTACCACCAATATCAGACTTATCAAAAGTATCAATGTCTACTATTTTAGTTCATTTGTTCAATTAATTCATGTATTTTCACACATGGATTAGATGGCCTTTTCAAAGTCAGTAAAGTATTTGAAAGGGGTTCTACCACTCATACTTTTCCTAGTAAAGAATGCAATTTGAAAATAATGTTTGTTAGTAATGAAAATGGATTTATGTAGTACCTAATAAGAAATATTATTCCTAAGCACCATGCTTTAGAGATATCAGCATCTTCCTGGTCAGTGGATTCATTCGCGCGCAGAGTGTGTGCACTATCTCCACTCCTACCTATTTGGTCACCGTGACAAAAGTATATACATGATGTGTTTTGGAATTTCTTGAATTGTATGATTTTGCACAGCAATATAATTGGATGCATACATATTATAACATGTATTGTTCATGTAGTATTCTAAGAATGTTTATATTTTTCTTTACATGTACAATAATTATGTTATATACTGTATATACCCGTAATGAAAGAGAACACAAAATAAACATTATAACAATACCATGGTTCCATGAGAATGCATATCGTGTGAGCGAAATTTAGCTACCTGCACTGTGTAACAATCCCATTAAGTATAAATGAGGAAGTTCTAAACATAATGATTATCACATGTTTTGAAATTTTGCAATTTTCAGCGGAACCATTGTAATGATTGTTAGATGTAGAATATGATAACATACTTTATATATCGTCTGTTTGGAGCCAGAAATGAGTTTAATAATTCATATCAGTTTAAACAGAGTTAACGCCCTTCTGGCTCCAACCATATGACATGAACAGCTTCGTCAAGACATCTTCAAGCAAATTGCCTGCCAATTAAGCGTCTCATCTCTCTCAGTACAACAAGAAGTACAACAATGTTCAGTTTATGAATATAAACATATTTGTCCGTAAAGAATTGTTGCTTTTGTATCATTCTCCTTTTTTCCAGGATATGATTTTTTTCAATAACTATTGAAAGTGCAGCCATGCAGCATTTCAAATTTTTACCGGCCATTTTGTTTTTCATATACCTTTATGCATTTTGAATATTTTCCCTGTTGAGCTCTAATGAAGTTCATGTACAGTGAAAGCTGTACATAAAGACTAAATCAGAAAAAACAAATGGTCCTTATGTTTCAAGATATTTTCATATTTCTGAAGCAAACACTGGTCAAGGGAAACAAAAAATATTGTCTTTACAGACAGGTGGTAGATGGTGACTCTATGCACGTGGTCTTTCTATACAGGTGGTTGTTCAAGCAGGTCTCGCTATAATTCACCCAGGGCAGCCTGATCAGTGTTAATAGTTTTATCCTGAGGGCCCTGCAATCATATTACCCTAGCTTTTAATAGTCTGGCTTCTATGATAGGCAATAAACACAGCCAAGGATTCTTTTCCTACTAGATATCCATTCACTTCACCTTGATGGAGAGTGGCAAATGAAGATTAATTCTTGTCAAAGGACAGTAGACCCGTGCTATGGCAGGGATTTGAACCCTATGCCATGTCCTTCAAAGTCCGTCTTATCCACAATACCATGATACCACCACTCTTTACATGTTCTTGCTTTTGTTTGATTACAGGGAGACTTTGTGTGGCTTGAAGACCCTAGGAAAGATTCATTGAAGAAGGTCCCTATCGGAGCAGAGGTCAAGATCGCTGATTCTGGTCAACTGCAACTGACCGACGATGAAGGGAAGGTAAGTCTCTCCTGATTAAGTGTTATACAAGATTTTTTCTGGCCTGAAATGTTCATGAATTTTGTTGGGGCTTGCAAATCTCTAATATGGGCTTTAATTCTTTCTTTTTGGACTGAAATTATTGACTGCCACATTGTTTTGATTATCTGTGATCTATAGCAATTGCACTTATGGATGAGTGACAAAAGTCGACTGCTGCAGTCTCTGGTTTCTTTGGTCAACCAAAGCATACAATGTTTTGCTGGTTGCCCGGCAAAACGTCGCGTAGCGCTCCACTACCCTTTGCCGCGAAGTTAAATTGTGCGTTCAGGCTTTTCTGTTTCCAGCAAAAGAAAGATATATTTGCAAATTAATTTGAGAACATAATAAATCAGGTAAATATCTTTCTCTAAGAATAGTTTTGGCTACATTGAACAAAGAAACATTGTCAATTTTAGCACTTGAAGTAGGTGTTAAAACTTCAAAAGCATTTTTCTTGGTTCCCCTTTTTTTACCAGCGCCCACGCTATGCGACCTTTTACCAGGCAACCGACGAGTCATGTACTAAGCATTCATTAAAAAAATAGAAGTATTATATAGATGATTTGATTTGATTTGATTGTTTTATTGTCCACATTAAGTGGAAATTCTTCTTTCATATGGTTACAACTATATACAGTATATAAAGCATAGGTCAATTGAACACATTTTAAGTTACACATTGCTCATTAATAAACTCAGCGCTACATTTTTTTAGAACAATAAATCATACTTTTACATTTTAACTGTATGATCATATGGTCTCATTGACAACTGTATAATTAATTTAAATATTCATGTATTAATAATAATAATAATAATATGCTTGTATACTCTTCAACATTCACCGTGATGAATAGTGGGTATATAAGGGAAGAATATAAAATCAATCTTATTTAGTTTACAACTGAATTTCATAAGTGTTGAACATTATTGTACACGTATTGTGTCTCAGGCATTTATTTTGACAGGTCCCAAGGTGATTCTGTTCTTACAATGAATAGGAAACTTCTCAAGCATTAATTTGAATTGGGATGTATTTTCTGCATTGATTGTGTACTAGGAAGCAAATGTATGCCAGCTGTAATAAATATGATGAATGTTTTATAAACAGATGAAATAGAGCTGAGAAATTGCATTATGAGTAGTCAATGAGTAATGGGGGTGTTGAAGGTTATACGTTCTGTATATGGATCAGTATAGGGGAGTGAAACAAAGAAAGATACAATGCAAGAAGATCATAGGAGTCTATCTTTGAAATTATGATAATCTAGATAATAATTACAATGATAAATATAATTAATTTGTGTGGTTATTATTCATTTGAAGTGCAATGTTTTAAACGATTATTTGACTTTTTTTTTTCCAATGAATTTTTTTTCTCAATCATTCTTGAGCAAGAACAAAACAATAGATTTGAACAAAGTACATGTTGTAACATATCAGTAAAGACATATGTATTGGTATTATTTGATTCTCATTATTCTTCGATGCTTTGTCAGTTTGAACATTTGAATATTCTTTTTTTAATAAATATTATATATATGATGACAGATTCGTCAGTTCATAATAACGATGACGATTTGTAGATGAACTCACTCTTTGGAATGCTGTTACATAGATGATCAATAATCAGAAATGACCAAATAAATGAATGTAAATATTTCCCAGAGCTTTGAATGGTGACGTATAAATATATAATAATAATAATAATAATGGGTTCTTGTATAGCGCTCAAGTCAGTCAGATTTGACCCTCCTGGCGCTCTCGATTATTACCCTGGCCTTAGCAAGTCTGCCATACGGCACTCTAGCATTTCAAGGAATAATTTCCTACCAGGTACTAGATACGTTTGTAACCGAAGTATCGTTGGGTGACAGTTTTTGTCAGAAAATGCACTTTAGAAGTTTATATTTTCATATTATTAATGTCTTTTTTAGGAGCATTGGTTGTCGGAAAAGGTGGCGCAGAAGCTGCATACTATGCACGTATCCTCCATCAAGGGCGTGGAGGATATGATTCTGCTAGGTGACCTTCATGAGGCTGGCATCCTGAGGAATCTACTAGAGAGATACAAGGCCAACTTCATCTATGTAAGTTCCCAGAATCCTGCATATTAATGAATCATTCAATTACGAAAGTTCATCGGTATTGGTGATACCGTTACGTATGTTTGAAAGTTTGAAAGGTTGAACTTTCGATTTCAAAACAGCCAAAAATTTTGGATAAACATTTTGTATTGAGACCAAAAAGTTAACTTTCAAACATCGATTGATGAATCATATTTGGGCGTCTTGTAGACTGCAACACAGCCTGTTGAACCATTTTAAGAAGGCTCCTTGGTAGAACAGCACATTATGGCATTTCCAGGAGGATTATGGTGTAGAAAATATATCCTTCCTTTCCAAGGTACATGCAGGCATTTTGTACTTTAAAAAAAATGCTCTTAATCTTTGATTTTGCAAACATTTGGATTAAAATGTATCTTGAGACGATGCATTTGCGGGTTAGCATTAGTTATATTTCACAGATGCCAACATTTAATTCCACATTCAGACTATCCTCAAGTGATAAATGTTTTACAATAGCTTCTTCAAAAACCCTGAAAAAAAAATATACCACTATGTTTCAGAGCAAAGAATCTTAAAAAGTTCATGAAAATATACTTATTCTCACATTTACATGCATTTCATATGATTTTCCCCATTACAGATCATTTTGTTCACCTGTTACAGATAATTGTATTTCAATACCCGGTAGTCAGAATACAAATTGCATACATTTCGTGTTGTTAGGTAGGGCATTAAGCCATAATATTTGTCCTACATTGGAACAATTAATGTATACAACTTTCATTCTGACTATTCAAATAAAATCATTCGTACAAGGTGAATAAAGTCATTTGTAACGAGGCACTTAGCAAAAATGTATGCATTAAATTTGATTCACTACGATAATGGCCTATTGACATAACCTTATTTTGCAGACATACACTGGAACCATCCTTGTAGCTGTCAATCCCTACCAAGTCCTCCCCATCTACATGAGGGAACAGATTGAAGCGTACAGAGATAAAAGGATAGGGGAACTACCCCCTCACATCTTCGCCATCGCGGACAACGCTTACTATCGTATGTTACGTGGGCTCAAGAATCAATGCGTTATAATCAGGTAGGGCAATTCATCTTCATTTTTTTTTTGGGGGGGGGGGAGAGGGGGGGGGGGGTATTTGTATTCTGGAGGATTGTAGCAGTCTAGCAGATAAGTGAACAAATACATGGGAGTAGTGTGCGGTTTAATTCTGCAAAACTCTGAAAGACCTCTGGTAAAATGAGAAATAGTTCTGAAGGAAAAAATGTAAATTTATTGGCAAATGTATTTTAAATAAGTTGCCCTTCTTGATGAAGCCTTATCTTTACTACAATAAATCCAAAAGAGCTCTCATGAATGAAAGCAAGTATTTTAAGGCTTGTTCATTTATGACACTGTAAACCGCAGCTTTTTAAAATTTATTTTGACATATGCGATATAAAATTCACATGTCTATACCTTATAACAAACAGATAATGAGTAATAATAATAATAGATACAGCATTTGTTATGCGCCATCGTTTAGTAAAATATTCAGAGGCTCAGAGGGATAGAATTAGAATGAGTTACATAGAGAAATGAGAACAAATATGCATAGATCAGTAATCGTTCTTTTGTTGAGTGCAGTTGCATGGATCATAATTCATGCACACTTTCTATTCACGTTCACATAACGATAAAAATGTCGCCGTTTCCAGCATCATGTCTGAACGAGCCCATTACTGTGCCATTAGGTTTAGACCCTGTAATCCAGTTGTAAACCTACATCTATATCATACAAGTTTTTCCATGTGTATATGTGTATATATATTATGTGGACATTAAAAGAGCAAGCTCCAAGTTATAATCGCTCATTTTTCCAAGCATCACAGGTGCAGGTTCAGATCAGGTTCATATATAATGAGCCGATATTGTATTATGAGTATATGTACACAAAGGATGGGAAACCCTCGCACAGAAGAAAATCAATAATATTCAATACATGCTGCACAATGATATCAATAACAACAGGTATACACGTGTGCAGTGCTGCTGTATTCCCCCACAGAAGGTTCATGTCGACCTTGTATGCTCATGGTTGTGGTTTTGTGTATAGATTCTTTCTGTTACAGACAAGTTTATTGATAGCAATATGCTATTAATTACTAATACACTCCAAACTAAATTCTTCATGTACACTTTATGAGTCACTGGAATATTATAGAATGTATATTTCAGATATTGACCTAAGAATGATTTGTATCAACCTTGTGGTTTTGACCTTGTATGCTTGTGGTTGGTCTGTTTGTAGATTGTGAGTGTTGCAGACAAAACAAGTATCAATATAGCATTAATTACGCTAGCTCTTTCCATGTACATTTAATGAGTTATTGCAATATTATGGAATGTGAATTTCAAATTGAGTTTAGGAAATAAATTTTAGAAAGCATCATCCCTTCATATGACAATGTCTGTCTCTAGTGTGTACTGTACATTTTTCTAATGGAGATTGTTAGTTTTGAAACAGACAAGTGTATTGATACATTAATATCTGTTCATCACAATCTTCATATTCATTTACTGAAATATGTTAAATATTAAGAAAATATGCATTTCAGAAATTGACATAAGACAGAATTGTTGTCAACTTTGTAGTATGGACTAGTTGCTAGAAGTGTTTGCACAGGCAATGGTTGTTAGTGATCCAGACATTGGGATTAATAGCCTAATTTCTAGTACTTCATTTTGGTAAATTTTCCTTTCCCTTTGTGCTATACTTTATATTATGTAAGTTATTACATGCATACCATTAAGGATCGTTAATTACAGAAATGAATTTTAGAAATCATAATCGGAATATTGCATAACTGTCTGTGTTGCTTGATTGGATCTATATCTACTAGTATTGTTTGGACTTTGGAGTAATAAAAAGCTTCAAATATGGGTAGTATTTATGTTGTCACGGTGACGAGGGTGAAATTTTGTCTGCAATTATTTGGGTCTCCATACAATCAAGTTGAATTATACACAAGGGATAATATATGTAAATGTAATTATGATTATACCAATGATGATACACAAATAGTTGAATTGAATACTACACAATAATTCGTCGCTGTTTTCACGAAGTGACGGTAGTATAAAAAAATTGCATTCAATTTGCGTTACGATTTTCCTCACTACCGTCACTTCGGAAAATAGGGACGAATTGATGCATCTGTATTCCTTACAAAAAAATTAGTATTAATGATGTGATTTTGACTAGTCTATGACTAATTTTAAAATTTAGTAATATTGTAATCAAAATATGCAATTCCATCATTGGCAGTACAGTGTTGCTGCTGGTAATGATATGAATGCTTACTACTGTATGTAGAATTACTTCTGTATTTGTGTGAAATGATCACTTTAAATTGCCGTTGCTAGTCTATGTTACTGAAACATGTTAAAAATTATCGCTCTGGAAATCAGCCCAAATAGATCATTACATGAATCTTCTTTTCTTATTATTTTCTTGTTCTTTCATATTGTAGTGGTGAAAGTGGAGCAGGAAAGACGGAGAGTGCTAAGCTGATCTTACAGTTCTTGGCAGCAGTGAGTGGTCAACATTCATGGATTGAACAACAGATTATTGAATCTAATCCTATTATGGAAGGTGAATATTTTCGACCTTTTTCAATTTCTCCATCCAGGTGTAGTAAATTGGTTACTGGTAGGAAGAAATACCTTGAATGCTTGAGCGCCTTCTCATAGTATAGCTCGGCTAAAGCTGTGGTAATAATATGATTGCAGGACCCTCAGGGAGAATAGTTTGAATACTGAAGAGGCTTCCCTGGGTAAAGGAGACTTATTATTACGTGATCTGCAGTAGATTTCCTCAGATTTTGCATTGCTGTTGTCAATTGCACCATTTAAAACTTTTGACTTGGCTAGCTAATATTCAGGTGTCCTGCACAGTCCATGATTACATGATCATTACAAATGGGGTATTATTCTAAAGAGGAATAAATAAGGTCTTTAACAATACCAACATCAAATATGATAATATAGTAACAAGAAAGATTTCAATGCTAAAAGTTGAATTGCAGAACATTTTTGAGGAGTCTATTTAGGGTCAGAAGAAAGAAAGCAAGAAGAGAGTACAAAACAAAACAAAACCTCAAGTAGATCAAAGAATATGAAAATAACGAATTTCATATAGAATTTATAGTAACATTTATAAAAACGTATAATATTTTTCTGCATTTTGCTATAATTCTCGTCTTTAGCCGTGCAACCCTGATGAAATGATCTGTAGTCTGTGTTAAATGATGCAAATCACAACAATTTTGGTTCCAGATACTTATTTTGATTTATTTGTAAACATACAAGTTCCTGTGAACTCAACAAATAGTAGTCGAGCTATCAGCATTCACTTTAGTATTCAATACATAGTTTCAAATTACCTGTTGTTCAGCTCCTAGGTCAAAACAACAATGACCTTTGACCCTATGTTGCTATGTCACTGGATATCCCTGGTGAGCTTGTGGAATGGTTCATGTTTCAATGGAAATGCAAACAAATAGGTGCCAGTGAGTGGTAAATTGATTATAAAAGTATGAGCGTTGTTGGGGGATGTCAATAGCAAGTATAGTAAATGCCAAGTCATGATGTAGTCTGAGGGCAAATTTAAGATGCAAAGAACGAGAGTGAGAAAGATAAATTTGGTCACAATGTCAAGTCCCTCATCTTGATTGTTTATTTATTCATGTTCTTTTGTTCACAAACTTCTCCTCTTCTCTCCTCTTCCTTCTCTTCCGTCTTCTCTTCGCTTCTCCCCCTTCTCTTCTCTCCCCTTCTCTTCTCTCCCCTTCTCTTCTCTCCCCTTCTCTCCTCTCCTTTTCTCTCCTCTTTTCTCTCTTCTCTCCTCTTCCGTCCTCTTCCCTCCCCTTCTCCGACTACTAGACACTGTTTGAACCAATCATATCTGCTCTGCTGGGGGCATGTCAATAACAATCGTGTAATTTGAATATTGACACTTAAACACAAGTTTGGTATGCTCTAAATTGCAGAGACCATACTTCACTATAGTCTCTTATTTTCATGTATTTCATCTGAAGTTGACCTGTCATTTGCTACAACAACATGTCTTGTGTGCTTCGTTTTGTCAAATATATATCAGGTTGAGGCTCGGGTTGCTTTTAAGTATTATATTACGGGTAAAGTAGGAACAGAGTTAGACATTTTGGAATGGCATTATTTTCACAAAGAGGTCAAGAAATTCATTAGTGTTAGAATTTGACCATGGAGCTATTTTTCACTACCTATTGTTGTACGATTATATACATACATGTATACGGTCATTGCAAAGTGTATATCATGGAAGGATGTTATGCCCAATTTATCATAAAGATCATAATAATATAATTCAAAATGTCATCCTTAATAGAATTGTGACAATTCTACACAAATTTGGTGGCTCAGAAGATCGAGGTTAAGAAATGATCCATTCCATTTTCTTTGCAGCCTTTGGAAATGCCAAGACAATCAGGAATGACAACTCAAGTCGATTTGGAAAGTACATTGACATTCACTTTCAGGAGAGGGGGGTCATTGAGGGGGCCAAGATTGACCAGTACCTGCTGGAGAAGTCCAGGCTTGTTAGTCAGGTAAGAAAAGGGGATGATGATGTCGTCGTTGATGAAGATGATGATGATGATGATGATGATGATGATGATGATGATGATGATAATGGCACCATGATAAAAGAAAATTTGCTATAGTGACTGCCTGTATAGAAGGACCATCTGCGTATAAAGACTAAATTTTATATTTACTTGCCCTTGACCAGTATTTCTAATTATAACCTGTTGAATAAGAAACCTGTTTAAAAACCACCTGTTAGGCAAGGACAAAGTATTTGGTAGTTTTGTATTCCGAGCACCTCCAAGTATAGTGGAACAATGTACATATCACCGAGGGTGTCATTTTCCTCAATAGTTAATCTGAACAATGCCCTTGTATGGCTATCATCCTCTGTATCATGAATGAAGACTCGTCTTCCATTGAGCACCAGCAGGGTATTAAACCTGTATTATGATATAGAAAGTCTTATAAGTTGATGCATTGTACAAAGCTGGAAAGGGATAAGACATGTAGCTCCATACAAACTGTATGTGCCGTCCATAATCCGGACCAGGAAATGCAAGAGAGCACGGATTGAGCCTTGACACAAAATGCCTGAATGAACTCGAGGTCTTTTCTTTGACCACATACCTACCCTGGGTTGGTCCATCATGTCATGCTTTAATGGACTATTAATGGAGCATTAATCTTTCCGCTGAAAACAACTTTAGAAATCATTAGAACTCATCATGTGAACCATGTATGGAGTTGAGATAAAGACATTCACCTCTCGCTAGAATTTTTTTATAAAGATAGTGTATTATTCAGTTAATTTATTGATCATTACTTTACAATTAAACACCTTGTCTGTTCTCTTAAAAACAGCTTAGTGATGAGAGAAACTACCACATCTTCTACTGTTTGATGTCTGGTATGCCTGACCAGGAGAAGAAGGAATTGGAACTCACCAATGCAAAGGATTACTACTACCTCACTCAGGTATGCTTCCTACCAGATTGACACCACACCAAAACCAGACCGACACCAGGCCGACACCATTACAACACCATACCAAAACTAGACCGACACCAGACCTACACCAGACCGACACCAGACCGACACCAGACTGACACCAGACTGACACCAGACAGACACCAGACAGACACCAGACCGACACCAGACCAACACCAGACTGAACAAAAAATGACAAAGAATCTACCAGTTTGGAGTCGGTTTGGTGGTGTGACTTGGTTATTGGTCATTCCTCATAACCGTTAAAGTCATGTTCTCATTGTTATGCCACTTTGTGTCCAGTTTAGAACCAAGACTTATTGTGCATCATTAAAAATCATATTGGTGTATTGTGGTTTTCAAACGTGTAAATTATCTGTAAAACCGAATTTTTCATGAGGATTAAATATGTACAGAAAATGATGAGTTATCATGTAAGAAGTATGGGAGGGATGGATTGTATCATTATTGTTTTCAACCCTCTGTAAGTTTGCTTTTTTTGAAGAACTATATATAGAAGTTAGAAACATTTTTGATGACCTTTCAACCATCTCAAATACTTTATAATGAAATAAATGTATCTGTGAACCTTAGGGTGACTGCATCGAATGTCCTGGGAGGAACGACCGTGAGGACTTCTCCACCATCCGAGCGGCCATGAAGGTCCTGAACTTCACTGATGATGAGATCTGGGATATCTTCAAGCTCTTGGCCTCTATCCTCCACCTGGGGAACATCAAGTACACAGCCATTGAGAAGTCCAACCTGGATGCAACGGGTTTCAAAGACCACTCTCAGACTGCCAAGGTGGCCAAACTCCTAGCTGTAAGTTGAGCTCCACTTTGACTAATACAGTCAAACCTGCTTTAGTGACCACCTGTCTACAAAGACCACCTGTCTACAAGGACCACAATATTTGTTCCCTTGAAAATGGTTTCTCATTGAAACATGTACTTAAGGAGCCTGTCTACAAAGGCCACTTTTTGTGTTTCCCTTGGGCGGTAGCTATAGACAGGTTTGACTGTACTAGGATTGCTCCTTTTCATCTTTATCTGCCCTGTATGATCTTTGGCCTGTTGGATTATGGTTCTGGTATGACACAAGGTGTCCATAGCATCCACTGGATGTTTTAATGATAGTCTATTGGCATGGCACCCCAAACATACAGTGCAATGTGTTTATTTTTTGTAAGATTTTAATTTTACGATAATTTCTCTGCATAAAGTAAGTAGAGTAAAATATTAATGTTTGACATAATTAATATTAATATTACTATTATTAATTATGATAATATCATTGATATTAATATCCATTATTTTTTTCCATTAATGATTTTAATAATTGGAAATAGACATACGTCAAGTTTTGTTATAATCTTGAAATAAACAAACCCTTGGAACAGATATAATATTTATATTGATGATTCCCAACGATGTGATCTTTGCTACAGGTCAACCAAAAAGCCCTGGAAGAAGTGCTGACCACCAAGTCCACCACAGCATCCGGCGAGGTCATCATCTCGCCGGTCAGTCATGCCAAGGCCATCGACATGAGGGATGCCTTCGTCAAGGCCATCTACGGCCGGCTCTTTATCTGGATTGTTAACAAACTCAACGTGGCCACCTTCAAGGAGCATGACAGGAGTACAGGGAAGAGGATCAGCATCGGACTCCTCGACATCTTCGGCTTTGAGAACTTTGGCAAGAACAGGTGAGACCCTTTGTCCGATGTTAATGGACTACCCTTACCTATTTCGGCTCTGAAAAATAATAAAGAAGTAGGGGAAAGAGGGTGGACATCTGACTTCTGGACTCCCTTTACCTATATTGGCTCTGAAAATAACAATAAAGGAATAGGGGAAAGAGGTTCGACATCGGACTTCTGGACATCTTCAGGTTTGAGAACTTTGGCAAAAACAGTTGACTCTTAAATCTTGAATTTGTTGCAACCAAAAAGCTTTATTGACAGCTGTCCAGAATGGGTTAATGGGATGTAGGCAAACTTGTACTTAGGATGGTTTCTTGAAAGGATGCCCAGGTTTTGTGATGTTAGGAGATGCTTTGTCCGTCCTTTTCAGTGCTTGAGGCAGCCTGAACTACCCAAGTGGTACTGTTGCTCCACTCTTTGGACAAAGAGTAGCTAGTCTGTTTTGGATGGGGTAATAATCCTGCATTCTTACCTTCTCTTAAAAGATTTAGCCTGTTATAACAATATGTCGAAAAACCCACAAAAGTTATCAGTGTTCTCAAACATGTGAAGAAAAAGATGGCCATCTTACTGTATTACATTTCTCTTGATGTAAATTTCTGACTTTGTTTTCAACAGCTTTGAACAGATGTGCATCAACTACGCAAATGAGAATCTGCAGCAGTTCTTCGTCAGGCATATATTCAAGCTTGAGCAGGTACAGATTTCTTTTTATATTTTGAATTCTTTTATTATCAGAAAGAAAGATACTCTAAAAAATATAAAAGTATAAAGTCTGAAACACAAACGCACACAAAGAGCATATGAGGGATATACAGCTGACCACTAAATTATTCATACCCTCACCAAGGTTCGTCCTTTTTCAAAGGTGTGAAAAATCAATTTGTCCCGAATTACGTTTCTTGAGAATGTGACATATGAAAGCTTAGTTCTAAAAGCATTGAACACAGGCCCAATTAAATTACACCAGTCTACCTTTCATTCTTCTTGAGTTATGAGGAATACAAAAATAATTTAATTGTTAACTGTTATAGGACACCTAGAGAGTGAGTGAGAGGGGGGGGGGGGGATAATTGGATTTATAGGTAATCATCAACTCTTCATGACCATTCTGCTTTCTTCCTACTTTCCTATATTGTTCTCGTAGGAGGAGTATGATAGAGAAGGAATCAAGTGGCAGCACATCAAGTTTGTGGATAACCAGGAAACCCTAGACCTGATTGCCGTCAAACCCATGAACATCATTGCCCTGGTCGATGAGGAGTCTCGCTTCCCAAGGGTAGGTCTCTAAAGCCTCGTTCAATGATCACAATAATTTGATTACCCAGGGTAGCCTCATTAGCACCATTGCTGTTTTACCTGAGAGCCTTGCAATTATTAAAGTACCCCAGCAATTGCCAGGTACCCATTTACACCTGGGTGGAGGGTGGCAAATCTGAATAAAAGTCTTGCAAAATGACATTAGTACAAGGCAGGGATCCGACCCCCTCAAGCCAAGGATCGAGAGTCGAGTGAATGAAGCACTATACCATGACACCACCACAAGAAATGACTTGACACAATAAATGTGCTTAAAAGGGGGAGTCTGCTCTGATATTTAGTTAGTTCTATTGAAGGCAGAAACATGATTAAAACAGATCAGTGAAAGTTTGAACAAAATAAAGAAAGTTACGTATTTTCAAAAAAGGCAAACACAATTACCCCATTATGCTTTGTAGAGAAAATGTCATGAATTTCCATTGTCTCAGTCACTGAAGAAGGAATCAATTTGTTTTATACATTGGTTATGTTAAACATAATCCCAATGATTATACCGTAGAGAATGCAGTGCTCTCAGAACCGGGAGGCCCCAGGTTAAAAACCAAGTCGATGGGCTTGTGCCCTTTGGTAAGGCATTAATCCTCATTACCAAGTCCTTCAGAGAGGACTTAAAAGCTATCAGTCCCCTGGTTACTTACTTTCAGGCATACACATGCTTTCTTAGCATTTAGGAAAAACACAAAATTCAAATCAGGAAACCAGGACAATTATTGCCCTTATTTTTGCAGGGATCTGATGAGACCATGCTGGCAAAGCTTAACAAGCAACACTCCAAGAACAAGCTTTACATCAGTGGAGCCTCTGCCAAGGGTACTCTCTTTGGTATCAAGCACTTTGCAGGAACAGTCTACTATGAAGCAACAGGTATGTACCCTTTACCACTTTCATGCTATGTGCACATAGATTGCCCAAGAAAGTAAATGCTCAATCTTAAGTTTTGCTAAGAAATAGCTTCTTTTTTTTTATAAAGAGAAAGAAGTTCAATTCATTGTGAGGGGTTTCATTATATTTTAGAAGAACTAACAGAGATAAAAACGTATCCATAATTGTTTGTAAACCTAGTGGCAAAAAGCAGTTAATGAATTCTAATTGGTTCCTGAACTGCCAGAATCTGCCTTGATACATCCATACTTCCTTCTAGTCTTGCAGGATAATTTTGTTTTTCCTATTCCCCTTGTTGTGTAGAGGTTATTCTACTCCCTGACAGTGAATAGAGGAAACTGATCATATATGTTTGCCTCCGCTCACTCCCTACAGGTTTCCTGGACAAGAATCGTGACACCTTCAGCCCCGACTTCATCCAGCTGATCCGCACCAGTCAGAACAAATACCTCACGACTCTCTTTGCCAAAGACCTCTCGTCCACCACTGAGATGCGCAAGAAGTCGCCAACGCTCGGAGCACAGTTCAAGAAGTCTCTAGATCTTCTGATGACCACTCTGGGACAATGTCAGCCTTTCTTTGTCCGCTGTATCAAGCCAAATGAGCATAAACAGCCCAATGTGAGTTGATTGGCAGATGGGTTTTACATTAGCTCCGGCAGCAGTTACTTTTTGATTCATTAAAGACATACGGCTATGGGATGGATGTTCTGACATTTTGCTCTTGCAACAATTACTTGTTGATTGGCTGAAGACGTATGGTTAGGGTTATGTTTGTTTTTAAATTAGGGTTAGGTTTAGGCTTAGTTGTAGAGTTAGGTTGAGGTTTAACTCTTATCCTGCCACAGGCTAATCCCCCCAGTGCCAGATTTATAACGAGATAATCGGATTAACGCGATGGTACTTACAATAGCGCGTGCAAAACACTAGGCACAGTCCAATGGGCATGAACAATAACTGCTATTACGAATGTTTGCTAGCATGCAAGAAGCAGCGTAACAATAGCGTGCACGCAGCCTCATGGCAGGCTATGAGTTAAGGTTAGGTTTAGGTGTGGGGTTAGGTTAAGGTGTGGGGTTAGGTTTGGGTAGGTTAGGATAATGATTAGGTTTATGTGTGGGGGTACTTTGGGGGTAGGTTAGGGTTAGGTTTAGGGTTAGGTTAACGTAAGATTAGGTTAGGATTAGGGTTAGGTACCATGTTAAGTCTAGGGGTGAAGTTGAGAATGCTGTGACTGTAGGACATTGCACATGGAGAAATTGTCACCATAGCATACAACTAATTGGCAACCAGGGTAGTAAAGTCTAAAGTGCCATGTGTGTCACAACAGGAAAGATATGAGCCGTATATAAGAAGCCATTGTTATTATAAGTAATAGAATAATTCTTCTCTGCTTCAATTTTACAGGACTTTGAGAGAGAACTAGTGGTAAGACAGCTGCGTTACTCTGGCATGATGGAAACTATCAGGTAATTTTTCTTTTGCAACCAAGTAGGAGTGTATAAAGAACAAAACCTGTTATTCCAGGGACAGAAAATTCTTTTGAATATTCATTTTGAAGGTAGAAGTCACTGATATGACAGAAAGGTCTGATGCATTTATGCCTACTTTTGAAAGATCCTCAGGGTCATAGCAGATTTGTTTTATCGACAATTAATGAGAGAAAATGAGAGGAAACAGAGTTTTTATATACATGTTCAAATAGATGTACATCTTCATTTTAGTTGAGATGTTTCTTTTAAAAAACATTCACAGCACTTAGGAATTTTCAAAAGAGAACATAAGAATTTATATGAATAATCTATACTCTGTGGTCTGCATTCATCTACATCAGTTAAATCCAACCTTTTGTCAAAATTCATGTTTAATAAGCAGGGGAGTGTTTCATAAAGTTTTTCGTAAAGTTATGCATGACTTTACGAATGACTTACATATGCAAAGCCAAATGGGATGCTTAATCATTATTAACTGCATCAAGTAAAGTTGAACTGTGCAGATGTAGATTAACATTCTTATTATAACAAACATTTTTAATGCAAAGTACATTTATTTGCCATAATTTGATTGAGGTTATTGGAAATTAGTCACACTTTGTTAAAACATCAGGAAAAACGTTGGGCATCCTATCTGCCTCTTCATATACAAGCTGTTCGTAAAGCCATGCGTAACTTTACAAACAGCTTTATGAAACACCCCCCAGAAAACATAGACTTCAGACTCAATTCAAACCTCGGACAAAAGTCTGAACCCAGTGTCAGGTTTAAATGTTAGTGCGATATTGGCCTCTTTTCCCTGAGCTGAGTTGTATTTTTGCCAACTATGATCTTCTTTCGTTCAGGATCCGACGAGCGGGATACCCCATCCGTCACACCTTCTCCGAGTTTGTCGACCGCTACCGGATGTTGGTACCAGGGATCAAACCATCCCAAAAGGAAGACTGCATTGCTGCTTGTAAGAAGATTGGTAAGGCATTCCTCGCAGGTGAGGACTGGCAGCTCGGAACCAAGAAAGTCTTCCTCAAGGTAAGATCCCTGTATTTAAAGCCCCACTGTACTACTTGTAGCTACCTGCTCCCTCTACATAGAAAAAATGCCTAAGCGGTGACCGTTGTTCCCCCATGATCCTCTTTTTCTTATGTTAATGGAGAGCTGAGTTGATGAGATAGCCACCTGTCAGCGACCACCCTGGGTGGTCTAAACCGTCCTGGCCAAACTAGTACAGACAGGCTTTAAGTTATTATTATTATTATTGTTATTATTATGCAATAGGCAAAGACAGAATCAATAAAAAAGTGATTACTAAACAACAGCATAGAGAGGTGGCCACTAGGACAGGTTTGATTGTTTTTAGTCTAATGAGAAATCTAATCGCTTCAATGACAAATCCCACCGCTGCCACCATTGTATGAGTTCCACAAGATTTCTGTTGTTGTGCATGCAAACTGTCTATTCAGACATACCTTAGTACAAGGATAAACCACAGTTTAATGGATTGGACACAAAACAGCAGGACAACACTGGGCAGTACTATATGTGAGTACAGAGTACACCCACTCTGTGTTCATCTCATACATTTTTACATGATTTTTGTGTCGATTTGATTAATGTAGGAAGGTATTTTCAAAACTTCACATTATCCATATTGTCCAAAAAATCCTATGTGACTCAAGATCGGAATTCGATTTCAATTTAAGGAATAAGATTTGAAAGAATATTTTTTGGTTTTAGGATATGCCAGAAACTTCACACATTGACAATATCTTGCTCATTTTATTCCCCCTTCAGGATGCACAAGACTTGCACCTTGAGAGCGAGCGAGACAAGGCACTCACCGCACAGTGTGTCATCATCCAGAAGGTCTTCCGCGGCTGGTTCTACAGACGGCGTTTCCTGCAGATGCGCTCAGCTGCCATCACCATCAGCAAGGCATGGCGAAAATACGCTCAGAGAATCCGCTACCTCAAGGTACGTTCATATTCTTTTTTTGAGAGTATCTGTTATGAGAATACTTTTTTTCAAAATGTAAAGCCTGACTGTATACCATAACTTTATGTGGAAAGGGGGGTTGGATGATATTTTGCCTAAGTGACATTTGCTCCCTGGCTTTATTCGTGAAAGATATAGGGTAAGGTCTTGAATTGCTAATGGATTTTGATTATGTTGACATCAGCTATTAGGGTTAAGTAGAGTGATACAGTTCTGGCTTAAAGTGTTAGAATTTAGTCGCAGAGAGACAGGACAGGTTTTTTTTAAGAGCAAAGTTGATCACATGCTGTTCTTCAAATTTACAACAATGAGTTTTCCCTTTATTGCTACATGCATCATCTCTGAAAACAACATACATGGGTAAGGACTCAGTCGAACAGTTGGAAGGAAAAAAGGGGACAGTTTTGATTTTAAAAACAGTGATTTTGAACCACTCAATGTGTTGCCAACTCATGGATTTTAAAGATTATTTTCTCCTTTTTTCAATTCCTGGCATCAAATGGATGCAAATGTGCCGAATTTTTTCTCTTACTTCTCATACATCTGATATATTTGTTGGCTCTAAATCAGAAGCTTTTGAGCCAAACCACAGCATGTGAAATGACTGTCTCACAAGGTTATTATAACATCTGCAATTATCATGCAATGTCCTCATTCTACCTCTACCTGTTTTAGATGAAGAGAGGATTTCTCAGACTTCAGGCTGTCCTACGAGCCAGGATCTTGGCTTACAGATATGAGTTTACAAGGAGGAGAATCAGAGGTTTCCAGGTATGATTGTCTACATTCCGTTTTTTTTGCATTGTTCTGTTTGTGCTCGCTGTTGTTAGAATGTATTTTTTTAAAGGTCCTCTTATTGAAGTGTACTTATCACCAAATTATAATTATTTTGTATGCTATTAGTTCCCTGTCTTGCAATTTTTATTTAAACATACAATGTATTTCTTTTAGACAAAAATAATTTTCTTTATACTTTTGTAAAAATGAGACATATCCATGCCCATTTGATACACCTATAGGTAGTAAAGATATTGATTGTATACTTTTAACAGGCCCATGCCAGGGGCTTCTTGATTCGGCGGACAACCAGGAAATATCGCAGTAGCATCGTCAAAGTCCAGGCAGGATTCCGCATGGTGTTAGCCAGGAGAAAGTACAAGAAACTTGTAACAGAGGTAAGGCCAGTTTTCATCTTGAAAATTAGTTTGGTGTAATAAGAAATCTTTGAGGAACAGTTGATCATCGGCCAAAACGTGACCTTAAGTACATGTATAATTTGTATTTTAGGAGAGATAACAATCTCTCACTTTAAACCATTACAGTTTTATGAGGTGTGTACATAAATATATGACTTTAATATAGCTAGGGCGTAGTCCCTGAATGCATTATACCTCCTACATTTACATTGTTTTGATCTATAGATGTTTTTTCATTGTCATGGGCATAGTTAGAATAAAAAGTCGCCTACTACATGAACGTGGGCTCGTATTCGATCTCTAAAATTGTTTGATTGTCATGTTCTATTGTAGCACCGTCGTCGTGTGGAAGCAGAGAGGGTACGCAAGGAGGAGGAGGAGAAGCTGAAACGAAAGCTGGGAGCTAAGAAGGCTAAGCAAGAGGCTGAAAGAAGGGCTAAGGTAAATAGCAAAAATTAATATGTTAGTCGTCCAGCTGAAAGAGAGGGGGGAGGGGGCTTAGTTAAAAACAGGATTCATGATTGCTGCATCTCCAAAGCACCATCAACAGTTACATCATGTACATCTGAAGATTGACGATGATAACATCATTTCAATTTCACCATCTGTTCGCATATTGAGTGTTACCTTTGACATGAATATGTCGGATCATGTTTCAAATGTATCACTATCTATTAATTTCCACTTACTTAACCTCCGTAGAATAAGGAAGTTCATAGCTAAAGATTCTTCACATGCGGTCGTAAGATCTCTTGTTCTGTCTCCTCTAGATTATTGTAATTCACTATTCATGGTATATCGCTTAAAGATCTCAACTCCCTTTAACTACTCCAAAATAAAGCAGCACATCTCCTTCATTGTATACTAAAATCTTGCCATGTCTCCCCTGTCGTGACTGATCTTCACTGGCTTCACGTTAATAATGGTATCATACATAAGACCTTAATATTTGAAGTAATTTTTTTTCTTTAGGCTCTTCTCCTGGAGCAAGAGAGGATGGACAATGAGCTTGAGGAGCAGGAGAAGCGTCAGAGGATGGAAAAGGTCTACGCCATCGAACAGGCAGAAAAACGTCGCAATCAACCACGGACAGACGTAGAGGTGGTGGATGAACTCTTCGGAGACATCGATGGAAATGAGGAGACGGGACAGGCACCAAAAGGATTTGAGGTAAGGTACATGTAGCATCGAGAAATATAAAGTTAAGACACATCCAGAATGCAAAAGACTTAATTACTTGGTGTTATCTTGGAATATTAAATCTTGACGCATCTGCAAGGCCGTTGCTATATTTCTGGCTTAGTCAAGGTAGTAGTCCGAACAACAAGGTTATTTCTTAGAGACCAAGCTTTCTTAGCTGCTCCACCATGTTTATGAAACCAATAACTAACTCATGTAAGTTTCTTTGAAATTTTGACGTTCTTCAAGTGGAATCTGAAGACACTCCTCTTTTTGAAAACGTACATTACCTGCATGTAATTCAACACAAATTTGCATAATTCTGTAATGTATGGTATTTCTTCTTTCTTACTTTAGTTAAATTTATAGTATGACTAAGAAAAGTTTAACTTAATAGATGGTGCAATAAAATTTTGCGACGGTTTTGGCGCACCATATCTGAACAAGCCTTTAGTCATTAGGCAATGAACATAGAGTTAATATTTGAAACTATCTATGTGTTTTCTTTAGGATCTGGAGATGTCTCACCAAAATGCAGTCATCGCAGGTGAATTCGACGCCATGAAGCCTTACGTGCCGGATAACGACGAAGACATCTCGGAGTATCGGTTTGAGAAATTCGCTGCAACATACTTTGAGGCTGGGCACACGAAGTTTCACATACGCAAACCCATTCATGAGCCGCTGCTGGATCTGAAGAATGAGAATGATCGACAGGTAGGAGCGTACATTCTCTGCTAGGAAGAGCTCTAGAAAGCTATGTAAATTTCAAGCTAGTCCTTAGGTTGTCCTTTGTACTCAATTATATCTTTGTTTTTGTGTCTGGCAAAGGAAATGCTGAGGATATTGATACTAATTATAGTAATGATAATGATTAAGATATGATGATAATGATGAGGATCATTATAACAATAACAACATCAACAACAATAACAATCATAATAATAATAATGTGAGGGTTAAGGTTAGGATTAGGGATAGTGTTAGGAATAAAGGTTATGATGAAATGTGTGTGGGGGGGGGGGGAGGAGCGGGCTCTGTGCAGTTGTTTCAATCAATTGACATCGTCTTGGGTTTAAATCCTGTCTGTGAAACATGCCAAATACATGTACATGTTCATTACTGACTAAAATTTTAGTTGTGACGATTTGGAAACAATTCTAATGTAGCACATAAGCTGCTATTTAACTTGCTATTTGTATTTTACTTAATATGTCTCTCTTTCCTTTCATGCAGGCTGCCCTAGCTGTTTGGATCATGATCTTGAGGTTTATGGGTGATCTTCCAGAGCCAAAGGCATCTGCTTCAATGGCTGACAGGGTAAGACTAATCTGTCTCTCTTCCCTTGTCTGTCTTGTTAGGATTTAACCCACTGCCTACCGGAAGTAGGTTTCTGCAGTGTTAAACCCTATGGGAATAATAGCATTCAGTAGTCAATGTACTGTGATTTATTAAATTTTAGAAATTATTGTTATGCCAACTTTGTGTAACTTAAGTGCTCAAGAGAGGATAGAGAAAAAAGGTAAGGACATGAAAATATACATGTAATAACTTACAAAGGGAAAGGAAATCAACTACATGACAGTTTGGTCAAATGAGTTTGAGGCCATTTTCAGAACAGTGTACTTCATTGTTCATACTTTATTTTTATGTAATAACTGATGATATACATCATCTATGCAGGTAGATGCTTGCAGGGCAGTGGGCTATGTTTTTAACTTTGGCCCTCTTTTGAAAAGTATGATAAAATGAATTATACAGGAAGTTACACTCCCACAGTCCTTCATAAATAATAATGTAAATATATTTAAGAATTTCTGTATCATAGATATCTTGCACTTTGAAAAGTGTGATCAAATATGTTATTAGAAAGTTATACTCCCCAGGGTGCTACAAGAATTTTTTTTCACCACTTGCCCTGTCGGGCAAGTGGGTTTTCAATTTACTTGCCCAAACAATATTTCCACTTGCCCAAAACTTTAAAGCGAAAAAGGACTCGAGGTTAAAGCATTTATTATCTCGTAATGATAAGTTAGTGTTTTAGATAGCAAATTAATGCACATACATGTACAGTGTAACTGTACTGAATAATAACCTAATATGTCAAAGAAAATGGTCAACAAAGGATGGTTGAAGGTTTAAAAAACGCATTTTATTGATTCTCCATAAATAATCAGATTCACATGAATCTCGGCAAGGTAGAATGGTTCAAGCAGGTTTAAGTTTTTAATATTCAGTCATGTAAAAAAGCATAATGACCCTGTTGTAAAAAATATGATACAAACATGTCATTAATGGTAGCCACATGTACCATGGTGCAACATCACATGTGTGTCTGTGCAAGCCGCTGTCATTTGGAAACGTAGGCTAATTTTCAGCTGTTAATAATTTGGGTCAACTCTTCCATCAAGAAACGTCATGTAAATAATGGGTAATCAACTATTTTAAATAAAGTACGGACATTTTTATTTCATCATTCACTGCTATAAATATCATGCCAAAATTTGTAAATTCTTACTAAATAATAATATTGAAGATATTTTACGATAAATCTCGGATAAGTATGCGAAAACTAGACTAAACAACGTCGCTAAAACCATGAAAACAAAACAACAACGGCTTATATTCTGGGGGTCTCGATACTATTATCAAAATGACTCGCTCGGTCGGATCTTGAGACCGCAGTAATAAATTGAAAACGAGACAAAAACATTCATCTGATTTATATGAGCAGCGAGTTTTAAATAATATGTTCACAATCATTAACAGTCATTATGAATAAATATCAAACATTTGACTTTTTGTACTTACTAGAAAATCCCTGTTGTTTATTCCATTCCGATTCGCACGTGTTCATTTCCCTAGAATAATGACGTCATATTTGGCGTGATTCAACCAATCGGCAATCAGAGAATAGCAAAGGCCTGTCGGTGCGGCCTGCAGAGCTAGAGAGAGAGAGCGCGAATAAGCTCGCAGCTGGTACGATCGCGCTAGCTGTCTCTAGCTAGCTCACGGCCGGCCGTGCGTGGAGGCGGAGCGGCATTCATGGCTTGAAGTGTCACTGTTGCATGCGCGCTGAGCTAGCTGAGCTGGCTAGCTGTCTGTGAAGTTTTTTCGAAATCGGAACGATCGCTTTTTTGCTTCTGGATTTTGACGACGGAAGTTGACGGGTGAATGGTAGAGTTCTTGGACACTAGGAAATTACTGTAAAAGTATCACTTGCCCGAATCGGGCAAGTGATAATTTGATTTACTTGCCCGACGGCTCAATTTGGTTGCCCCGGGACGTCGGGCAAGCGGGTTTGTCGCGCCCTGCTCCCACAACCCTACAACTGAGTGATGTTCTTTTTTTAATTTGTAGGATGGCAAGTCTGTGATGACCAAGATCTACAACACTTTAGGAAGGTCGAAGGGCAAACAAACAGCTGAACAGATGATGATTGGAGATGACATGATTGTAAGTTTCTTTTTCTCTTCTTCTTCTTCTTCTTCTTATTCTTCTTCTTCTTCTTCTTCTTCTTCTTCTTCTTCTTCTTCTTCTTCTTCTTCCTCTTCCTCTTCCTCTTCCTCTTCCTCTTCCTCTTCCTCTTCCCCTTCCTATTCCTCTTCCTCTTCCTCTTCCCCTTCCTCTTCCTCTTCTTCGTGTGCCCCTCCTTTTGAAACCCAATTGGTATATCATACATTACTAAGAACAAAATTTGCCCCTATGATCATGTTATGTTGGGTATTGTGTCCCTCTTTTACAAAATCCTGGATCTACCCCTTTTATCATTGAAAGGTATAGATACCTGGAATGCATGTATGTATTCAGGATTTATCCAGACAGTTTCTTGTGGAAGATATCGTTTGTGTATTGGGTCTAAATCATTTTTGTCATGTACATCCTACACATCCTCCCCATCCCCCTCCCCCCCCCCCGAAAAAAATGTAAACACAGATTGAGGTGAGAGGGAACGAGTTGCAAGTAGATCCTGATACTAAAGCAAGTGTCGATGTTTCATGAGCTGATTGGGTGAGGCAGATGTGGCAGTCACAGAATATATTTAAAATATCAGTACAATTCATTTTTGGGCTACTACATAGCTCATTTGGAGAGAGATCCTTATTGCTTGGCAATCTAGTGGTGGCAAGTGAGAAAATCTGACAAAATTTCCTGTCAATTGTCTTTCGCTATGCAGCCTAATGATGTGCCTAACTCTGGGACCACTGGTCGCAACAAGAACACGATGAGACGTAAGCTGGTTTCCATGACACTCAAGAGGAAGTCCAAGATCAGCCAGGAGATGGCCCAGAGGATTCAAGATGGAAACGAGAATGACGTCGGTAACAGTATGCTGATTGATAGACCGACCTCTAACCTGGAGAAACTTCACTTCATCACAGGCCATGGGCTCCTCCGTCCAGAGCTCAGGTAAATGATAATATCATGATGATAGTAAGCAAATAATTACCGTTGGGACAAACTATCACTTCCGAGGCGATCTGGATGTAGCTTTCTTTCCGAAGCAAAGCCGAGGAAAGATAGCATATACATTCAGATCAAGGAAGTGATAGTTTGCTATCGCCTGAAACCAAAATATGATTATTTGCTTTATATTCCACATCGGAAACATTTCACTTCTTCCGTTATTTTAGAGTGGCAAGATAGTCTTCAGTGAAAGTACGTTGCACTGTATAGATAGTACTACTATCTACACAGTGCAAAAAAAAATTCTTCTCCCATCAATGATGGGCGCACTATCTTTCATCACATGATTTACTTGTGACCAATCGTAGCGCAAGATTCTCTGTATGTGGAATATAACACTTATTAATGATGATAGTTATAGTAATATTAATAGTCATCAGTAATAGAAATGACAATAATAATAGGCCAATGGAAATAGTAATCAACAATAATCATAGTAATACTAAGAGTAATATTAATAGCAATAGTTTTTCCATGAATGTCATAATGTACTGCAACAGCAATTGAATCCAATTTGTCTTTAATATTTGATCTTTCTGATCATCTACTACATGGGCTTCATAGCATTCTTGATGAAAAGACGACAACAAAGGTCAATAAAACGTGACACTATTCATCTGAGGGTTCAACTGTCCATCTCTTCTCTCCATTAACCACCTTCTTATTTCTCTTTCCTTCCAGGGATGAGATCTACTGCATGATCTGTAAACAGCTGACCAACAACCCTTCTCAGACCAGTCTACCTCGTGGTTGGATCCTCCTCTCCCTCTGTGTGGGATGTTTCGCCCCAACCGATAGGGTAGGATACAGTCTCTCATTCCTCCTCTCATCTTTACTTGAATATTTCCCAGAAGGAAGAATAATTATGTCAATGCTAACCTGGAGCCAGTAAATTCTATTAAAGCTCCACTGCACTACTTATAGCTACTAATGGTCACCGATGATCCCCTTTTTCTTACATTAAATGAGAGCTGATTTGATGAAATAACCACAGAGTGTCAAATTTGAATGAACATACAATTTACATGACTAAGTCTTTGTTTGATCAAAATCGGTTCAAAGAAGGCTGAAATATCCATAAATATATTCAATAATTTTGAACCAGCCGTTGAAAAAATGAGATAGCATCTTATACGTTTTATTCCAGCCAATGACATTACAGGATTTTTGTTGGCTTTTGCGTGTTAATTATAATACGCACAACCAGCTGGCCCATGTATTGTCATTAATTTTAATAAATAATTAATTAACTGTCACCATATTTTTTAAAAGTGGAGCTGAATTGGTATGATCGTATTTAATCTAAATCACACATTTTGGGTTAAAAAATTACAATGTGGCGCCCAGAGATTATTTGTTTGGCATTTAAAGAGTTATAAACTTCTTCTGCTGCCTATAGTTTGTGAAGTACCTGCGCTGTTTCATCATGACTGAAGGACCACCTGGGTATGCAGCCTACTGTGAGGAGAGACTAAGGAGAACCCTAGCCAATGGCACCAGGAGTCAACCACCCAGCTGGCTCGAACTTCAGGTACGCATCATAAACAAAAAAACTTTTTATCATGGGAGATTTTGAAAAAAGAATCTTTTGTAGTTGATGTTAGATTTCCTCACCAAAAATAGTTACAAGAGCCCATTTGGATTTTTCCAGTGCTGTATGTAGTGCTCATTGCTCCCTTGTATTTGTATCACCATGCAGTACCTAATTATCATATTCTATAGCATGGTAACATGATAAAATACTTTGATTTATCATAAGGCCCCAACCATATTCCTTAGTTCGTTCTGTCTGCACTAAGGCTTGCGATAGCTGGAACCCTTCGGGGAGAAAGGAGGCTGTTCCTTTGCTCCAGAAACCATTTCAAAGAATTCTCCCAGATGAATTTGTTTTTATCTCTCGAATTTTTTATTTGCCTTTATAGAAAAGTGTTGTATATTCTATCATCGTCATGTTTTGAAAATTCAAATGCTGTACTCATTGGCAGTGTCCAGTATAATCAACATGTATGTCTGCATTTATTGATGTTTATTTGTTTTAAAGCATATATTTATTTGTTAGGATATTATATTATATTATTCATTTATAACCAGGCTACCAAGACCAAGAACCCCCTGATGTTACCCATCACGTTCATGGACGGAACAACCCGTACCCTACTGGCTGACTCTGCTACCACCGCCAGGGAACTCTGTCAGCTCCTAGCCCAGAAGATTGGATTGAAAGACCAGTTTGGCTTCTCCCTTTACATCGCTCTCTTTGAGAAGGTAGGATCATTTTTTTTAAATTCCATGTGTGGTGCATTCCATAAGGTCGTCTTCATTATTGAATCATCTAAAAAAATATGATGGACATGGAGCTAAATTCAATTATGAGCTATTCTTTTAATAAGGTCGAATCTACAAAATACACTATTGTTGTCTTTTATATTGGTCTAACACCTGTTCTCAGGCTTGGGTAATATTATGAATTGTTCAGCCAAGCCAAGAATTTGCTTTTAATATAAGTCATTCTTTTGAGAGTTTATTGCGATAACGTCTCGATTAAGCAACCACCTGTCTATATATAAAGACCACACCCTCTGTTCCTATTGAAAATGGCTTCTCATTGAAATATTAAGACCACCTGCCTTTAAAGACCTCTCTTCTTGCCTCTCTGGAGGGGCCTTTATATACAGGTTTCACTGCGTATCACTCATGAGATGTCTCTTTCGATATCACTTACAGGTATCTTCGCTTGGTAGCGGGGGAGACCATGTTATGGATGCTATCTCGCAGTGTGAGCAGTACGCCAAAGAGAAGGGAGCGCAGGAGAGGAACGCTCCCTGGAGACTCTTCTTCAGGAAGGAGATATTTGCCCCCTGGCATGACCCCACGGCTGACCCCGTCGGTACCAATCTGATCTACCAGCAGATCGTGAGGGGCGTCAAATTTGGAGAGTACCGGTGTGATAAGGTATGATGAATGGAAGTGGAGGGTATGATAATCGTGGGGGTGTTGGTAATGGTGACGTTGATGATAGTGATAATGAATATGATGATGTTGGTTGTGATGATGATGAGGAGGATAACGATGATAATAACGCTGATGATGATGATGATGATGATGATGATGATGATGATGATGATGATGATACTGATGATAGAGATAATAACGATGATGGTGACAAGGATTGAGGAGGAGGAGGGTAAAAATGATGTTGAGGAAGATGGTGTTTATAATGATGATATTGATCAAAATAATGAGTGATGATTATCATGATGTTGATAATCATTAGTAGGAAAAATGATGATGATAGAGCTCATGTTGTTTGCTTAATATTGATTCTTTGTTTACTGCTTGTCACATTGATCAAGATCTACTTTCTTTAATTCTGTTTGCCGTCTTTCTTCCATCTCGTAACAGGATGAAGACTTAGCAGCCATTGCCGCTCAGCAATACTATGTGGAATACAAGAGTGATATGTCGTACGAGCGCCTGCTGAAGCTGATCCCATCCTACATACCGGATAACGCCATGACAGGAGCCAAGACAGCTGAGAGATGGGCTGGAATGATCAGCAGACAACACACAAGTGTAAGTCACCTTTGACCTTAACTCTTGAACTTATCAATGACCTTTGACATGCTATTGACATGCTATGAATGTCAACGTCACCCAAGGAGAATGATAAATTGGATTCTATAGAAAGATGGCGTATTTGGACATGTTCTACAAAACATATATCTTCAGAGAGCAATAAGTATAGAGCCAATTGAAACTTAAATAGCTGGGCAATAATAGTTTTTTACCTTTCAATTAACCAAACTACCGATGGCTTTTTGAGGGTTGAGACAAAGTTAAACGATCGACATGTCCACTGTAAGAACTGTTCTATCATACAGTAGCTGATTTTCATCAGTTACCATGTAGATCTTTTGAATACTTCCAAATTGAGGATAGAATCAATTAGATGTTTCATTCAGCCATTGTTTTTTGAGGACATTCTGCAGTAATGTTCATGCAGACCTTAGCAGTGCAGGGCCAGCTGATCATGTTTTACTATTATTCACAATATCAGGAACTAAAGACATTGTGCATGGTGAATATAATAAAAAGCTGGTCATGTGATGCTAAGGTGCTCACCAGCATTACTACAGACAATCCTTGATGAACATTTTGAAATATATTATCATGATAACAATAATATAACAGTTGGAAAGCAGTTTCTTTTAACTGAATCAGATTACCCTCCACTGTTTTTATCAATTGTAGTAAATAAAACATGATTAAATGAATAAATAAATAAATGATAATAAATAATAATAAATATCAAAATATTTGTCATCCACAGAGCTACTACGTCAAAGACCAAGAGAACCCAGTCCGAGTCAAGGAGGACGTGGTGAGGTACGCCCAGCTTCGATGGCCGCTTCTCTTCTCACGCTTCTACGAGGCTTACAAGTTCTCCGGTCCAAGCCTGCCCAAGAACGAGGTCATCATCGCGGTCAACTGGACCGGAGTGTACGTGGTCGACGACCTCGAGCAAGTTCTCTTGGAGCTGTCCTTCCCGGAGATCACACAAGTGTCAAGCAGCAGGTATGAGAAAAATACAGTCACTGATCTGTATTTGCATTTAACGAACTGCTCACAAGTTTCTATGGGCAGCTGGCCTTTCAGTAGGCCTATGGGTTTCAATGAGAAACATTGTTCAAGTGATACGATAAACGTGGCTTTTACTGACAGGTGGTGTTTTTGTATAGCTTTCATTGTATATCAGTTTCCAAATTTGTACATGTATTTATGCCAATATGTATGTCATTCATACTGAGTCATGGGACTAGCAAATTGCTAGAAAGAAGGTTTTTTGAAGAGGAGGGTATATTGGATGGATGGTCAGAGCTTCATTCTGCTGACAGAATAAGTTATTTGACCGAGTTTTATTCTTGCCATTATTGAAGATGGATCAGTTACATGGTCAGTGCTTTCACATTTGAGTGTATAGGTACTGTGACCTTCGACCTTTATTATTATTATTTATTTATTTATTTGACCAATTGGAAAACATACAATGAGTATAACACTCAGATAATACATAGAAATTTCATAATACATGCAAACAGCTTCAGGAAAGTGGAGGGGAGAGAGAGAAGGATACAATTGAATGGTATGGTATGGTATGGTATGGTATTTATTGACACATGTATCGCAGTTACATATACTGAATTGCACATTGATATACATTGCATTTAACAAAATTTAAAACAGTATAATTTACATAATTATAAGTACACGTATTACGTCACATAAAGGTAAGAGGTTAAAAAGGGAAAGGGAGAGAGAGAGAGAGAGAGAGAGAGAGATATATAGAGGAGAGAGGGGGAGGAGGAGAGAGGGATGGAAAGTAAGAAAAATAGAAAGAAAGGATAAGAGACCGAGAGATATAGTGAAGAAAGAGAAAGAGCAGGAAAGATAGAAAGATGGAGAAAGAGAGAAAAAGAGAGAGAGAGGAAGGAGAGAGAAAGAGAAAGAGAAAGAAGTAAGAGAGAGAGAGAGAGAGAGAGAGAGTGGCAAGAGGTAAAGAAGGGGGAGGAGAGAAGGGGAAATTGTTATTACTCGAAAGCACGTCACCCCCCTTTTTCTCTTTCTTCCAGAACGGGTAAGTTGCATGGCCAGAGTTTCACCCTTCTGACGGTGAAAGGCGAAGAATTCACCTTCACATCGTCCAACGCTGAAGACATCAGGGATCTCATCGTCTACTTCCTGGACGGACTCAAGAAGAGATCCAGATACGTGGTGGCGCTTCAGGACTGTCCAAAGCATAGTGAGTCATGCACTGCTCAGAAAACCTAATATTGATTCTATGATAATAATAATATGGTTATTTATTTAGTGCCAGTATCTGCCAGACTCTGATGCTCATGGCACTTTACACATATTACACTGGTTATAGCCGAGCTGCCAAAGTAACTAGCGCTCAAGCATATCAAGTACCCATTTACAACCGGGTGTAGAGTGGCAAATGTAGATTAACATCTTGCCAAAGGTCATTAGTGCCATGGGCTCGTCACTAGTGACCCAAACTTTGCTCCAGACTTTATTTCGCTTAATGTATAGGGTTAGGGTTGCACTCGGGTAATAGGTTAGGTTTAGGGTTAAGGTTGGGGTTGGGGTTGAAGTTGAGAGATGGTCATTTTCTATGTGCAGAAGGCCATAATTTGCCGACACCAGACTTTGTGGAAATGGGTGTACATGCAAGTCCTGCACACAGCAAACTTGTGGTCCCATCAAGAAATACCCCTTAGTCTCTCAGAGAGTCTTTGGGTAAGGGAAATGTAAGATAGTGAATTTACCATATGGTGGGATGAGTGGAAAATGCAGTGCATTACATAATGATATATCACATATTATAAGATGATGACGTGGATCCTAATCAAATGATTGGTTAAGAGCGTATACGTGACCAGGCATTTATTTTGCCTAACACGTAATTTGGAAAATGACCGGTCATTATCAAAATCATGTCATAGAATATCATTTGTAAAACAATTAAACATAAAATAAGACAAATAATACACATCATTTTGTTCGGGCATTAGTAAAATTACCCAGACTTTGTACTTTCAAAATAGTCCAAACACCCTCGGCTATTGCCCCGGGCGTGTTAGACTGTTCCAAAGGTACCTCATGTTGGTTATTCTTACTAATGCCCTCACTGCTGTGTATTATTTGTATAATATCATATTTCTGAATATTATCCACAGGTCAAGGGTCATCTTATCTGAGTTTCCAGCGTGGAGATCTGATTGTCCTGGAGCAAGAGAATGGTGACCAGGGGATGAACCAAGGATGGTGTTATGGTCAGAATGACCGCACAGGACAGAAGGGGGACTTCCCTTCAGATTGCGTCTATGTGATGCCAACCAAGACCAAACCACCCAATGAGGTTGTGGTAAGTCGATAGGGATTTAACTCCATGGTAATGCTGGTGGTGGTGGTGAATATGATAATCATAGTGGTGGTGATGATGATAAGGAGGAGGGTATTGATGTTGGTAGTGATGATGAAAATGATGAGGATGATGATAATGATGATCAGGCTGATCATTGTGATAAAATTGAGGAGGAGGTGAAGATGGAAGAGAAGAAGAAGGTGAATAATGATGATGGGGTCAATGGAGAATTTTAATTTCATGACCAAATATGTATCAGCTTGTAAAGACCTTTTTAATGATATAATTTTCTTTATGATTTTAAAGTAACAAATTCTTTTTCATACATTTGAAAGTTTGATATTAGAAATCAGAAATGTGATTTACTAAAAAATTTGGGGTTATAAAAACACCTATATTTCAATGATTTTTACACACCATAAATCCATCCATTCAAACAATCTTTCTTGATTAAACATATAACGTATATATCTATATCAAGATTGTAAAAAAATATATTTTCATAATCATTCACTTTTAAAGTTAATCACGTAAAAAAGTATTATTGTTCCTGATTTTTGCATGTGTTTACTCCGTATTAGTGTATAAATGCAAAATATGTGGTTATGGGGAATCATAATAGAATAGAAATAAAACTATCCTTTTCTGTCATTTTGAAAAATGTTTCATTTCAAATCCGCCTCCCTCCCATGTTATGTTTCAGGCTTTGTTCACAATGCACCCTGCGGAGATGGCTGACCGAACCATTGGACCTGCTGATATTGCCATGAGTCAGGATATACCAAACAAACAACATACACTGGAAGAATTCTCCATTGATCATTTCAGGTACCAGCTTTAATATTTTACTTCTATTTCTTTATTGATTCTTGGTAGACCATTTGGTATCTCCACATTTATTTTTGGGGTGTAAATGTCACATCTAGTTTAGAATGACACCTCATATTTTTGTTATAAGGATTAAATTTGAACTGTTAAAAGGAACATTTATAATGGAACTCAAAAACAGACCAGGCATCAAAGATGAACTAAAAAAAGAAGAAAAAGAAAACAAAAAGAAAACAAAACAGATAAAAATAGACACTAAACTAATTCAAAGATGATTCCCAGTTTAGTACAGTCTAGGATATATTAATAGGTATAGAGTAAAAGAGTAAAAACAGAGACAGACAGAAAAAAGGTTGTTAGAAATAAATTGAGTAGAAAGACAAGAAACAGAAACAGACAGACAGTCAGACAGAGAGACAGATATATAGACAGACAGATGGACAGCCAGATAAACAGAGAGACAGAGTAAGAGTGAGGGGGGAAACGGAAAATCTAACTTTTTTCTCTCAATGCATCTTGCTTTCAGAGCTCCACCCAAGCGTACCATAGGGAAGGCCATGCGTCGTACCAGGGAGACCATCTGGAACCATGCCAAGGAACCCATTAGACAGCCTCTTCTAAAGAAACTCCTTCAAAACTCAGAAGTCTCCATGGAAGCTTGCAGAGTCTTTGAAGATATCCTTTTACCAACAAACATAGTCAAACAACCCGTATAGAAAAACCACCCGTATAGAAAGACCACTTGTCAGAAGACTACATTATTTCTTCAGTTCTGGTCATTTAATTCCATCTTGTGAAAATCATATTTACAATGATATAAAATGAAATTCTGTATATGGTGAAAATGTGTATGTACACTTTTGGAACGAGACATAATTAAGCAAATTACTATTAAACAGAACAACAATGTACTGCTGTTAGAAAATGGAGTATAGAATATTTCTAGTTTCTCATTTAGTCATGTATTAAAGGAATCTTGAGCTTAAACATCCACTGTCTTTAAAGACCGTTCAAGACTTTAAAGACTGCATATACTCGCAATACCAAGTAGCTTTGTCCTTGACTTCTGTGCACCTATTTTGAGATATATGGGGGATTTCCCTGGCAAGAGGATTACCCGACATGGCAACGACCTGACGGACAGGATCTATGAGCCAGCGCTGAAGACGGAGCCTCTCAAGGATGAGGTTTACTGTCAGATCATCAAACAACTCACGGATAACAGGAATGGGTGAGTCCTTTGGATGATATGTTCTTCAGGGAATGTGGAGGACAATGTGAGGGAGCCAGAAAGGACAGCAAAAGAGAGAGAGAGAGAGAAAGAGAGAGAGAGAGAGAGTGAGAGAGAGAGGGGGAGAGAAAGAGAGAGAGAGAGAGAGGGAGGGAGAGAGAAAAAGAGAGAGAGAGAGAGAGAGAAGAGAGGGGGGGGGGGGGGGGAGAGAAATAGAGAGAGATAGAGAGAGAGGGAGAAAGAAAGGAAGAAAGGCCAGCAAGCAACTAAACAACAAAAACAGGCGACTTAATCTGGATTTGGGGGGGGGGGGGCAATCAAGGAATGGGAGAGGGGGAGTCAGATGGATCTACATGTGTAAGAAAGATAGTGACAGAAATAGAGAGAAAAAATGTGCTTGTGTATGTACTTTTATTGTATAGACATGTGGAGGACCGTTTACTGACGTTTGTACGAATCAGCCGGGGGAAGGCAGCCTCAAGCTTCGCTCCCAAATGCCCCAGTAAACCGCCGAGGCAAGATTTAGCATATTGCGCTTCACATGTCTGTATCTTACAATGTCTAACACACATATAAGTTAGTATCTTAGAACCTACAGAGTGTATAGATACTGTTTTTTTCTCCCACTTTCCGACCGTTTACAATTAAATTCTAAAGAAAACATGCCATCGTGTTGTATATGTGAATGTGCCTTTATCCCCTCCATCTGAAGGCACGATACATTGTAGCTTCAGTCTGGTATTACTCAGACCATGCATCTATCATCTGATTTACTTACATTCGAGTTGTTTTGCATTTGTCATTGATCTTTTTCAGACGACTTCATTATAAATTGGGGTGAGTCGGTTGAAGTTGAAGTGCAGTTATATGTCAGGCATTGAGTTGTTGATTCTTGATCTGTTTTCGGGATTTGTCTTGAATTTGTACTGAAATTATCCATTCATAACTGGTTGCATGAAGCCACATACATGCATTACTAGAAAAATGCATCCTGGTATGTACATTTCAACAACTGCAATGGTAGAACCTTCACTACAAATGTATTAAACCTGTGAGGAGTGTGTGCTTACACTACAGTCCACACACGCTATCTCTAAGGAAGATGCCGAGATTTTTATGGCAGGAGCCGTCGGGCCGGAAGGGTCCTTGTGCAGGGGAGTGTATAGCTGTTATCTAGCATTCCTTGCAAATATGTACACTAAAATTCAAATGATATCAGAGAATGATATGACGAAAAAGTAAATATTTGTAATCACTCTCTGAAATATTGTAATCAATCAAAATGGTCACTGTTTTATGCTAGAATTGTAATGGGTTTAGGAGAGGGCTAAATGTTCCATCATCTCTTGCATCAAAATAAGTCTTTGTTACCAGAATATTTTACTTACGTTTGTAAATGATTTGGGTTAAAACATCGCCACCACATCCACAAAGAGAAGGCGAGACCAGCGGGATATGGGACAAATTTGGACTTCATGGTTTATCCATATGTGGACAATCTTTGACATGTATATCAAGCCGTAAAAAGCAACACTTTCTGTAAGAAGCTAAATATTGATTTTGCGACATTTCTTTTATAAAAGAAATTCTAAAAGGTTGGATTTGAAGGACCCAAGAAGGTTTAGTAGGTGAGATAGATGGTGTCACTTTTTTTAAAGCACAGAAAAATCCCAATTTTGCTGTTTTGTTGACTTTGGAATTGAATTGACACCACATGTCGCACATGAAGTGAAGAAGCAAACCACTTTGTATGCAGTAATGAAGAGTTTTGGGGATGCTGTGTTGGGCAAGATGGGACACGCTTTATACAAAATTATGTTTTCCATAATGAGCTTGCAGCCCTTAAGTTACGAATCACAACTTAGAATAGTTGGATAAGAACAAGCCTATCTCTTACTTTCGGGGGTTGTTTTGGGGGGTGACCATGTCATTTATTTGATGTTAGTTACATCTTCAGAGCTTCATAATTATGAATACTTTTGTTGTGTTTAATCATTAATTATTAGCTTTAACATCAGAATGAAAGAAAATCGGTATATCACAGAGTATAATAATGATAATGATAGGGGATTCTTATATAGCACTCATGTCTGTCAGACTCGATTCCTACTGGTGCTCCACAACTTTTACCCCAGCTTAAGCATGGCTGCCAATATGTCTAACTAGCATTTGAAGGAATTAATTCTGCCAGGTAACCACATACCTTTTCTGGGTCGAGTGGGGCGTATGTAGATTAATATCTTGCCAAAGGATGTTAGTGTTGCGTAGGGATTTGAACCATGTATCTTGTGGTTCATAGTCTGGAGACTTATCCACTAGACCACAACACGCCTAGATAAAGGATAGTATATGATCCTAGATCTAGAGGGTTACAGATATTTGGTCATAGCTTTATTTTGTTAATTAAAGGGGATAGGGTAGTCGTTTGGTTTTTAAGGTTGGGTGTAGATTTAAAGTTAGGGTTAGGATAAGGAGTTGCGTCGATTACAGTGTTGCAGCTAGGATCTTTAATTGTTCTTGTACATGTAGGATATTAGCTGTGGAGGAGTTGTCACTGGAGCATTGTATTATATATCAGAAAAGGCAAAAGACCAAGGAGTGAGATGCGTCTTTGAAATGCATCGAAAAGGGTTCTCTTTATTAATACATTATTGAAACATATCATTGTGCATTTTGTCTGCTCATCATTGGTATACATTTGCAATATCTTTGGTTGATGATTGTGAGTGTTTGTTTACCACCGGCTGTGTCGTGTCATGCACGCCTTTCAGGACACCATAGAGTGTATGCAGAAAATGTGAGGAGTTATTGTTGTGAGAGTGATTGTTCAAGTGTCAAGAGCTGATGGACTTTACCCGCTAGAAATGTCATATTTCATCAACATAATAGTGCTGTCCATTTTTTTTAGATTATTGAGGTGCTCAGGTAAAGGTTGGAGTCATTATTCACCTATGTGTTAAAGTGGTATGTTTGGTGTGTTATATTCATGACCATTACAGGGCCATATGTACAGCCATATAGGTCCCTGAAGTTAAGGTAGGTCCATAAAGCATATATATGTACTTGAAAGTTAAAATGTGCTTCTTCCTTGTCTTCCACTTGCCAACCTAGCTCCGATCAGAAACCAAGATAGAAGGGTAACAGCTTCATCTGTTAAATTTGATCAGGAAACTTTGGACATCCCATTCTTTTTGTTAGAGAATGGATGGGATTTTTTGTATTCATTAGGAAAACTTAATTCATATGCTGAATGAATATTTTGTTTTACAATTTGTAAGTTTTATTGACTTACCTGGTCTTACTTTGAAGTGGCATGTTACTGTTTGAGTGGCCAAAACAGGTGATTTGATGTGTGCAGTGCTTTGTGACTGCAAGGAAAAGGCGCTGTATCAAATACCCTTTGGATTTGGAAAAAATCACCAATTGTTTCCCTGTTCTGTTTCAGACTGAGCAATGAACGTGGCTGGGAGCTGATGTGGCTCCTGACCGGTATCTTCGCCTGCAGTCAGACCATGCTACCGGAGGTCACCAAGTTCCTACGCTCGGCTCGCCACCAGCTGGCCCTCAACTGCCTCAACCGGCTGCAGAAGACGATGAGGTTCGGCCAGCGCAAGTACCCTCCTCATCTGGTGGAGGTCGAGGCTATTCAGCACAAGACCACTCAGATCTTCCACAAAGTCTACTTCCCTGATGATACCGATGAGGTGAGTTTTGAAGTTTAATTGACTCGATCCTTCCGTGTCATGGGCAGCAAATTCCACAATCCCTCCCAACAATGTCAATTCCACAATCTAAGATGTTAATTCCATAATCCTTCCCCAAGATGTAAATGCACGTTAAATCTAAATATGTCCATTGGTTTCTTTCCAATCAAGAAACAGATATTGAAAGATGTTTGAAACAAAACAAAACAAAGAAAGAAATGCTTAAACCCAGAGTTAGAAAAGTGGAATAATTTGATTATTTATTCCCACCTACATAGTACTTAAAGTGTAAGCATTAATATATAAACACACAATACACAAAATAGTGTAAGCAATATTAACAACATACAATACACCAAATAGTGTAAGCATTATTAAGAACACACAATACACCAAATAGTGCAGCATTAATAAGAACACACAATACACGAACAAAATCCTAGCAGTAGAGACAGATAACTTTATTGTGGTACCTGAGATTTCTTTACATTTTTGACCAATGACACATGTTCATCTCATTTCTAGGCCTTTGAGGTAGACTCTGGAACCAGGGCCAAGGACTTCTGCCGTAGCATCAGTACGAGATTGAGACTTGTCTCACCAGAAGGGTTCAGTCTCTTTGTCAAGATTGTTGATAAAGGTAAGCAAGGATTGTAGATAGTCTGGATGCTGCTGATATGAGCTAGAATTTAGACATTTAGAAAAACAATCTTTGTAATTGTAGGTTTAGCAAATGATTCCTTATTTTGGCTGTGCTGCCATAAGTTTGATAGTGTAAAATTTTAAAAGAACTATTCAGGATAACTGTTTTAAAATCTGCTGTGTCTCTTCATTTGATAGTTCTAAGGAGAGTCTGAAAGAGTGTATGTAAAAAATGAAAAACATTTCATGAAATACAGTTTAATCTTTTTCTTGCTTGATTCTGTATGATGAGAGAGCCTTAAATGGAAGTTTATTAATGATTTCATCAACAATAATGCTCTTGGAATGCCCTTCATACATTATTTCATTCATTTGTGTCATAGTAACACTTAATTAATAAACAATCACTTGATGTTAAAATAACAATACCCTTCCAGTTTCCACTTAATAAAGTTTTATACCAATTAATGCACTATCCAGAGCAATAAAATAAGCCCATTTAATCCTAGCTACATATAACACATCATATCTATTCACTGGTATAAGAGCTCTCCATCTCACCCATGTGTTCTCCAAAGATGCTTTTACACCTGGTACTTAATGTGTTAACATCTTTTGTTTCCTTTTCTTGCAGTGATCAGCGTACCTGAAGGAGATTTCTTCTTTGATTTTGTCCGCCATCTGACGGACTGGATCCGTAAAGCAAGGCCAAACCGAGATGGTAAGATACATGCATTTAGAATGGTTATCTTCTATCGTTTAGTTTTAGTAGTGGGTGCTCCATCGTATATGAATACTCCATCGTATATGTGCTCCATCGTATATGCATGGCTCTGCTCCGCAGTATAACATCGGCTTGATTAAGCATTACTTTCCTTCTAGACAGTTACGTTCTCAAAACTCTGGCTTATTTGTTACTCCTAGGGTTAAAACAAAGTGGGGGAGCGAACCTTCGCTCATGCTGGACCTTCATTATGGAATACTCTCCCTCAATGGATTAAGAATAGCAGTTCTGCTGAAGTGTTAAAAAACAATCTTAAGAAATATCTGTTTAATTTAGCTTATAATTGATTACCATAACCTTTCATGTCTGTACCTTTCCTATTGCACTTTGTATAAATGTATCATGTATGTATTTCATCTTTTGCACAAGCTGCCCCTTGAGCATTTGACTATCAAGTGGATTTGGCGCCTTATAAATCATATGTATTATTATTATACTGCTCCGGGCTCTTTATTTATAAAGGCATAAGGTTGGGGTTATGGTTGCAATTAGGTTTAGGATTAGGGTTATGTTCAGGGTTGATGATGCTGGAGCAAGTATCATGGGACAAATAGATTTATAATTCCCATCCTGTTAGAAGTCCTCACAATAAACATGTTATGATCTTTTTATTAAAGATCTCTATTCTTTATTTCAATTACTACAAAATCTTGAATCCTGTTTTTCATGGTGTTTATATAGCTGTGAACATTAATCCTGTTTTTCATGGTGTTTATATAGCTGAGAACATTTTATGAATAATATTTTAGAACAATGAATAGATCTTTAAAAAAAAGTTGTAAAATAGTATGATTCATGTATATATTTGTGATGATGTGAGCTTCCCCTTATTATCTCTTTACGTTGCTCTTTAACCTAGGTGGTGTGCCTCTGACATACCAAGTGTTCTTCATGAAGAAACTCTGGACCAACACTGTCCCTGGCAAGGACCGCAATGCCGACATCATTTTCCACTACCACCAGGAGTTGCCCAAGTTGCTGCGTGGCTACCACAAGTGCGGCAAGGAGGAGGCAGCACAATTGGCGGCGCTCCAGTACCGGGTCCGCTTCGACAATGACAAGACGGAGTTCCAAAGCATCCCGCGTCTCCTGAAGGAATTGGTTCCAGCCGACCTACAGAGGGTGCAATCACCAGAGGAATGGAAGAGGGTGGGTATTTAGAAAGTTATGACAAGAATAAAAGTGATAAGGAAATAGACTATTTCTTTTCTAGAAATTTAACATGAGATATGTTTGTCATAGGACATATTATAACATTTGGAACTATAAGTTGAGCCAGAGCGGACATTATTGCTTAGATATGACAGTATTTGACTTATAAGTTTTGTACATACATTTGTGAATAAATTGTTATATTGACTTTTATTGTTTTTAGGTATACAATATAAAACTTTTTCAAATGTTTAAGGTCATGCTTATTTTTGAGAAAGTATCCTTAATAATGTGTGAAATATCTGACCACCAAAATTACACATTTTTGTGTACTTCTTTTTCAAATATTTCTGATTTTCAGTATATCAAAATATATTTCTTATAGCATTATGCTGTCATGATAGATCCTTTTTTAGACTTTTTCCATTTTATGCAGATAGAATGAGTCTGATACACTTTACCTTCCTTAGTCTTCATAATGAATGGATTGAAAGTTTGCACCCGTATGCAAATGATCATTAACTTCATCCTTAAATCTGTTTCAGACCATCATTGGAGCTTACAACAAGCATGCCGGGAAGTCACAGGACGATGCCAAGATAGCCTTCCTCAAGATCATCTACAGATGGCAGACTTTTGGATCAGCCTTCTTTGAAGTCAGGGTAAGAATGACAATGATGATGATGATGATGGTGGTGATGATGATGATGATGATGATGATGATGATGATGATGATGATGATGATGATGATGATGATGGTGATGATGATGATGGTGATGATAATGATGATGATGTTGATGATGATATTGATGATAATGTTGATGTTGATGACGATGGTGATGGCGATGATGACGGCGATGATGATGATGATGATGATGAAGATGGATGGTGATGGAGATGATGATGGTGATGGTGGTGATGATGATGCTGATGATGTTGATGATGATGGTGACGACGACGACGAGAACGACTATTACGATGATGACATAGATGATGATGGTGATGATGACGGTTGTGGTGGTTGGTGGTAGTGGTAGTGGTGAAGATGAAGGAACATGTAGTATGTACCGGTAGTGTGATTTTTGTGATAACTAAATGATATTGGTGATTATTCTAATTTTTACAAAAACTGAAGATTGTAATCAATAGCATGATGTTGATGATTGTTTTATAGACTTCTTCTATGAGATTCTTCCTTTATATCATGCATTCTTACTTAACTTAAGTAAAGTTGAACTTTCTTATCAGTCATCTTTCCAAATCATCTGTACCCCTTTACTTGGTTAGGCTTTGTCTTCAGGAGACCAATATCATCAATTTGTTACTTCTGCATATTTCAATGTTTTATTCTCCTTTCTCACATGGAATTTGTTTGTTTATGTAGGACTACATTGTAGAATCTTTCCTTCTTTCATCTAGTCTTGTATATTTTACTTACAATAAATGGGATGACTTTGTAGAATCTTTCTCTCTTTCCTTCAGTCTTGTATCTATTACTTGCAAAATGTGGGACTACAGTGTGGAACCATTCTTTCTTTTCTTAGTCTTCTATGTTAGAGTCTACCATGTATCCTATTCAGTGTCCTCAAATTAACAATTCTGAGGTGGCGGTGAGTTGAATATTTTCTCTGCATGTGCATGACATCTTTATATATAGATGCTTGAATATCTGTTACACCAGCCATTATGAGATGTAAAATTTGCTAAAGCTGCACAACTATAGACGTGACTATCATGAAATTGAATATTAGTGTGCATGGCTATTTTTGCATTAAATATAATAAAGAAGTGGACTTCCCTTTTAATGTTCATATAAATTAAGAATTTGATTATGTTCTTTCATATATGTTAATGAAATTTAAAGGTACATGTACATGTATATAATATCATAAAAACCTGCACAAAACATTGACTTTCCATTTCACTTTGTATTTGGATGTGGAAGATCATATTGTAACGCCCTTATCAGGGTACAGGAGAGCTGGAATGATACAATGGAGAGAAGAAAACAGCATGTAGAATGACTTTTATTACTCTTAATACCATCACAATAAGCAAGAATAATCATAATTAAAAGTCGTATATAAAATCCAATCATGAACACGTTTTCATGCTGCAGTTTTATACGATGATAAAGCTATATCATATCAATCTGCATGAGCTAGATCTTCTCTAATAATAAAGAGATACCATTCTCAGAGCTGCCAACCTTGTGGCACAAAAAAGGAGTTTCAAGCAGAAAAAAGAATTTCATTAAAACAAAACTTACAACCACAAGCGTCACACTTCTAATGCAGAAATGTCCATTCCTCCATTTTTCCATTTTTCCGTATGAGGACCTATAGTTTATGTACAAGTCTGTAGTTTTTTAACATTTTCGGCGTTTTGTTCTTTTTGAGAAAATTTTCTCTTCAAGTATGTTTTAACCTTAGTTTTTTATTGGAATTTGTGATCAAATCAACATTTTAGGGCAGTTGTTTGACGTGTGGTATGTAAGGGGGGAAGCGTATTTTATGAAGAAAAAACGTACTACCATACCGTAATTTCGGGGGGAAAAACTGAATAATTCCGGGAAAAACCGTAATGGTCGGCAGCTCTACATTTTAGCCATCTATTCTATTATAAGTAACTGATTTAGGATTTATAAGTTCAATCATACTCTTGTGTTCTGCTGAATATTTCTGATGGGGGGGGGGGGGGGGGGGGAATGATTTATCAACAAAAAACAATCAAATCTGTTGGGCCTGGTAACAATATTTTTTAATGAGAGGATTGAAATGGATGATCAAAGAACTAAAAGGATGAGATGTGATCTTAAAAAGCATGGCTTTGAATGAACTGTATTGAAATGCATGTTAGAGTGTGCTGTACTTATAAACATATTGTCCCTAACATCGATATGGTATGCATTGTGTGTATAATATATGATATCAGAACCTGAAACTCTAAAAAATCATTAAAATCTTAATTGAAGCAAAGAATAAAAGACTTTCCACAGAAAAGTTACCCAGATAAATGTAAATGTATGGAGTTAAAAATAATCTTATTCAAAAGTTGAGCTAATGTCCTTCTGGTTTTCAGTAAATAATGGGACATGAATCCTTACATGTTATTGCCACCTTTCACATGTTCACTTACTTTTCTTTTGCTGTGTGTTTCACTAAATATTCTTATGATGTCTTCAGGACTATCTATGCACATGTATAGCCACAGGATCAAGATGCATGGTGTTAAAGAAGGAGGGGAGGGGAGAAGAGAGTAGAGGGAAGAGGGGTAAGGGTGAGGATGGAGGGGGAAGAGAGAATAGGGGAAAAGAAGGGGGAGGAGGGGGAGGAGGGGGAAGGGAGGAGTGGGAAAGAAAGGGGGGATAAGTGGGAAGGGAAGGAACAGGAAAAAAAGGGGGGCATATACAGGGCTTTTTTTTGTACATGTATATTTTTGCAGTTGCTCTCAGTTATGTGTTGTTGGGGTTTTTATACAAACGTGCATTTAATGAGATGAAAATCGGTGGGCTGCACTGTGCCTGAATAGGAAAAAATATCAATTATGTTCACAACAACAGCGTTATTACATGTATCTGATCTTTTTACACAGCTTTTCATATCCACAGTAGCAGCTGTTATTTTCTGTCTTTTTACATGCTGTTTTTTGTTTTCTTCTTACAGCAAACATCAGCCAATCATCTTCCAGATATCCTGCTGATTGCCATTAACAAACATGGAGTCAATCTTATTGATCCAAGAAACAAGGTAAGAAATTAATTTCCTATAACACCATGTTAATTATCTGAATACTCATTATTGTAAATGAAAAGATGAGAAGCAAAGGAGGTATATCTATTTTGTAACTTTTGAAACATTGTGGTAAGAATGTAAGTAATGAGAATAATACATTTGTAATTTTCTGCAAATTTGAGGAGGAAAGGCAGACTCCTGAGACATATTGAATTATGCTGGATATGTGGATATTTCATTGCAATTGGGCCTAAAGCCATCTATAATTTGATGGACATGGTAGGTCATTAAGTTTCACTCCTGCTAAGCTACTAAAAATGCAACTCACGCTGTTGCATCAAACATCAAAAGCGACTTTAGTTTTTTTTAGATATTAAACATGTATTTACTTAACTGTCTATTCAAATCTGTATTTCTTGTTTTGTTCTTTAGGAACCATTGGCAACTTATCCATTCACTAAGATTTCCAACTGGAGCTCCGGTAACACCTACTTCCACATGACCATCGGCAATCTGGTCGGTGGTACCAAGCTTCTCTGTGAAACCTCTCTGGTGAGTCAGTATAACTTTGAGCGATCCCAAAGGGCTACATGTTGGGTACAGTACTCTTTCTGAGCTCACTCAGTCATAGCTGCATCAGACAAAAGCCCAGTTATTTACTGTCTGTTATAATATTTATTCTTTTGTTAACAAAGTTGTGTGTAAGGGACGGTGCTATTACTGTCATATTATGCACATAAACCTAGGTTTGTCGACAAACCTCCTTTGTGAATTCGGGCCACTATCTTTGCAAGCTTATGTTGTGTTTATGTCTGTTATGCATATTCATCAATGGCAGTGTTCATTTTTATTTTGTTCTAACGCATCCTAGTTGACATTTGTTCCAAAATCCAGTCTTGATTATATTGTATTATGCAGCCTTATTTAGGTTATTAAGTTTTAGTGGCTCTTGTAGTATTCTTACTTGGTGATACAATGGAATAAAAAGGTCTACACTAATCCTTTTCAGGTTCTTTATACATTTTCACAAAACAAAAGTATCTTTGTTATAATGTATCTTTTTACCAATATACTTATCTAATTGTAATGCAAATCCCTTTCTTTTCTAGAGCTATCAAAGAGATATTGATTTTCATTTCTTCTTTTCCATTGCATTACAGGGCTACAAGATGGATGACCTCCTGACCTCTTACATCAGCCAGATGCTGACCAACATGAACAAACAACATGTGAGGTGAGCAGACGGTCAGGAATGGTCAACGATTGGTCAAGGTCCATCAACTTGGTTAACATTTTCATAGGCACATTCTGAATAATTGACAGTAAGGTCATGGTAGTGATGGAAAATAGCTGAGATTTATCCGGGCAAGTCAGTTGGTGTCCTATACATTACCTAGTATTGTGTACATCTGAATATAAATGGAAATCAAATGTGTCTTTTCACTGCATATTTGGTCTGGTCTGTAAACGCAATGCGCTGATCAGATGTAATGAAATCGTAGTTGTGGTCAAAATAGCTGGGACCAGTTATCAGTTTATCAGATCAGTGTATGTTGCTCGGCATTAAAGCTGAAAAGAGGCAGACATACCATAAAAAGCCATTTCTTCTCATATGTTGTAGATGTAAGACTACCGTTAATACTCTATATTGATTGTACATAATAGAAAACAAATCTGCTTCACTCAATGTACTTCTTCATTTCACAAACTTCTGCTTCTGTTTATAGAATGCTTCTTAACTAATTTAATGTATTCTGAGGGACTAATATTATTTTAGTCGAAGTATATTATTATTTCTCAGATTTGTTGTAAGTATAAGGCCCATAGATCACGTGATTGTAAATTTCTATTTCATTTGCACAATTTTGCAAAGAATTTTGTATTTGTAATTTTGCGCACTTTTGATCATGAATAGTTTTATATGTGAAATATATTCATGTGGAGAAAGTTATATTAACATTGAGAAAGTATTATGATTAGTTCAAATAGGAGATATAATAGAAACTGTAATATCCATGATAATCTGATATTACATAAAGGATTTTATTACTGAAAAGACATAAAGGCAACCTTATTTTGAAAGCTATTTTCACAGAGTATTCTGTATTAACTAATTGCATATAATTTACCATTTCAACAGCAGTTTTAAAATGTGGGAATGATACAAATGAAATGATAAATAGCTCATTGAACATTTTAAATGACAGCTAAATATTTTATATTTATTATAACTGTACTCACTTACAGCACTGAAACTGACACCTAATACTCTCAACAATGAATAATGGAAAACTTATAGCATTGTACTAATATTTGCATGTTGTATCGTACTTATATGTTGAAATATGCTTCTTTAAAAGTATACATGTAAACCGTGATAAACTGATAATATTGTAAGTAGTACTGCGTTACATCATTGACATATTACCAAGGCCTTCTTTATTCCTAAACAAATCAGTCTGTCTAATCATGCAATAACATTTTCAAGATTCAAATATTCAAAATATTGTACTCAGAATATTGCAAAAATGACCTTAAAAGTTTATACCTTGCATTTACTCATGTGTCTTTCATCAAAACGCTGCCTTGATTTTAAGATGAGATATCTTCCAGCTTTGTATGTGTCAAATTTATGAGAATTAATTTATATATTCTTTGTATTGAAATGGACCAATATAACTACATTCATATATATATGTGATAATAATTTATTGATTGGTGAAATTTGTCTACAATATTCATAATTACAGCTAAAAGGTGATACAGTTTGAATTTTAAAGATTAAAAGTACATGCACATATAAAGAAAGAGTTCTGTTGTCAGCTGCATATAAGAAGGGCTTTGACTTTGTGTTAAAAGACCTTTTATGCCCATCTCATTCAGAGGATGATAGTATAGGTGGTATTATATCATCTAATTAGAGCAAAAAGGACATCTCTTATACTTCAACACAGACTGAATGCTCTTTTAGCTCACCACAGACAATATATACCGGTTGAAATAGGATTTCATTTACCGTTATCTTTATCACTTATCATTAACTAACACAAAGTTGCCTGGACGGTAGACTCGTTGGACTGTAAAAGCATGTGTTTTTTCAAATGTTATTGTTTTTCATGTGTGTCAAATTGCCATGGTCCATTGTGAATGTGATGTAGTCACGCCCTTGCTGAAAACGCTTCATGTCTCCATAGAAACACAGAGCGTTGTCATAGCAGGTCAAAGGTCAAAGGTAATGAGAAACACCAGACTAAACATGATATGATATAATTCATCATGCTATTATAAGCATACTGACAAACTCGAAATTTTTGCTTCAAGGAATATTCACAAATTTTGTCAGTGTTTAAGATTTGGGAATGTTTCCTTTTGTGATATATTGACACAACAACTGAGATTTGGTGATTTGTAGTGATAATCTCTATTGTTTGCAATTAGCAAAAGTTTCATGTTGCGAAAGTGACTTGTCTTAAATTTCTCACTTAGGTTTATTCTGGAAAAAAAATTATAATCACCTTGGCCAAGATATGTGCACGGTATTCATTATATTTTAAATTTCTCACTTCGGTTTATTCCGTGAAAACATTTACAATCATCTTCGCCAAGATTTGTATATGGTATTTTTTATGTTTTTAATTAATATCAGGGAAATGATAAAGAGATGAATTGAGGACGTATCCTTGAATAACATCATCGGTGAGAAATGAATGAAATGTATACCTTCTACTGAGAGCCAGGAGGGCATTAAGTCAAAATCGTACCTACACATGGAGTGAATACCTACTTGCTCTTAGCATACATTTATTCACTTTACATTTACATGATTGTATGTTTACCAGGATGAAAATATTGATGCACCAAGACTGTTGGTGAAAAATTCAATGGTGATTTGTATATTCTTTGCTATTTATATTTGTATGGCTCGTACAGATATGACGCGGTAAGCCAACTGCGAAAAATGCCAATGTTTTTTATGTGTATGTTATGGGCGCAACAAATGTCCTACGTGTACTCACTTTATAGCTCTGTGTTATGAGATGCAGTAATGTGACATGTATTGCGCTTTACGTTGTATCTGAACATTGTGTACGGTAGTCGTAACACAAAACACAAAGACTTCATAGACTATTTAAATTGGAGTTGCGGTTTATGCACATTTCATTGCTCACTTCTTCACAAATTATTTTATCAGCTGCGATTATATATGTTGAAAGATTTGTATATTCAGATTTGCAATACTAATAGCATTTGTTTTGAGAGTATGAAGTTATATCTCCAATTCTCTTTTATTAGTAGACAGGTTTAGATGAAAGTTAGAAGTTATGAAGTTGTGTCAATAGTTATAGAAATAGAGAAACTCCAAGAATTTCTTTAAAGATCATTTTCTAGATTATCCATGGCTTTAGGGTACAAGTCTTTAACTTTTCACATGTTACAAACAAAATAGATATGAATTTCTCAACATGTTGGATGTATTATAATTTCATTGCTGAATATTTCAAGATATGTACACAGATGTTGTCATGCAAAACCAGTACTTAATATTGTATTTATATGACATTGCTGTTCCCTCTGTATAGGTTATAGATATTTCGATTCGATACATGGTTGTACATATTATAATTGAAGAATGAGCTGATAGAATAGAAAGGGATGACATTTTCAATTCCTGAAGTTTATTTGCCTATTGAAACATCACATTTAAAGATCCTCATTTGAATTCTGATGTACATTAGCATTTTTGTTTTTGCTTTGTTATAAGTATAATTATGTCTTTAGCTTGTGTATCTGACTGAAGGGAAATTAAAGATAGTCAAATATAATAGCAACCTTTTAAAGTTATAAATTAGTTCTAATGCACTAGTAGATGTATTCAGTAATATACTAAATGTCTTTCAAACTATTAAGTGCTCTAAATTCACAGAATCTTAACAAACACAGAATATTCTTTATAGTTATCATTTAAAAAGAGGTAACATAGCTTCCTAACACACAGGTATATGTATATAAGAACCTGATATTCATTTCAGTATTTAGAAATCATGACTTTATTGCAATGACATATAAAATATCTTTAGCTAGATGGAGTATTCGTTTGTAGTAAAGAAGAAAAAATGGAATTTCTGTAAATTCAGAATTACTACAAGTGTCTGTAAGGCCTGGTATTATACTGATGCAGGGCCAAAGTATGTTTTATATTCCTTTAATTATGATTATCAATCTATTCCTTTACTTTATGTTATTGTTATTAATATCATAAATTATTGTAGTGGTGGAGTGTATAGCTTACTGGCTGATTGAATAGTCTGATCTAGATCTACTAATATACTTTTGGAGTATATATATCTCTATTGTGTCAAATCTATTAAACTACTTAATATAATGTAATGTTATAGCTGTTCAATTGAATATGGCATCTAATGTGTCGAAATGGCATATGCCAAAAGAATATGAATATTGAGTTGTATAATATTTTATGTTGTTAGCTAGACTATTTATATGTATTCAAGGATTCAGGTTATAGTGTTTAAGGCATTGTCCATTGTAATAGGTTTCTACACGATCGCAAAGACTTTCTAGAAATCAACCTGCGGGGATTTTCTTTACCCTATGTGTATTGGCCATTCAAATCATGTTCGGATGACATAATACGTCTTCTTTCCACGTTTCAATGGATGATGCCCAAGGCTATTGAAAAATTGGCTTACATTGATTACTTGAAAGACTTTGCAATCATTTTTCTTGCATTGATGATAATATTGAGGTATTCAATTGAAGAGAAGAGTTGAAAATGTTCACACAATGACAATTCAGAGCCCAGAAATGAAATTTGCGATTGTACTACTTAAAATTGTCAGCTCCAAATAAACTGTACTTACATTTAAATGATGCATTGTTTTTTGTTTTTAATGTGGGTTACATTGAAAATAAAATGTCTCTGGCTATCCGGAGTGACAAATGTGAGGGTGAGATAGATTTTCAAAAGTATCATTGTAATCGAATCTGCTTGTTGAATTATAAAGCTTCATTCTCATGTACCTTTTGTTAGAAAGATTGAGATTGAAAAAGAAGATTGAAAAAGAAGGTTGAATGAAGACTGAATCTTGTGAAAAGAGAGAGAGAGGGGGGGGGGGGGTGTAGAGTAGAGAGAATGAGGATGAGAGGGGAGAGTGGACAAATGAAAAGTGAGAGAGGGGGAGACGGGGGGATATGAGTAAGATAGAATAAAGTGAGATAAAACAGGAAAAAGACTTGGTCGAGATAAGTAAACTGGATTTCAAGAAAGAGATGCAATAGAAGTAAAGGAGGTTTAAGGGAGAGATATAAGGGGGTGAAAACGGGAAAAAGATGGTAAATGGTGTTGCTGTATTCGAGCGGGCTTTAATAAGAGACGAGGAGTGGACTTTTAATTTGTAAAACTTCAGCAGGGACTTCTTTTACAAACATGGCGCTAAATATTGATCTTCCATTTAATTCTTTTTTTTTCTTCGTATGAACTGTATTTTATCAGCTCCTTTTCTCTTACACATTTCCCTTGTCTATGTCTGTCTCCCTCCCCCCCCCCTCTCTCTCTCTCTCTCTCACTCTCTCTCTCTCTCTCTCTCTCTATATATATATATCTATCTCCTCCCCCTCTATCTCTCTATCTTTATCTTCGCCCCTCTCTGTCTCTGTCTGCCTCTCTCTTTCTCTCTCTCCCCTCTCTGCCTCTATCTCTGTCTCTCTCTTTCTGTCTTTCTCTCTCTCTCTCTTTCTCTTATTTATTAGATAACATCCTTTGCACATTGTCTTGTATCTTCTTTCATTAACCTACCAATTGTATTCTATCCATCCATTTAACTTAACAATGAAATATAAATGCATAGTTTTGAAATGTAGTCATAGCTCTACAAATAATCAAATTGGCATGTCTGTTCCTAATCAAAACGAAAACATTACTACAATTAAGTACAATATTGACTTCAGATATACGAAACATACATCTGTTGCGGTTATGCATATACAATCTTTATTCTGTATACTATGTCTCTCAAATTGACAATTTATCATTTTTCAGGCACAAATGTTTTACTACGACAGAAAACGACTTAACAAAACGATGAATTCGAACTTCGAAATTAAACCCCTAAGGATATTCTGATTGTACGGGAGAATTTTGACACGATTTAGTGGTCCGATCATGTTTATTATGAGAGCGAAATATCATCTCACATTTTTTTATTCTTCCTTAAATTCCTTATAAATTTTCAATTTTATTGACATGATTATAGTGACACTAGTTCTTTTGAGTTTCTATGTATTTCTTTTTAAGTTACTTTCATTCATGCAAATGAAGTCAATCTAAAGGCAGGCACGGTCCCCTTTTTAATTTGAATACGATAGCAAATAGTTTCTAGAAGAAAAAAAATCTAGGTCAGTTTCAAGAGCCTTGTGCGCCTCGTATAAGGGAGTTTACAGATAGCACATGGTACAAATGACCCCAAATATCCACAGATCTTTTACACATGTAGAAGTTCCACTTTGAGCATAACTGCCAAAGTCCTAGATGTTCTTCATGAATACCTTTTGTTTGTCCTCTTGAAAAGAATACTTCCACCTGCGTATCATAGAATGTACCGTTGGTGCATAATTGAATAATGTTACATAACTTTCATGAGCGCATATCCAGTATTCATTTCTGTGGGTTATACCTTTTTGGTACAAATGACCTTTATCTGCCCATGCGCAGATTGTATCTGTAAACTCCCTCATGGACATGATGTATTACGTATTTCGAACATGATGTCGGCAAGATGATGGATAGACTATTTAAATTACCCTTAAGCTGATTTTTCGAAATAGTAGCAATCGTGTTTGTAATACGCCGTCCCCATTGTCGACCAGCGAACATGATAAGACGGTCATAACAGGCTCAGTTAGATGAGACCTCGAGCTTCAATAGTCGGTGTAAATGTTTCAGACCTTATTCTTCTACCAGTTATTGAAAATTATCCTGGACACGTCAATATGACGAATTATCCAGATAAACGATCAACGTTTATTGAGACATTTGGTGGAATCAATGTTCACCTTCACCAATGATTCTTTTCAATTAAAAATAATAATGAATAAAGAAATAATAAATGGTATATCGAGAGGGTTGATTTCAAGGGAATTCCATATCAAAATCGTCATCCATAGTTATTGAAAATTATTCTGGACACGTCAATATGACGTAATATCCACGAAACGTTTTTAAAAAAAAAGCATTCAATGTTTGAGACCTTTGACGGAATCAATGTTCACCTTCAATAATGATTCTTTTTTTTTCAATGAAAATAATAATTAATAATGAAACGAGAAATGGTAAATCGAAGGATTGATTTCAAGGGAATCCCATATCCAAATCGTCATCCATAATTATAATTTTGCTTCCAACATCAACTTTTAAACTGACTTTTCACCATTGAAAACTAAAGTTCGATCATGAATCCTACATCGAAACCAAGGTCGGGTCAACACGAAAGACGTAGATTGCTGACAGCGTTGTTTGAAAATCCGTCGAGGGCAGTGTCGAGAAACTCCCGAAGACTTGCTATAACGGAACAAGTCCTTGTTGATGACGCGTTGGAGTCAAAGGTCACTTGAGACTGATCGGTGTTATATCGACACTGTAACCATGGTAGTGACGGGAAAGAAATACAAATGGCAATACGTTAGATAACATAATATGACGTAAAGATGTGTAAACAAGTGTATGAATTATTTGCAAAGTGGCAACACATTTTGCAAACAAATGGGCGCCTTTTCGTGTTTGAAACAGATAAATGGCGCCAAAGAAGTGCTATGGATCATCATCATCATCATCATCATCATCATCAAAACAGGTCTGACTCGGTGGTTGTCCATGAGACCGCTTTTAAAAAGGGCACCTCTGACATCTGTAAATGTGCATTGGTATATTCACACTCCTCTGATCAAAGCAGTACCCGGAACTTCATTCCATATACATTGGCATTGCTTAAGCATGATAAGAGACAAAAATAGAAGTACACTGTGAGGGTGGTAAAAAGGATTACCCATAAAGGAGCTTCTTGTTACATCTCCGTGTAGAAAAGTGCTTAAAAATGAGACTTTTCTCTGACAATCGAGTGTATCACATTGACTTTTCCAAAAGTGCACTAATAAAAGTAGATAGCATTTTGATTTTATCGATTGTTTAATACAAGTCATCTACTATGTCTTTTAGCGCTTACAAATGTGTTATTACCCGGTAATAGGAATCAGGTTCGCCCACACATAATATATGCATATTCTCCACTCCCTAGGGAGCATTCCAACGAGGCGCTATTTTAAAAGTTCTCCCATTGCCGAACGCATCACAACCCTGCTGGAAAGAACACACTCAATCGCAGAGTGAATCACAGTTCAAAATCACAGTTCACTCTGTGAACACAGTGTGATTCACACTGTGAATGAGAGTGAATGAGTGTGTTCTTTTCTTTTCCGATTATCCACACTGTGAACCACAGTGTGAAACGAATCAACCACAATGTGAAAACGCCCCAATATAACATTGTGGAGCACACTGTGATTCACACTGTGAAACACAGTGTGATTCACACTGTAAATGAGTGTGAATGAGTGTGTTCTTTCCAGCAGGGAAGGACCTACGCGTTCTACCGGGCGCCCATTTAATACCTTGGGCGAAGAGAAGCAAATTACTTACCCAACAGTTATGACTGGTCTGCATTAAATGTTCATTCAATCGGTTCAGAATCCTTTTCAAAGATACTAGTTTTTGATTGATAACACTATCATTTTCTTCTGTAATCAGATGTGCAATGCTCCTCTCGAAGAAAACTGTAGTGTTGATATATCTCTCGAACACAGTAAATGATGTTATCTGTGATAAATTGATAGATAGAAAGATAGATAAATAAATAAATAAACAAATAGATAAAACAACAAAACAGTTGAGATTTTAGAAAGTCACCGGTGTTTATACCCTCATCATAATCATTTTGATATAAAAACATAATTATATATAATAATTTGCACAAACACACACACACACACACACACACACACACACACACACACACACACAGGCACACAACTTTCCAACCATTTTTTAAATATATTTTTTAAAAACAATTTTGTTTTATTTCTCCAAATTTGTAATACAAGCAATAACATACAATTAAATAAAATAAACGTTTTTAATATTGATTGCTTATATATAAACATAATGAAACAAAAAAACTTATTTGTAGAATATATATAACTTAGCAACAAAGAAAACGTATAAGTAAATACACGTAACATAATTGTCAATTGTAAATGTTATTCACTTATATATAAATACAAACTTAAACAAATCTAGAGGTAATTTTACTGAAACAATGCCTGCTCCTCCCTGCCCCCCTCCCTCACACAAACACCTCCATCCACCCACACACATACTCACCCACCCACCCACACACACACACACACATACTCACCCACCCACCCAACCCCCACACACACACACTACTTACCCAGTGGATGTCTGCTAACATTCTCAACTCAAGAAATATACTAAATAAAACACACGCGCACACCCACACCCACACCCACACACACGCGCACACATTAGCTTATCTGGTGTTTCTACTTTCTTTTAGAGCAGGCTTTCCGTTTAAAAACTGTGTATTTACATTTATCTTTAGAATAATTTCTAGATTGTCAAGCGGATTGATTGACTTACATCGCTCCAGGTGACGTTATGAACATTGGTGCTAAGCTGAGATGGTACTGGTGATATTCCACACTGGGTTAAAGGGATCAGTGGTGACGTCAGCGATGTACATAAGTCCTGGTTATATAATTTAAAGATATAACATTATTTTCAGTTGTACCAACAG